AATGTCGCACCTTAGTATCGGAGTAGTACTCCTGCTGCAGCTTGCCCCTGATAAGAGGCCAGTCCTCGTTCACGTTGATAAGATCGCTCTGTGTATCGTGGATAACGGAGGCGGAACTCGTGTAGATAAATGCCTTGCACTTTCCTCCCCAGTCTCCACGGGCACCGCCCGCAACCTCCAGCAGGTTCTTCGTCCCCTCAACGTTGAGCTGGTATAGTAGATTCTTATCCGTCAACATCGCGCTCGCGGTATGGATAACGACATCCGGCTTGACTTTCTGGAAGACAGACAGCATCGACTCGGCAGAGGTCAGGTCGCCTTCATAGTAGTCCGCGCCGGGTAATCGGTTGTTTGTGGTCCGCAGGTCGGTCACGGCGACTTTGGCGATGCATACTGGGTATCGGTCTCCGAGCTTGGGATAGTCAAATCGTTTATCTCCCTGCGGTTTTGGGAGAGCAGCACTGGGGTCTGTCTCGGTAGGGAAGTTCAGCAACTGATCGACGATGTGAGAGCCCAGGAAACCGCATCCTCCAACCACTAGGACGGTGCCCAGGGTCATGGTAGGTCGCTTTTCAGCCATTATGAGTATCGGAGTTGCTGGAGAAGATTTTCCGGGACAGGGAAGGGGGCGGGCGAGATGCGACAAGGCGGGCCGCAAGCTGATGGGGTTGGAAGAACACAGTAGGCAGTGAAATGTGTCTTCAATCTTGACTTCGGAGAAATTAGTTGATGGACCTGGGGCCGAACGACTGGGGCTAGCTCCATACCAGCCACGTGACCCCGGCCATCCCTGTCTCCACACCTTTATTTTAGTCTCGAGCCTTTTATAGAAGTATGCACAGACTACGGAGTACACCAGAGGCCTTTTTATTCACATCTGACTGTAAATAAATTACATCGCCCATGAAAAAGAAGCAAAACACCATGACGATGACACGGATGCATTGGGAGACTTCAGAGAACAGAAAATAGGAAACCAGAGCCAGAAATGGGACCACCGAACACTGACAGTAGACTCAGTGACAAGACAAGGCATGACATCGCTTCGAGGAAGAAAGAAAGGGGGGGAATAAGAAGGGAGAGAAAGGAAAAAGTCAGGTACGTAGTGCGGCGGTGAAAGAAGAAACAGGACTCGCCATTGTTAGGTATCTTTGCCGTCTTATCATCGACCGGCGGGAAAAAAAGAGAAAAAGAAAAGTAAAACCCCAACCAACAGTAGTTAGCGGTGCAATGAGTAAAACTCTCACAGATCAACGGAGAGATGAAACCCAGAAGTATGAAGAGAGAAACAGAAATGACAAAAACAACGACGAGGACAGTGCTGTATTACAAGGCAATGCTCATGGTAGCTAGTTGCCAAATGCAATGCAAGAACGGACACAAAATAGACGATAGAAAATGACACCCAAAGTCCAGAAATGTGGATGATAGGTCGTGGCTGAACGAAGAAAAGATCTTGAGGTTCTTCATGGGAGCTTTGACCAGGCAACGAGAGAGAAAAAAAAAAAGACGAGACGAAGCTTCGCGGCCGGATGCAATGCAATTTTTGAGGTAGGAAAGACGGGAATAAGACGCTTCTGAAGCTCAAGCTGGAGGTCCAAACACATTGCGACGAGACTGAACCTAGGACGAAAGACATTTGAACGTAAGCCAAGGCGAGAGATGGGTAAAAAAATGCTGAGAGGCCAGAGATACGCCACAGTATTGCCCCGGAAGTCAAAACAGTGGACAGAATACCGTAACGCGCTCCGATTATAACAAATCTGATCACCAGACCAGAAAAGACATTAGGATTAACCAGCAACGCCCATTGGCCCTGCGTTAGGACGAGCTCGGTAAGGTATTTGCTGGGGCTGGCCCTCGGGTTGGCTCCCAGTGCTAGTGCTGCGGTTGCGTTTATCGCGCCTATCGAGATCCTTGCCTGGAGCAATGGCACTGCTTGAGTGCGAGTGTGCACTGGGACCGGGCACATGTCTGACTGAGCTTTGCATCTGAGCTGCCGCGTCCTGGGATGGGTCTGTTTCGATTCGAGCAGAAGTAGGGACGTTAGCTCCACGGCTTTGATTGGTGATGGTGAATGTTTCACCGCCGTTGCTTGCTTTCTGAGAGAATCCTCCTCGGGCAATATCGCCGTATCGCTTAAGGATATCCTTTGTCGTGACCTCTGAGTTCTCCTTGAAGAGGTTGCTGTCGCTAAGAACAGACTGGAGGTCTTCCGGGATCTTCAAGTCCGCGTCAGTTATCAGTTTACAAAGATACTCGTAAGCAAACATACCTCACACATGGTATCGTTGTACGTAATCAGCGAATTGACGGCTTCAATTGCGAGGAAGCTCTCATCCACAGCGCTAGCCTTTGTGTTGGGATAGAGAATATTGGGCGTCATGACGGTTGCGAGATTGTGGATATCCATCTTGCTTCCAGTATCTTCATCAACATGAGAGAAGGACGACGTCCAGTTCAAGAAAGCGAACAAAACTTCCATGGTGTCGCGATGAGCTTTGGGAAGCAAGCAGCATGTGAGATGGAGCACCCGCTTCTGCTTTTCCAAATCGGGAATTTCTAGAAAATGAGGTTAGCACGAGATATTTCGAATCTGGGTGCTACACACTTTGAGAAGCAACGAATAAACGGTGCAGTTTGAATGTTAGCAGAGGATCCGGCATTTCACGAAGGAACTTTTTGAGAAGAGCGGCGATTTGAACAGGGGTCTCCTTGGTCAGGTCCACTTGCTCGTACTTGTTGTCAATCATCTCTGAAACCTCTTTCAATCGTCTGATGTTGCCGTTCTTGCGGAAGACACCTTCAACGGACATGTCCATTTGACGCATGGCAGAGACGGAATCGTCAACAAGAGCCGGGATACGAAGAGCACCCGGACCCACACCATGACTGGATTCAGTGCCTTCCTTCTCAACGAGGTAATCTAGGCTTACGCCAAAAACGCCCTTCTTTTTCCCGCCTTTTTTAGCATCCTTCGCGAAAGCCCTGCCGAAGATACCCCAAATCGTGGGTTTTCGCGATTCAATTAATGAGAGAAGCTCCTCCAATGTGAAAGCACCGTCCAGCAATGGCTCCATCGACAAAACGGCGACATGCCTGACGATAAAGTACTCCAAGGCAGAGAGTTCTGAGAAGTACCGCTTGCCCCTTCCCATAGGCACAGGGAAATGTGCGTCCATGCCAGCATTGGAAACACCGCGTTGATGTCCGTGGTTATACCTGGGGAGCGGTTCAGTCGTGCCTACAAGCTTGGTGCCAGCATGTCTGTAAGCATTCGGGCGTTGTTCTTTGGCTTGCTCAGCTGCGACAATCCGTGGGATGTCGTCCAGAGTCAAGGCATCTTGATTGCCAAACGCCAACTCAGTAACCGACTCTCCATTGGCATCTCTCTCCTCCACAATTTGGAAGCCTGGTCCCCTGGAGTCTGAGCCCTCGCCGCCTGAGGAACCTGGTCGGACGCTCCTTCCCTCAGGTCCATCGATGATTCTTGACGCTCGAGCTTTTTTGTAGGTTGTGGATAGCGTGCGTTCGTTCCGGATCGAACGTAGGCGTCGCATCTCACCAACTGTCTGTTCGAGAGAAGACCCATCGCCATCTTTCCTGCGGCGTAACTCGCCACCAGGCGGGATCTGAGTGCCATCGGAGTGTGTGGCCGAGGAATCATCTGACAAAAAAGACAGAAAGTTAGCTTCGGATATATAGAATTGACACATGCAAATCACGTACCTGACTGGAAAAGGGTACCTCCGGCTCGTAGAACAGCAAGAAGGCGCGCCAGAGCCACTCTAAGCAGGAAGACGAATTGCTGGAGCTTCGTGACCCGAACAAAGCCCTTTTGTGTATTGTTTACAATGCCCTTATGAGCAACGCAGTCACCGCAAAAAGTCTGCTTATCCTTGGGGTTTAAGAAGGCGTCCTGCAGATTGGCTGTCAGGTCTGTCTGGCATGAGGCGCAGAGAAGATGCGGCGGTTTTATGTGCCATCTGCTATCACCCAGCATGACACACTCATCGTCAATTGGTTCTTTGCATGCCGCGCAGCAATCGGAGAGCTGATCGGCCAAAGTATCCACCCCGACCAGCAGGTCTGCCGGCGTCTCTTCCTCCTCGAGCGGTCGCAGTGATTCAAGATCACCGAGACGATCCAGAAGACTATGGAGACCTTCAGGGCTGTGTTGCTCTCTCTCCAGCTTCAAGGCACCTTGCAATCCGATACGAATGAGGAGTTTGAGGTAGTGAGCAAGACCGGTAACCAGCGATAAAAGCTCTTGGGTAACACCGAGTTTTCGAACACCGGTTTCCTGGGTTTTGGACAGCAGTGCAAAGAATGCAACAATCTTTTTGCATAGTAGTTTGGCCTCACGACCGAAGGCAAGGTCTACAAAGAAAGGTTAGTGGGTTGGTTGAAGTTTGCACTCTGGTATCTTACCCTTCATTCCCTGCACTTTGATGGAGCGCCCAAGTTCATCAATGGCGGAGAAAAGAATTTCGACGTGGCCAATGAACCGCTTCGCGACAAGAACTCCATCTAGATAAGCGCCGTTGCTGACATGTAGTAGCATATCCGATATGCAGGCCGCAGATGACTCTTCGAAAGTGGAGAGAGTGCTCCAGATTTTGTACACCTTCTCCTCCATCAAATCCTCTTCTTCGCGGATTTGGGTCCGTTCTTCGTCACTAGCATCCTCTTTCATCTGCGGGTACTCTAGTGGCTGGCCAGTAGGAGCAAGGCGGACATTCCAGAATTTATGTATCATGTAACATTCAGGATGCCAATGTTGATTTTGTCCGTTGCGGAAGATCTCGACGAACTGCTTCAAAATTGCGGTGTGACAGCCGTGGCATCGTTGGGCGAATTGTGTAGAGTAGTGGTAATGACAATATACCTTGCCCTCGTGCTCGTAGTAAGAGTCCTGTGCGCCGAAGACAGTGGGACATACTGAACAAGTAAAATGCTCAATGTGGTACTTGCGGTCGAGGGCGGTGATGTACGATCCTCGCAAGGCACCACCGCAGTCGTGACATAAGAGGTCTAGTCTTCGAAAGTAATCAATCTCACAAAGAGGATACTGCCCGCTCCCATCTTCTGCGTCAATGGGAAAAAACTTGGACGCTACTATTTGACCGCAGTCCTATCAACGGTATTAGTACGGGAAGAGGGTGTAAACTTAGGTCTGAGAAACTCACTTCACACTTGAAGCACTCAAGGTGGTACGTCGCGAGCAGCGCTCGAACAAACTGGCCTGTGAGGGGTTCATTACATTTTTTGCATACCCTTGATGTACTTCCAGGTGACTTGGCGTGCGTTCGACCATTTGGCCGCGGTCTTTCAAGCGGTCCGGAATTTTCCCAATAGTTGGTCCGATCTTGAGGTGTCGTAGGATCTCTAGAATCGGCTGGGTTGGAGTCTAAGCGTCGTATGGGACGGCCGTCCACGGGACTTGGGACAGAATCCAGACCAGTAGAGGACGCGTTCCACGGCCGTGTGCGAGGAGAGTCGAATGGGACATTACTATCAGCGGGCGATGTGGGCGTTTGCGTCTGAAAGCTCCCTCCGTTGCTACCACCATAGCCGCTCGTGTTCAGGGACGGGCGGACAGCCCCGTTGCCCGGCACGAGGCTATCCGGCAATGAAACGTCGCCGGGAGGCATGTCCGAGAGGAACTATGCCTTTGGAATAGGAATTCAGCGATCGCCTCCAAATGTTGTGTATTTCCTTTGGCCTTAGTCCGATGTTGTGAACGGGGTTATACCAAAGTTGGGTAGGCTTGGTCGGGTTGCCGCCGGGGTTCAGATAGATTCGAGTCTCGGGCGCAGGTAATTCGAGAACGTTGATGGACAGTGCGATTTATATCGTGAATCCGGTACATCCAATCTATCTCCTATCCTTTGAGTTGTAATGGTATGTTAGACAGCGTGTCTCTTGGCTTCGCGCGGGGCTGGGAAGTATATTAGGGTCATTTCAGGGCGAACTCACTTCAAGCCATTCAGGTACAACTTGCGGGGAAACTCGAGGGACAAGGAACACAGCGCGTAACCGTTGCGGCAGGCGGGTAGGCCACAGAATCACTCACTTGAGAAGAAGGAAGAGGTCAGTCCAGCTCAGCGAGAAAAAAAAGACGTAGCCGCCCGTGGAGGTATCGGATTGAAAGGGTCGAGAGCTCAAAGTGAGACGAACAAGCAGCGGAGGTCCAAGATCAACACCATACCCAGGTCCCTCTCAATGAAGGGAATATTCCACGGTCCAAGGTCCCAGACTCATGAAAGACCTGACAAGTAATGTTTGCAGTAAAGATCAGGTCATTCACAGCCAACAAGACACAGGTTCAACTGCCAAAGAGTATGTTTGGGGCAGTGCGAATACAATGTTGCTCTGCCCCCCTATGCTGCCAACCATCACGTGCCAGAGCTTCACCGCTGCTCACACCGCCTGGGGAGGAAGGGTCATTTGTTTATTTTGCATCCTCTTTCTCTGGATCGCGGGAACCTGTGCCTGGACAAAAAAAGGGTCCACAAGCATCGCCTCTCTTCGGATAAAGGCGAAAAAACGCATTGTGTTGACAGTCATGGTAGACGTATCTGGAGACCTTGGAGAACGGAAGGAATGCAAGTTTCCTGGGAGTTTTCTACGTATGTCATCAGGGTCCCTGACGCAGCCTGAGGCATCCGCGCATAGTCCCAGGCCACAGAAATCGACTGGGTCTCCCTGAAACCCCCTCTCAGGGGCAAGAACTGCAAAATCGAGGGCAATCTATTCCTACAAAACATCAGGGGTATCGAATCGGCCGGGAGTTGGAGTGTTTCGCTCTCTATTCCGTGTAGCCACTGGATCCGCATGGCCTTTGAAGGCCTATCCGGAGTCTACTCACGAGCTTGTGGAGGCTACAGACGGCTGGCTATAATAAGAGTAGGGGCCCCGACTCGACTGAGCCTGGGATAGGCAATGACAGGTGCCGGGCTGCGTAGCAGATAGTCTTCTTTAACAGGGCAAAACGCGTGGTTGGCAGGGCTTACCAAACAAAATCCAACCTTGAAGACGCCCTTTACGCTCTAATATATCCTGTTATTTTAACCCCCGCTCTAAAGGTTTGCTTTTAGGCCAAGAGCCCTGTCAGCCACGCGTTTTGCCCTGTCGAAGAAGACTACATCTCCGTATCTCGTTCCATAGTGCCGTTTTATACTTCTGACCCTTTCTGCTCTCCGTTCCTGCGATGGATGAGTCTTAAATTTTGTGGCAAGTAGCCATCAACATAATCCAGGCTTACGCTGCCTACAATAGGCACCAGCTACTGCACAGTCTGCCTGCTGGTTGCAGTAATTGAAATTTAAAGAAGTCAGCAGGGCGAGGCAGAATCGGATTGTTGGATGCATCACTATCTGAAGCCTAGATCGGAAAATTACAGTCTTGGAAGAAGTCAGCTTTCTGCTGTATTAAGATTATCAAAGAGAATAAAGTGTATCGTGGCCAAGATCTACAACTAGACTACATCCAATTGTTTGCTCTCCAAGGGGGATGGAAGGGCCTGTCCTGTTTGGCGCGGCTGACTGCTGCGCTGTATGTATGTATCAGCTCGTTCGGCTTCCTCTCTCTACCTATCTATTTTTTCCACAACTCCCTCGCTTTTCCTATTTCCCGACGGTCCTTCACTTCAAATCCCCTCATACCTTTCTTCTCTTCTATTTACGATTTAAAGATTCACTGGATTCCACAACCGATAGAAAACAAGCATAACCCACGGCCCGGAACTTTTGACCGTCCCCTCCCCTCACTCTTAAGCTTGTCTGCTAGCAACTCGCATCAGACAATCAGCAATCGACTCTTGAATCTGGCCATCGGGCCATTTCTCCAGAGGAAACTCCGTGAACATGTCCGATAAATCAATTATTCGCATCACACGGGTAATTCTGCTTCTTCCCGTCAATGCTCCCTGACGTAGACTAACACATGTCTTGGTACGCAGGAGCTCTGGGAGATTAAGAAAAATGCAGATCTCTGTATGCACTTATCAACTCGAAAACAATTTATCACTTCTCGGGGCTTTACCGCTAAGCGTTCAGTCTTCACTAACGACCTTGATATAGCTATTGCAGTCGACTACGATGAGGATGATATGCGAAATGTACGTGCAATCATTCTTGGGCCACCAGAAACCCCCTACCAGTTCGGGCTATTCGAGGTAAGGTACCACTGCTTCTGTTATTCCACTTATCTTGTTGACTGAGACCACCCAGTTTTCCATCAAGTTCGGCAGAGGTATGAGGTTTCCATAGCTAGGGATCAATTGAGCTTACTAGGAGGGGCCTTCAGAGTACCCTGGCAATCCTCCAAGTGTAAAGGCCGTCACGACGAACTCCGGAGCCTGTAGGTTTAGCCCGAATCTCTATGCTGGAGGGAAGGTGTGCTTGTGGGTTTCCCCAACAAATATAGTGTTATTGCTGATTGCTGACGCGAGAAGGTCGATTCTTGGGTAAAACAACCCTCTGCCTCGTTGAGGTCACTCCTGCTAATAATGTCAGGACATGGACCGGCCAAGCAGGAGAACAATGGTCCTCGGCGCAAGGGTTAGAGTCCGTTTTGATCTCTATCCAAAGTCTGATGTCCGCGAACCCATATGAGAACGAGCCGGGATACGAGCACGCCAAGTCGAAGACGGACGAAGAGAACATGGCCCATTATAAGGCTAAAATATGCCATGAGACGATACGCATAGCAGTTCTTCAACCTCTTGAGGCAGCTCTGGGCATCGTGGCCGGTGGAACATCAGAACCATTGAAAAACGGAAGATGCATAGAGCCTGATTACAGCTCTGAAGATGAGGGCTGCATCAATAATAATCCCTTCATTGATCTCCGGAAACGCCGCTTTCTATGGTACTACGATTCGTATGTGCAGCTTATAGACAGGGAGTCGCAGAAAGAGGCCGTCGCGCCAAAGAAACCGTTCCAGAAAATGCCCTTCGAGAGTAGTGGCAACTCCATGGATGGACATTTCGACTACCCCGAGCTACACCGGCGATTAACGCACCTCAAAGCTAAAATTCTGGAAGAAACCAAAAACTGGGCAACGCGGGGCCTGGAAGCAATTAAGAACGAGCTCGGCATCGCGGCCAACCTCCAGCGGCAGTATGAACAGATCGTTGAAACCCTCAAGAGCCACAAGAACTACTCGATCGACCTATCTCTCGCCGACAACAACCCTTTCGTGTGGAAACTCACGTACTTTGGCCGGCCGACGACACCCCTGGAAGGCGGAATCATCAAGATCAGAATCCACCTGAGTACGAAGTTCCCAGAGGAGCAGCCGCGGGTCTTTGTCGAAACGCGCCTCTCTCACATCCGCGTGTCGAAAGATGGCGTTCTCTGCTATTTCCCAAACAGACTTGAGGAAATGCGCCAGCACGTTGAAGCGATCGTCGCCGCGCTGGAAGAGGCAGATCCACCCTACGATCCGCGCACGACGGTAAACATAGAAGCGTCAAAGTTATTCTGGGGCTCTCCGGAAGATCGCAGGGTGTATAAGAGAACGCTGAGGAGGGACATTGAGCGATCGGTTGAGTAGGTGCACCAGCTCCCCATTGAGCAGTACAGCACGTTATTAACGCTGCTCACAAACGCAGATATGCCTACGAGTAAATCGGATAACTTCTTAGCCCGGGGTACGGAATGTTGCTGGAATTGACGCCGGCATCAACATGCGTGGTGCGCCGAGTAACAAGGTAATGGACGGGTACTTGCGTTGACTTATTGTGCCCTTATAGCCATCGCAGTAACGGCATATTTGGTAATGGTGGTCAGGTAACTCGGCGAGGCGTATCTGAGGTAGATTGGCCCAAGATTTCTGCATGCACATGGAGAATGATACCCATCGCGGGGAAAGTGGCGGGTTTCGTGAGCAGTCTGCGCGCCAGGTTCAGATATAGCTGGTCCTTTGCTTTGATTTCTTCCGATCTTGATACGGGGCAAAGGGAATGGGTATTGAAGCTTGATCGGTTCCGCATTTTCGTGCAGTTGACTAGATACTCAGTTAGGTAGCCTTCATAGTTCAGACCTTCTCCTGTGCTTTCCATGATATGATCAAACGATGACGAAGGTTCAGCATACTCAAATGACCCCATACTGCTTATCTAGATGGGTTGGCTTAGCACCCGAATGCTAGGACCTCTCAGATAATCAGTTGAAGGATGCAAATCAGTAGTATTGACTTCCTATCAAAGTACGCAATAATTGAACCATAAGAGCGCACCAAATAGGATCTCATGGTAAAAGACGACTCAATCACAGAAAAGCCTCGAAGCATCAAGCATTGTTTTAAACAACTCAAGAACAGATATAAAACTCCAATCCAAACGGCCCGAAAGAACACCAAACCCATTGACTCCGCGCTCCACCACGCCCTCATAAATAGAACTAAAGCAGTAAAGTGAACAGGGTAAGCTGAGGGCACAGTTTAAGCCCGATTCCGCAAAATGCGGCGCCCCCCTGTTGCAGTTTCACCACCTGCCGACACGGTAGCCTTCCTGGATCCTGAAACAGTAGTCTTCTTCGCTGCAGCGGGAGCTTTAGCTCGCGCAGCAGACGCCTTCTTTGCTGCAGCGCTGGCAGTCGACGCCGTCGACGCAGTGGTCACTTTCCGCGATGAGCTCTTAGCCACGGTTGTGCCAGACGAGGTGGTTGAGGAAACGCTTCCTCTGCGATCAGTCTGGCGAGTTCCAGGCCGTGACAGGGGAGAGCGAATTGATCTCGGTCCTGCGGTGGCGGCTCTGCTGGCGGGGCGTTTGGTCTGCGAGGATGGTGGACGAGGAGGGGCAGCGCCTCGTGCTGAGCCGGGGCGGGAGGCGGCGTAGTTTCCCGTGGTAGACTTGAGAGGGCTAGAAGGTTTCAGGGGTGACATAGGACGGGAGAGGTATGTAGAGGGCTGGGCTTTCTCTGGCGAGCGTAGAAGAGGGGATTGGGGGTAGGTTCTGGAATTGGAGGACTTGGGAGAGAGAATCCTGTAGTCTGCTCCTCGGACTTCCTGAGAGACAACGCGCGAAGTACCGGCGCCGGCGGCAGGTTTGACGCGTCGCTTGGGGTTCTTGAGCACGTCAAGCTGCTCGCCTGATGCGGGGGCATTTTCTTTATCCGAGTAGATGCCGGCGGGACTAACAATACATCAGTACAACCGAAGGGTAGAAACGAAGACAACCGCGACGTACCTATGCTGCTTCCTCACTCGCCGTGGGCTCGGGCTAACGGTCGCAGCCTTCTTTCTGCCTGATGCGGAAATGGCCGTGAAGTTGCGGGACCCTTTTGCCGGGCTGCGGTATTTCCTTGGCGACGGGTTCTCGAGTTGAGCGCGGAGGGCAGCATGGTGTTTTTCGAGCAGCTCGCCCATATTTGCTTTTCGGAGGGCCACGGGGATTCGATTGACGCGTCGCTCGATTCGCGCCCGCAGGTCTTGTGCTTGGAGGGCGTATTGTGCGCGGAGCTTGCGTGCTCGTTCCGTGACTGGAAAAGTCAGCATAGATCCCAAGCGGCTATGATCATAAACACCATACGCTCAAGTTGCAGATTGTCCATCAGTGCCTGTTTCTGGCTTCGCGTAATGCGCATGCGCTTTCTGGGGGAGGCGTTTGTGGGCGTTGCGTCCTCGGCACTGGGATACGCGTCGGCCATCTCGTGGGATTTGCGTTTCGATGCGGAAGCCATTGCGAAAATAAAATAGGTCGAAGTAATCTTAGTAAACTAATAGATCAATTCTAGCGATTTTGGCGGCGTTCGACGTGATGTGGTGCTGGTCGGCGAAGGGATGGGGAGAAGAGATGGAGTTGAGTGTTTGGGGATAAACAAGCGCTGACTTAATTCGTCGTTAGCTTAGTGAGCTCAAAGCCAGTGGGTGTGACATCTCCATTTGTCGGCCCAGTTTCATCCTTCCACCATCATCAACTCTCCACCTTTTCGTTCCTCAGATAACAGCTTGCTCTATATTTAATTTCTCTTCCTTTTATCCCACCACATATTCCGCATACCTGATTGACCCGCCAAGATGTCGCTCGAAGCTACGATGATCATGTTCGTCCCCCCAGCCCGTCGCCTAGCTCCGACTCCAGGCATAGCTAACTCCTCCCAGCGTTGACAACAGCGAGAGCAGCAGAAACGGCGACTATACGTAAGATTTGAAACCCTCTTTACCTCCCTAGAGGGATATTCGTGGCTAACCGCCACAGATCGACACGATGGCAAGCCCAGATTGACGCCGTCAGCGTCATCCACACGGCCAAGATGCGCGCACACCCTCAGTCTGCCGTCGGGCTGATGAGTATGGGCGGAAAGGGCCCCGAGGTGCTGTCAACATTCACGACTGATTTCGGTGGCATTCTCGCCGGATTGCACCGCACGAAGATTCACGGCACCGCCCACTTCACGTCGAGCATACAAGTTGCGGGTGTACGTTTCTACGCTTCCAATACATACGCATGCAGTTTGCTAACATTGACGTGTTGATAGCTCGCCCTCAAACATCGCTCCGAAAAGTCGCAACGCCAACGCATTGTCGTATTCTCCTGCTCCCCCATCGCCGAAGACGAAAAGACGCTCGTGAAGCTCGCCAAGAAGATGAAGAAGAACAACGTCTCCATAGATGTTGTCGCCTTCGGTGATCTCGAATCAGACCAGACCAAGAAACTCGAAGCTTTCGTCGAAAACGTCAAAGGCGGCGACGGCTCCAACCTCGCCATCATCCCGCCCGGCCCAAACCTTCTCTCCGAGGAGCTCCAAGCCTCGCCAATCCTCGGCGGTGATGCTGGTGGCGCTGGTGGTATGGGAGGAGATGACGGCGGCGACGGCGGTGCCTTTGACTTGGATGCCGCCGCTGAGAATGACCCCGAGTTGGCCTTTGCGCTGCGTTTGTCGTTGGAAGAGGAGAAGAACCGGCAGGAGAAGGAGAAGCGGGAGCGGGAGGCGCAGGAGGGTAAGGAGAATCTGGAGGGGATTCCCGAGGAGGGTTCATCCAGCAAGAAGGATAACGAGGATCCGGATAAGATGGATACTGCTTAGAGTAAAGATTACAATTGACGTTAATACATACCCGGCGCTACCCGCTCTACCAAATCAACTGTTGTCCTATTATTGATCTAAGTAACGTAGGCAGAAGGTGGTCATGATTCATATCACAATCCGTTTGGATGGTGGTCACGCACCAATGATTACTTATCTAACATATTCAAATAGACCTCTTTCGACCCTTCATATCACCGGTTCCCAGATATTACCCTCGCACTCTAAGAAACCCCCCAAGCCCCCTATCAAACCTCTCGCATCGCACCGGCATCTCTATCTGATAGAACGGATTCTTCATGACGTAGTCCGCATACAGCTCATATATCCCCTTCATAATAACATCCACATTATCCATCAACGGGTCCGTGAACAACAGGAACTTCGTCCCCGTCAGCGTCTGAAAGCACGTCAGCCGGAACTTGTCTGTCTCCAGCGTCTCCAGCCCACTCGGCGGAATATTCGGGTTCGGGTATGTGCTGCTTGGGGGTGAGGGTGAGGAGGGGTTCGGGTTGAGCGTTGTGGTTGAGAGCGTCGATGAGTGGTTATGGCTGGGGGCTGAGGGGGTAGGCGTAGATGGTAGTGAGGGCGAGGATGTTCCGCCGGTGACGGTTGATGGTATTGAGTAGTTTGGGATCTTGGGTGTGATGGTGCGGGTTATCGCGTGGACGCTGGTGCGGCGGATTGTTAGCATGTTGCTCTTTCACTGCCATTACCCCTTGTTCGACGATGGGCGATATTATAGAGAGAGGCGCACCCATGAAACGTTCCCGCGAGAACAAGGTAGTCATTTGTCGACAGCTTGCGCAAGCCCGGTTGGAACTCGCGCTGGTAGATCAGTCCGCCGGCTTTGTTGATGATTATGAGGGAGAAGACGGGCCTTTGGTGGCATTGTCAGTCTTTATGCTAACACTGTTTCCCAAATTTGAGGTAGAGTTGAACGTACATGGTGATTTATGTATATCAAAAGCAATGAGGGGAAGAGAGAAGAGAGGACACCGGGGTGCGGTGCGGTGCGGTTCAGGGTTTCCGAGACTCGTAGGATGAGTATCGTCTTCTTCGGCTGGGAGGTGACTGATTCGGTTCCCGGGTATGGATTGACGTGAGTAAAGTGTACTATCCACGCGGCATTGGTAAGTTGGAGCTGAGAAATTGTTGTCGGAGAAAGATGAAGCGCAAATGCGGAGGTGGATTGACTTCCGAGTGCTCTTTATTCTGCACCCAATCTCCCTGGGCGGCTGGGTGGGGTATAACTATGTTAGCTTAAAGCTAGGGCGAAAATATATACATTCGAATTGTCCCATAAACTTAGCCCGCAACAACACCCGCCGTCATCGTCGTATCACTCCCTGGGAACAACTTTCCAGCCTTATCCTTCAAAAAACAATTTCCTCCCTGTCCGCCTCCAAACGATGAGGTCAAATTCGCCTCGTACGTGACGCCTTTGCACCGCGTCTTGTGCGGCTCCAAGTCGCTGTTATACTGCACACATCTATCTATGCAGTCGTCCAACGTGTACTCTGTCCAACGTGTGAGATCAGATACGTCTCCACTGCCATCTGCAGCCTCGATTCCTCTTGGCCAGTCATTGTTGCACTGGATAATGAAATTCGAGCCTACGGACGAGGTGACGAGGGTCGAGTTTGCGCCTGGGCAGGGGTTTTGGGCGACTCCAACCGTGCCGGATGTTATGGGGGCTGAGGAGGTCGTTGATGCCGTCAAGGTCGTAGACATGGACGTGGACGTTGACGGTGATGGTGATGCGCTGGCCTCAGGCGTGATAGTCTCGCGGGCACTGGAATTGGAACTGGTAGCAAGCGGACTAGAGAATTGATGAGTAGGCGAATCCAAGAGCTGCTATGCGGGCGGTTGAGCTTACTTACTTCGTGTCCGACGTCGATGTCGCAGTCGCGTGCAAAGTGTCAGCCTCGTCCGAACTCTCATCTGAGTTCTTCGAAAGCGCACCACCCACCCCTCCGCCAACAGCAGCCCCAATAACCACAAGCACGAGCAGCGCGCAAACAGACCAGAACACCACCGGACTCAGCCCGCAAATCCTTCTCTTACGTCTTCCTTCCTTGAAGGTTTCCCCTGCCTCTACCGCTTCCAGCGCAAATGTCCTTGGTGAATTGGAACGGACCGCTTCGATTGCCAGTGAGTCTGCGAGTGGCATGACCCCGACCGCTTCCTTCCCATATTCGACATCCAGGTACGGTTGTCTGTCTTGATAAGGGACGTGGACAACCTCTAGGCCGTCCCAGCTGAGCCTTGGGCCTTGTATACCGTTGGAGTTTGGGTTGCTCCCTGCAGACATGTTTGTTTGAAAAACGGCGAGTCGTCGTCCGGGCGCCAGTGACTGCAGCGGAGAATCAGTTCATTATATCTCGCGACGGCTGAGAAGGTTGCAAGTTCTCAATCGACCCCGCGCCCCTTTTCAAGTCGTGGGTGTTTGCTCCCCTTTTTACGGAGTACGCGCCGCGGGTTGATATCTGCATGGTTAGGTTTCACTTGATGATACTGTGGTACAGTTTATTATGCTGTTGCACACTATCATGTCTAGCATTGGCTGGTTCATGCGAATGTTTTAAATCCGCCTGGTTCCCTACCCAACTTGTCTTAGCGACATGAGCAATCAGAGCATAGCGAGTAATATTTAGTGAAATCAGAAAAGAAGGAAAACTACGATGGCGAGTAGGAAGAAAGGGACTTGGTTTCATTATGGTAATAGGTAGGAAAGGAGGGCTAAATATACACCAAACACCGCCTAAAGCCCAGATGAGACCCTGCATGGATTGTCTGAGAATTATTTAGATGGCACCCAGTGCCTAGGAACTAGTCTCCACGTATGTTCGCTTGCACACCTGCATATGTACTCCGTACCTACGGAGCCCTAGGAATATGCATTCCACTACCGTATATAGAAGGCCTTCTGGGAGCATAATGCATGAAGATAGTCCTCAGGCAGACAAGCGTAGAGGGCGCGGTAAGTACTCCGTTCTTTTGAGTAGCGCGAGCATAGAAACAGGCAACAGAAGAGGTATTTATATTGCATCATCTCAAATAGTACGTACAGGATATCATCGCAACGCAACGCATCACATCGTAAATCATAAGCATGCCCGCGCCGTGACCATAGCCGTATCCCACCCAACGCAGAAGCCAAACTATATCAAACACGTATTACCGATCCAACCCGCACCGAGAGAAATGCATACTAGAAATGGAAGATGAAAGACAGGACAGTGAGGCCGTAAAGAGAACCAAGAACGCAATAGAGAAACAGGAAAAAATCACTTCCCACAAAGACTCGCCAACTTCCACTCTCCATCCACGAACCTGACAACCCCATTATTCTCTGCCCACTGCCTCAGCGGGAGATCCTCCCTCTCGGGGCCTGGGTCTCTCTTCTCGAAGTGTCTAGCCACATGCTCCATGCGCTCCTTCCACGCGTTCGCACCGCGGAATTCCATGGCGCAGAACCCGCAGTGACTTAGTGTAGGCGGTTCCCGGAGTTGTCGCCAGCATCGCTTGACAACGGTGTCGAGGGAAGCTTCGAAGGTGTCCTTCTCAGCCTGAGATGTGGATGAGTCCTTGCGGGACGAAGGGTTGGGGTTGGCTGGGTTTGTGGTCCAGGGGGCGTGCATGCGGCGCTGGTGCTGGATGAAGAGGTCCTTGCGGTTGAAGTCGTTGACGAGGAGGGTTGGCCGTCGAGGTGTATGGTGGTGGGAGGGGGAGGTGGGTGTTCGCGGGTGATGCGTAGATGGCGAGTGGTTATTCAAGCTGCACCGGCCGACGTCGCATCTGTAGAAGCCCAGCTGGATGTGCTGGGAGCTCACGTGGCGCTTCCATTCGTTCTTAGAGGGGAAGGTACTTGTGCAGCCGTAGCGGGCGAAGCAGCATTCGAAGCGGCGGTCGGCTGTCTTCTTGGGTGGTTGTTTGGAGGTTGTGGCTGCTTCGGTGCGGTTCGATTTGGCGGGGGTCTTTTTGGGGGACTTGCTGGTGCGCTTCTGGACGCGGGTTCGGGTGTTATCTTTGCGGGATGAAGACTTGCGAGTGGGTTTGGAGGCTTCGCGTTCGGCGGGGTTGGTGTACTTGCTGGGTTGGTGGGGAGCTGGGGTGTATACTTGTAGGAACATGTGGTTCTGTTGAGGCATTGGGTGGGTTGACTCGGTAGGACTCATTGGTTCTTGCTTGTACAGAGTCATTGGAAACTCGGGGTATGAAGGAGAGGGCGAGCTCTCAAAGCCAGATGCGCATGACGTGGAGTCGTCATAGCTGAGAGCGGGCATGTAATTGCTCTGACAGTCCGTCTGAGGTGAGACGCTGCGTATGCTCTCGTCAAAGGGCGAAGGAGGGCACCAGTATCCCATGTCTGCAGGAGACGGGGGTGGAGGATAGCTCAATGGATCGAACGGAGGAAACGGAGCGCCCTTGACCGCGACATCCGTCGTAACGGGAACACATCCCATCATAGCATCAGGCATAGGAGCCGCCATCACATTGGCATCGTGGTGAGGATAATACTGCACATCGACCTCGTGCGCAATTGGAAGCTGGCCCGGCACGCCGTAGTGGTGGAAGTCAGAATAATTGTAGTGGTCCTCCATTGTTCAAGCACAGACAGGAGGCTGGCAGGGTCAAGTCAACAAAGGATGACAGGTACAGGAACACCACGAGGCAGGAAACAAAGCTTTAGCTTAAGCAAGAATTAGGACCAACATGATTGCAGCGGACCCATGGCGGCATTTATTCTCAACTAGGCTCACTTGTCCGCCCTCTGGTGTGGTCAACAACTGGATCAAGACACCGCGAATTGGCGAGTCTTGAATGAGCCTCACTAGCCAATGCGCACCCTCCATTACGATGAAAAGGCACAATCGGCTGGTGGATAAGGAAGTATATCCCTGTTTGGCGTCCGATACCGACAGACAGACTCCATCAACATTGCAGAACTAGGAGTGGACAGGACTAGTCAGGGCCGTTGCGCTGGAGCCACTCCTTCATTACTTTTTTGCTCCCTTATTCTGGCACGATCTCCGTTATTTGATTTTCTATCGCGCCCAAACTGGCCTAGACATTGACACATGGGCGTAAAGTTACCGATACTTGAGCGGGACAAGTGGCTGACGGGGTGCAGCGCCGCAGAGGTCGGCGTCGTGCCAGTGCAGCGTTGAAGATTTGTGGCGGCCGGGCTGAGTGCCAGTACGAAACGGTGACAATACCCAGAGCCTCAAGCTGTCCGAAATTGGTCTTAGTACTGCTGTATTATACCCCGTACGGAGTAGGCCCGCCGCCCATGGCCGCCAGCAGCGGTAAGCGTAGTGTGGGAGTCGTCATCTGCCATGCATGCACTGGTTCGTGCGCTTCTTTTTCTGGCCCCATCCCGGGGTTCCTCAATCGGCGACTGGCGAGAAGGATCCGTCGTCGGCGAATAGGACGAGAGTTGGCAGGCAGAGACTGGACGGTGTTGGCTGGATTCGGTTTGCCCTGGTGAAGGGCCCCTGCTCTGGGCCTCTGGCGTCAAGACGGCGGCAGCTTGGCGCAGATAACGAAGCGAAATAACTGGGGCACGGGGACCAACAAAGTAAGCAATCAGCGATATATGAGTGGAGCGTGATAGTCTATCAAAGTCAGGGTAGGAATGTCAAGATGAGATGGTGGTGGTGGACTGGTGGTGGAAGTCCGATCCGACCAGGACCTCGTATCGCAGCGCTTCGGCTGAGCTTGCAACTGATCCGATCGAGCAGCCGCCAAAGCAAAACCGCCATCTCCGTTCTATTTAGAGACCATCCAACTGAGGAGAGTATGATTTTATCGGTATGGTGGTTGAAAAATGATGGAATTGGAGATGGATGGACGCCAGGAGGGATGGATCATGGGCTGAGTGGCCGAGTGTTTGCCTGATCGAGGCATCCCCACGCGAGACCCCGATCCACTCCACTCCGCTCCCCTAGCGCTATGGGGCCTTGCTGTCTCTAAGATTTTGACGACATTTTCCACGCTCTCCAAGTCCAAGATCACCCTCTCTGAACCCAGAATCCCAGTCCAGTTCCAGAACATGTCTCCGGCTGTCAGAAACCGCCAAGCCGAGCCACCAGATGGTCGCTGAGTCGCTTATTCCGGTCCTCGGAATTCAACCCTGTCAAGGATAACGCATACCCGACGATCGCTATACTCATCAAAATGATGATCCTGATCCAATCCAAGAGTCTTCCCCGTCCGGTCAATCTGCAGCATCGACAGCGTCGCGAACCCGGGCTAACCACCGCACCAAACCGCAAACGAGGCCGATCTGCCTTGGGCGCAGGCGCAGTGCAGCAGTACCTAGCGCCAGGCTCGTCGCACAACATAACTAGGCGCATCACCTGAATTAAGTCCCCGAGACCTGGCACACTGCATATGCACCTTTCAGGGGCGAAACTCTCCCGAATCCGATGACACCCTCACGGCTCACGCCCTCATGCCCATGGGCAATGGTAGGGCTAGATTGCAATGGGCGCCCGGCGCAGGGCTCTGCATGGATGGGCGAAAGAGCCAGCAGAAGGAATGAAGGCTTCGTTGCAAAAGCAAAGTAAGACATCTGCAACGCCAAACCAACGGCAGCCAGGACTTTGTCGCAGCGGGCATCTTACAGCGGCTATGCTCGGCCGGTTTGAACTTTGAAGCAGAGCTAGGCTGCTAGAGCCAGACCATGCGTTTAGGTAAGGCATAGACTCGTGAGGTCGAAGTGGTCAAGTGGCAGACACACGCCTCCAGTTTAACTTCAGACCTCAATGATGCCCAACAGAGCCTTACTCTAAATGTCAGTCTGACCCTCTGACAGGTCGCCGGGAGACCCCAGATCTCTCCTTGGAGCTTGGGCTCCGGCCTGGGCCAGATTACTCGTGGCTTAGATATCTCACCAGCCACACTTTTAGAGGCCCTAAGCCCCAAGAGCCTGCAGGACGGAGTATCACTGCCATTCATGACCTCACTTGAATTAATATCCCCAGAAAGGGTAGAGTTGAGGGTTGATGTCATCGAGCATATTCAGGTAGCTCCGATCCGGATGGTGAGACGGGTTCTTTTGAGACCCCGTCAAAACTTTCGTTGAACGAACTGCTGACACTACTCCGTACTTTGCTTCGTAGATTACAGAGAAGTCAATGGCCATGCCGATCATTATTGTCAAATTCCACCATCTCTAAATTATCACGATCGACAAACTACGCCGTTGCTCCCCCAAAAAGGCGTTTGCCTGACCCATACAAGACACTGATGACACCGAACCAATCCTCTCTAGTCCGAGGCTGGCTTGTCTTGCTATTCACTGGGCCTCCAAAGGTGACTTCCGGATCTCAACATGGAAAGAACTGACAGCGCCTGCCCCGGCTGCGTGTGGCATCGGAGCATCGGCGCCATCTGAGAGCTGAATAACTCCGTCCCATCAGCAGACGCAGTGATCATTCAAAACCAACGAGCGAGGATGTCATTCATTGATAATTTCCTTACCTAGCCCAAGGGTATTGTCTTCATAGAATGCGGCGGAGAATGCAGTGGGAAATGTGTTTTTTTCTTCTTCTTGAGCATACCCTCATCGGTCCCCCAAGTCCAGCCTACACCGCAGGTGAACAGCAATGTATGTTTTCCAGGATGATGTAAGACAGGCTGATGTAGGTCGGCAGCGGAGGGTAGGAAAGCTTGTCGCATACCTAACACTGTGTTCGGTCTCTCTTCCTGCCCACTCTTTAAAAGTTGTCCAGTACCCAAACATTACCTAACCCAACCCGTCACCTCGCAATTCCCAGGAGGCCGTTGCAAGCCATCGTCAAAGTATACGGGGCTTTCAATAAACCTGAATCCGAAAACACAACGAATATCTTCATATTCCACGAGATGTACATGGCAAAACCGATAATTGGTATGGTTAGCAGTATACATCGAGAAAAGAAGATAGCACCCAGCGGCTTCAACCATCATACACGAACTGCGATATCAAGCTATGTCAAACCGAAGGGCTTTCCTAACCTGCTCTAATATGTTCTCAAGGTGGCACCGACTCACGTCAGAGTGAACAAGAAACCATGCTAACCAGTGGGTTTTCCCGGTGAGGCAAGGGTCCTCGATACGATCCCCGTCTTGATAGAACAACGTCCAGCGAACAACGTTGGCCATCAACTCAGCAGAAGATCTCTCAAGATCCTCGAACGTGACTTCCATGGTGACCTTGCCGCCCCTTTCGGCGGGTATATAGCCACTGCCCCACCAGCCCAACTGGTCGGAGAATGGCGTCGCCAGTGCGCAGAACCGATCGTTGTCGTTACATGCTGATAACAGTTGAAGTGCATAATAGTCAACGCCCGTCGAGTACATGCTTCCTTCAGCGGCCTTCGCGCCCGGAGCCCGACAGTTTACTTCAATAACCGTGACCTCAGGCGGTGGCGTGGAACAGGGTCTGCTGGCGGTTGTCAATCGTGGGAATGCCGACTTGGTGGTCCTGTAAGTGGAAGCACTATGCTGCACTCGGGCCTCACAGTGAAAAACGCCTGTATGGAACCCGAGTCGGAGCAGAAGGGAAGTCACATTGTCAGTTAGCAAGGCCAGTTCGTTGCTGGAGAGGTTGCTTGGGAACATGCTCCCGGTCTCAACCCAGGACTTTTCGCTGAACTTGGAGGGAAAGCCCTCTGCTGTGGTGGGGAGGTTATCAGAGATCTCGGTAAGAAGTACCCGCCCATTGTGAAGAACAACGTTCACGTCCACCTCGGGCCCTTCTATATAGATCTCAGCTAGAGGCTCCTTTCCCAAAGCCCTGAGTCTCCGTTCAGCAGCAATGCGCTCTTCTCCGTCTCGACACAAGAAGATGCCGAATGACCCGCTCCCACTAGAGGGCTTAACGATGGTCGGAGGGCTCTGGTCAATCGACTGCCCTATCTGGGGGAGAGGTGAGAATGCCCGTAGCAGCTCTTTGTTTACAGTCGTGGCAATTGTCTTGGAAGATTGTGTCGGAAGAGCGAGTCGCTCCGCAACCCTGGCAGTGGCCTCCAGGTAACGGTCTGCGAGAGAGGTGATTCCATCTATCGGGATTTTGTCGGCTTGAAGCGCAGCCAGAATCCTCTCCGGCAGCTCGCTGTCAATAGTCATATCCACAGGGAGGAACTCAATAGGCACGCCCAGGGCTTCGCGGCGGCGCTGGAGCCAGTGGCCAGGTTGATCAATGATAACTAGGGTCATTCTCAATCCGGCTGCTGCGCGAAACAGGCGCTCCCTCAATGCAAGATTGTAGCCGCCGTTTACCAAGGCAATGCGCCTTGGAACCGCCTCGCAATCGAGAACTAGGGGCCCCGCGAGTCTGTGGGATAGCTGGTTCAAAACACCACCTTCCTTGACCAGGTCGTGGCTCACCTTGAGCTGGATGCCGCCGATCGCGGAGGCAAACGAACGCTGCAGCCACTCGCGACTATCAGTCGTTGAGATGGACTTGATGGCTGTTTCGGGCTGATCGCGACAGAAAACCTGGATTACCTTGTCCCAACCAGCTGTTCGCAGTTGAAGTATGTCATTCCTTGCAAGGTAGCCTGCCCGTGTTGGCAGAAATAGGCAAAGAGTTGTACGGTCACCATCAACTCTTTTTGTGGAGGACCGAACGCAGTCCAGCCACCACCTAGCCCATTGTGGCATGCCAGAAGGTTGAACTTGGGCTTGACCGTCGGAAAGAGATAACTCATAGGCCACCGATTTTGCGCCAGTGTTGCAGTATTCCAGAAGCGGATGGCCATCGTCCACCTGGGGAACCTCAAGCGTGACAGTCTGGAAGTCGGTGTGATGCACAGCATACAGACCCCAAGAAGCGATCGGATTATCTGTTACAGTATCAGATAAGTAATGCAATGTGAGGACAAGCTATTACTGACCCTTGCGAGGGGCCTCTGTAGTAAGTGTAAGCACACCTGTGTTGAGTGAAGGCGACGGCATCGGCGTTATTGATCAACTTTGCGATAGGCACAATAATGGGAGAGCTAGAGATCTATGCCTTTGGCTCCCGCAGTGGATAAAAAGCTGAAAGCAATTTTACAGCCCTGACACTGTGCTCTTTCTCCTCGCGTCTCTCGTGACGTGTCCCTCTGCAAAACCAACAAATACAGGCATCAACGTCAAGGCAACTAGCACTCCGTTCACGCAAGCTATGGAATGGATTATAGAACCTGACTGTATCCGCGGTTTCTACCGTGGGAATGCTCGGCCATGCCAGTCGGAAAAGGTGAAGCTCGCGTGCTTCGATCTGGTGGGTGCATCCTCATCGTCTACGAGGACAATTCTGTATGGTAACATCCCTTGACAGGACATGACCTTGATTCGAACCAAGTCTGGAGAGATTATGCCCGTCAACGGGAAGGATTGGGCTTGGTGGAACATTATTGTGCCTCAGAAACTGCGGACACTCACCCGTCAAGGGTTGGTATGAACCATCCTAGGCAGGACAGGCAGCTCACAGGCCTGTATAGGTACCGAGTCATGATATTTACGAATCAGAACAACATCCTCCTCCAGCAGCAAAGACTTTCAAACTTCCAAAGCAAGCTCGAGGAATTGGCTACGGAGGTACAAGTGGATCAGGGTTGGATGGCAAGAGGAGACTGACATTCAATTAGCTGAACGTCCCCCTCGTGGTCTACATTGCACCCGTGATGAACCACTACCGCAAGCCGGAGATTGGGATGTGGGAATTGATGCTCCTGGAGCAAGGGATCTCCGTGGCAGAGATCGCCGATGCGTTTTACGTGGGCGATGCGGCTGGACGGGAGGACGATTGGTCTGACAGCGACAGGTATGTGGTTAGGCAGCATTTCATTCAATCGGACTGACCACATTGCAGGGTCTTTGCTCTGAATGTGGGGGTTCGCTTTCACCTTCCAGAGCACTTTTTCGAGGGATCAAGTTGAGAACAATGAATAGTTTGTGCGAAATGCTGCCAGTGTTACCCTGAGGCTGAAACACTGATAATGCATCACCTCTTGTAGTTGCGAGGCCTTCTGCCCATTTGTCTCACCAGTCCTTAGAGGTTTTGGAACTTCATATGTTTCCCATTTTCATTCACTTTCTCATTATCTCAGTTCGTAACCGCCATAGCGTGCACATTTGACTACCAACCGTGGCTTGATATCAGCAAAACAGACATGACGCCGTTATTCGTTTATATCAACGGCTACCCCGGAGTGGGCAAGCTCACTGTGGCGAAGGAACTATGGTATGTGTGATCCCCTGTACTTCGCTCAACAAGGGATCTCATTGCGTCTGCCCTGGAATCTAGTAAGCTGCTGCCAAAGGCAAAGATCCTGGACAACCACCTGCTCATCGATCCTGCTGCTGCTGTCTTCGAAAGAACCGCGGAGGAGTATCAGCCTCTTCGCCAAGTTCTGGTATGTGAATCGCTCTTCTAACTGATGCCCGCCCATTGACCTATCTGGTTGCAGCGCAGAGAGATCCTCAAATCGCTTGCGACTGCTACGACAACCCGGGAGACATCCTGGATTTTCACGGACCAGCAATCCTCGAGTGCCTTGGGAAGTGCATCCGCCAAGGACTATCAACAAGCAGCAGCTGTCCGCGGGGCCCCTTTTATCTCGGTTGTGTTGAATTGCGATCTTGATGAAAATCTGCAGCGGGCTGTTGGGGGGGATCGAGGGGCTGGCTCTAATACAAAGCTGACAGACCCTGCCATTCTACGACACATCAGACAGAGCGAGGACATATTCCGCTTCAAAGACCAAAACGAGCTGGTACTTGATGTCACTCATCTCCCTGCATCAGAGGCTGCCCGAAAGATCCACGAACATATCAGTAAGTCTCTTCCTACAAACACTGCATGGTATGGAAAGGTGCTTACCATGGACTCCGTGTTGTAGGAAGCGTCCAGACCACACATGCAACTGAATGCATGCAGTTGCAGCCCACCAAGACCTTTGCCGATCTTCAAGGCTTCAAGCAAGAGTTTGTCGCAGACATAAAACGTGGGCTCCCTGATCGAACTGTACGGCTTCTATGCTGGCTGTTGAGCCGCCCTCGGGACCATGGCGGCCTGGTCTTCCTCTCCGTCGGCGATAGCACAGGGACCATTCAGGTAGTGGCCAACTCTGCCGCGCTGGATAAAGGGTCTGAGTTGGGCACGCTTAAGCCAGAATCTAGTTTGATGGTTCATGGTCGCCTTACACCAGACCGTGAGGGAACGATGGAGATATCCGCCGACAAGATCTACATCATATCGAAGGCGACTGGCACCATTCATCCTAACATTCGCAGAGCAAGTCCGAAGCTTCTTGAAGCACAATCCATGAACCACCTGCTGACGAACAGGCACCTTTACCTTCGAAATCCCCTGATCATGGCGCTCAATGTCTATCGGTCACAGCTTTTGACAGCTGTCCATGAGTGGTTCAAGAAACACCAGTTCATTGACGTCAGTGCCCCCCTACTTACGAGATCGATCCTGTACGAGCCAAAGTCTGCTATTCAAATTACCGGCTCCAAGAACGATAAGCCCGTTTTCCTGTCTCAATGCGCCGGCTTCTACCTCGAGGCCGCTGCCCATGCCCATGAGCGCGTATACAATCTCGGCCCAAGCTTTCGAAGCGAGAGTCGAACCAACCGTCATCTCATGGAGTACTGGCATATCAAGGCTGAGCTCTGCTCGGGCTCTATGGACGACATCATCCAGCTTGTCGAGATCTTCCTGCACGACATATTCCATTCCGCCCTGCAAAGCACGCAGGATGTGACACGGCTTCTCGGCACAGAGTACCCGACTATCCAAATCCCATTCATGCGTATAACATACAGAGAGGCGCTGGCACTGCTGAAGACAAAAGGCCTTGATCTGGCGTTTGGGGACAACATTTGCAGGAAAGCGGAGATCCTCCTTACGAGTCACTTCGGCGGGCCTGTCTGGCTGACGCACAAACCGCGCAGCCTGGAACCCTTTCCTTATTCCCTCTGCCCCGACGACCCGGAGCTCACAATGACTGCCGATCTCATTTCCTCCGCTGGGTTTGGTGAGATATGCGGCGTGGCGGAAAAGTCCTTCACGCGAGAGGACCTTGAGACTCGGTTGGAGGAGAAGGGGAAGTCCGCGGCGCATGAGATGTATGGGTGGGTGCTTCAGAGCAGGGACTTCGGCATGGCGCCTCATACGGCGTTCGGCATGGGGTTTGAGCGAGTGCTAAGGTGGTTCTGTGGTGCTCCTCATGTCAAAGACATGATTCCTTTCCCCCGGGTTTTCGGTCGGGACCCTACACCATGAGCTGTATCTTGTTGGGTCGTAGTGACAAGTGACAACTTCCCATACATAGCTTAGCTTGACAAATACTATGAACGGTTTGGTTTCATTGGAACTATTCTCCTTGCGGCTTCATTGTTCTATAGACTGATTATCCACCTATTTGGAGGACTGCGAAGAAAGTAGGGTAGGTAGTGTCCACGCTGACCTGTATTCTCCATCTCATCCACTTCTTTTCTGTTCAGGTGCTTTAAAATCTTGTTGATTGTTGTTCTGCTGACACGGTGAGAATAAAATCAAGTATTTATGCCTATAGGTAAGTCCAAAATGTGGTCCGGTCTTACTTGGGAGCCGCTTGAGCACAGGCGGAGGAAGTAAGCCCAGCGAGTCCATTATATGACAAAGATTGGTATTTTCTTATGTACAGCCATTTTCTGATCACATACTTATCAGATCCAACAGATCTTTATCCATCTATCGCTGATGCCTGTTATCATTGCCAATATCGTGCGGATTCCCTCCGCAGTTGGAGCCGCCGTCCCCGCAGTGCGCCCTGCGTTCCAAAGTCAAACAACGACTATCAGAGGACCTAGTGCCATCCCCCGCATTTCCAAGCTGATCTTCATCCTCAAAAGACAAGGATGTCGGGTCTATTTCCGCTAGTGAGGACCAGGTGGCGTCGAGATGCGATCATCGTTGGTGAGACTGAGATAGGGCTTGGAGGTGCTCGGAATTCCCACAGCAGTTCCGATATCACTTATCACGTATCTCTCTATCAACATGCTCACCTTCCCCGACAATTATGTAACTGTTCCGACGGCGAGCTGACGCTTTGATTCTGGCTTTAACAGCCGTCGGTCCCCATGCCGTCTTTGGGCCGACTCTGGGCTTAACCGTGGGTGAAGCCGATGCCTCGTCGTTGATCCTCCCATACTACCACAAAGACCATGGAAGCAGTCCAGGAGTCCAAAGCCTCAACCTTCAAAGCCGACCATGGAGACCCATCTGTTTATGACGCCGAGATGGCGAAAGGCGAAGTGGGCATCGCAGACCAGCTTGAGATGCCCATGAAGCGCAAGTTCAACATCCTCAGCATCGTCGCCGTGGGCTACAACATCTCAAACAGCTGGGTTGCTATTGCCGCCAGCTTTGCCATTGCCATCCAGTCGGGCGGTGCCTTGTCTCTCCTTTACGGCATCATTGTTGTTACCTTTGCCATGCTCTGCACGGGCGTGACGTTGGCTGAACTGGCCAGTGTCTATCCCACCGCCGGTGGACAGTACCACTTCACCTCCATCTTGGCCTCTCGCCGATGGAGTCGAGGCTTGTCATACCTCAGTGGCCTCGCGGCTATATTCTCATGGATCTGCCTGGGGGCGTCCATCGGCTTGTCTGGCGTGAACGCTTTGATGGCAATCATCATTCGCTGGCAACCGGGGTATCAGCCTCAGTCGTGGCATTACTTTCTTGTCTACCAGCTGTTCAATATACTCGTGGTCCTTTACAATACTTTCTTGGTTAACAGAACGCTCTGGATGTACAATATTGGATGTAAGTCAGCCTCCGAAGTGTCAAGGTAGACGCCACTAATGACTGTGCCTTCTCTAGTCGCCCTCTCGATATCCACATTTATTGTCATTACAGTTGCCTGTCCCGCTCGCTCGGACGTGCAAATCGACTCGAACGAAGTCTGGGGCATACTCACCAACGGGTCCGGTGGCTGGCCGGACGGCATCTCATTCCTCACCGGCCTCTCAACACCCCAGTTCATGCTCTCCGGACTCGACGCAACCCTCCATCTTGCAGAAGAGTGTCTTGACCCCGAACACGTCGTGCCAAAGGCTGTGCTGGTCACCGTCCTCGTGGGATTCCTGACGGCGTTTCCCTTCGCCATCGGCATCATCTACAGCTACCGTAACGTTGCGGAGTCGTTGTCCACCAACACTGGGTGAGCCATATCATCAACCTACATCAATCGGTAGCCTAATCTAACCATCCGTCTCCTTAGATTCCCCATCTACTACATCTGGGAAAAAGCCACTCACTCCCCCGCCGCCGCAACCGTCTTCATGGCCTCGCTATTTGTCGTTTCCTGCGTTGCCTTCAACGCCGTCCACCAAACAGCCTCCCGCCTTACCTGGTCCTTTGCTCGCGACGATGCCCTGTTCTACTCGAAGAAGCTCTCGTCCATCCATCCCACCCTCGGCGTCCCAGTCTACGCACTGATCCTCGACGGCGTCCTCGTCTTCCTCGTGGGGATTGTATACGTGTGCTCATCAACCGGTCCGTATACTCTTCTTCTCTCTCAAGTCCAACCAGACTAACAGCCAAGCTAGCATTCAACTCCTTCATCAGCACCACCGTGATCGTCGCCCAAATCTCCTTCGCCATCCCCGCCGTCCTTCTCATCCTCCGCCGCCGGTCAACGCACTTCCTACCGGAATCTCGACCCTTCAGAGTCTCTAATGTACTGGGCTATGTTTGCAACGTCGTGTGCATTATCTGGGCACTTATCTTGACTGTCTTCTTTTGCTTCCCTACTGTGCTTCCCGTAACGGGCGGGAATATGAGTGAGTTGCCTTTTCTTATATTGTTGTTTACTTGGGTAGACAGCAGGCTGACCAGTGGTATTGTAGATTATGCATCTGTCGTTCTAGCCGTAATGCTGATCGTCGGCGTCGCGAACTGGTTTGCGTATGCAAGGGGCCATTATCATGGGCCTAGGTTGGAGATGTAGACTATCTTGTCTTTTCAGTTTGTCTATATATGGCCACGTGAATAACATGCTATACTCTATTATTTGCGGAAAATAGTTCCTGTTTATTGGCCGCGGTCTACGGAGTAGTCTGTTTGCGATGCGGGATACCCTCCGCCCCCGAACCCTTCCCTCCACTCCAGCTTACCGCTACTCCAGGCTTGGACCATACCGAGATCCAAGCGGCTCACGTCATTTTCAGCCGTAGCTTGGCCCAGCTACCAGCTGCTCGCAGGTAAGCACATACCCGTAACTTGGAGTGTACAAAGTAAGCGAAGCCGAGCTCGTGCAAATCATCAAGAATTATAGAATAAGCGAGCCCTTACAGCCATGGCTTATGGGTGGATCCCTGCTCACCCGTAGGCCGTGCCAGACCATGTATTAGCGTTGTGGCCAATGTCAGATCAGGGTTTGCCTACCATGCCCTCGGGACCTTGGTTGGGGCACGAAATGGAACTGATGGTGACAGCCGGGCGAAGCATAGCGGCCGGCCATGGTCTGAGCTTGGCCGCCTTACCTTCTAAGACATACATACCGTACTCCCAACACCGGTATCCAGCTTCAGCAATGTTAGGCAGGACTGATCGTTGCCCATAGCGAGCAGAAGATGACGAGCAGACCACTGCTCATTGGATCTGACTAACGCAATGAATGTATTCGCTTCATTAGCGTGATCCAGTATCGTCCATGTATCTACGGGGATCGATCGTGAAGAGTACGATGCTGCTGCGGCTTGTGTTTTGGACGGACTCGATCTTCATGTCTATATTCGGCGAGGGACCCGGATCCGGTAAGATGTTCTGCGAGCTAAGGGCAGGGATCCTACTGGGGCACGGAGGAAAAGTACATGGTCAAACTGGGTTCCTGCAGAGGGACTGATAGGAGTTCTCGGTGGATTGCTGTCGCTGGTGTTGGTGGTAATGATAGGCTCCGGATGCCTGGTTTGCGTGTCTCTGTCCGGCCATGGTCGATTGATCATTGTATTGGGGGTCTCAAAACAATCCTGTGCGTGCCTTTCTTAGGGCTGGACCTCCTGAAGCAATTGGCCGCCCGTTCGACCGCTCGAATTGACAAATGAGATAAAGCTGAAAGCTTCGTCTGTAGGGTCGAGTACGGTCCAGATCTCTAGCGGGATCGTGACCAGGAGTAGGCTGCTGCATGGTTCAGTTTCATAAACGGCTTCAACCGTGATTTCGGCGCTGAGGACGCCGGGGGGGATATTCCTGGACAATAGCCACTGTTTCCACGCAGCAAGGCTTGGATTGTCGTCTGCAATATGGACGGCCAAAAGTACTTTGTGTTTCTTTTGAGATTTCGGTTTTGATTCCTTGGTGTCCCCGAGTGCGGTTTTGGTCATGGGGTTGGGGACGGTCTCCGTGACGAGTTTCTCAAGAACAATACTTGGTGAGTTTCTCTTCGCAATGTGCAGCGGGCTTGCGGCAACTTCGTGTTGCGAGGAGTTCCTGTAGAGTATCGCGAAGAGATTTGCGATGGTGCACGGGGCTCCCTTTAGATCATCGAGGGTGTCGATGAGGGCCTGCGTAAAGGAAAATTTCGGATCCGCGCCCGCAGTCTGTTCGAAAACAGAAGCACAGAGCATCTCTGCGCCATCGTAAAGTGCACCAGGTCCAGAGCCCGCGGAGCAACAATCGAATATGTAGCATAGATCGCCTGTTCCATACTCGCAAATCGCTTTCATTCCGTTCCAATCTAGACTCGGACCAGTTAGATTCCCGGAGTTGTCGACTTGTCCTCTGATTCCCCACAGACGTCAGCTTGATATGGATATCCACTAGGAGATATACTCGGGAAACTCACGCGAAATACCAGTGAAGATCCGTTGGGCCGGCTGCGGATGCGTGCCCTGAATATATAACAATGCGTAGAGCCTGTTCTCCTTCATGCTTGCTTGTCCACGACACCAACTTCTCGGTGAGATTCTTTTGGGGTCTGTCTTCTGGTATTTCGAAGGATTCAACATCATAGCCATATTGGTTCTTGAAGATGTCGAGTAAGGCCTTTTCCAAGGGCAGAACCCCCAAGTCATCGTTTTCCCAATGCATTGCGATTACTGAGACCTGGTCGTAGTAGCCCGTCCTCGAGGGAAGACATCTTTGAATTGCGGCTTCGAGATCAGACGCAAATCCCCTAAGCCTTTTTGTGGCTTTAGCCACCCGAAAGGCGTCCTTTGGCTTGGAGGAACGAGACATTGAGATCGTGGCGGATACGAGTGTGAGACATTAGGAGAGTGAGTCGGAAAGGGAGAGAGAGAGAACTTTCGCTTGGAGACAAGGTGAACCAGATAGGGAAGATGTGGAATGGACCGTGGACGGTGGTTGAGTAACACTCGGAGCGAAGTTCAAGAACAATAGGTCCGGAAACAATGGTTGACTAACAGAAACTCTACAAAGCTTTGAACAGCGCCTCCAGTCTCTCTTTTCCTTCCCACTCTTATCGCATGCAGTTATAGAATACTCAAATTGGAACAAGGATTCATAGATGACACTGTAAACAGTTTCTGAGTAAGTCATTTGATACTATCATATAATCATACTGGTATCTGTGGCCTGAGGGGAGTATTCCAAAAGAGGCTAGCCCGGATCGGGATGGTGGAACCACCAGCCGACTGGATACGAAATACGAGTACGACCGAGTGACTTGCAGCAGCCTTCGGGCGGAGAAACGCCCGTTCTTCTCTTTGGCATGAACAGGTGCTATTATCTTCTATTCTGGCCGCATCCATTATCTGTGTCGAGGATAAAGATGCCACAAGGATCATAGTAATGAATCATGATATCAGACTAGACCCTTAGGGATCCACTGCGGTCAGCCCCGGATTCTCCATCACGATCGCACTAAGCGACCGATCCAATGCTGGGGCGGACCCAGCGTAGAACTCCGGAGTAAGAACTTACTCCGTAATGCCCTACAGCTGGACTGCAGCCGCACTTGGAATTCTCCTAGCAGAATCCCTTTTGGCCGTGGTGCTGACGCCAAGTATGACCTCGCGAGAACATGGCATTGCGATTGTTCCCAAGGTTCTGAATCTGTAGCCGACCGGGGGCCTGGCCATTCTTGATTTCCTTGTCCCTGTTTGTGAGAGTCACTTGGCCGACACATTCGGATGCTCTCTTCCCGGCATCCGTCCTCGCTTCTTATTTGACTTTGTCTCGGCTGTGTTCTTTCCTTCCCTGATGTCTCGTGGGCTGACTCCCAGCGTTCGCTACTTAATCCATCGGTCTTTCCTTCTCGAAACCGCCCTTGACTTGACTGTCCCTACTCGACTCATCCGGAGCATGTCGGTGGTTTCTTGACAGCTTAACCTCACGCGATGTCAGTCCATCCGTTGCCTCCAGCGCCTTTCGGGGGCGTTGTCCCTGTCGGCACGACACAGCAGGCCTCGGACGTCATCAGCAGGGTTACAGAAGAGAACGGCGCGTCAAGCTCATCTGCAGAGAAAGCAGAGAGCTCCGACATCACATGCGCCAGTTCGGAGAAACACATCAAACACGTCAACAATGACATTGACCAGGAAAGTGAAAAGAAGATAACTGCCCTCGCGCGGAACTTATCCCGTCTATCGCAAAAGAGCAGCGCCGTGGACGGCACCAACACCTTCCTCGACCCCTCAAGCGACCCCCAGCTCGATCCAAACTCCGGCCGATTCAACGCTCGCAAGTGGACGAAGAACTTCCTCTCAGTTGCCAACCGTGATCCAGACCGCTACCCCCGCCGCACTGCCGGTGTCTCCTTTCGCAATCTAAGTGCCTTTGGCTATGGAACGGCCGCCGATTACCAGATGGATGTTGCGAATATGTGGCTGAAGGGCTACGGCTGGATTCGTCGGAAGCTGGGCTTCGGGAATAGAGTCCGCATTGACATTTTGCGCGACTTTGAGGGTTTCGTTCGGAGTGGTGAGATGTTGGTCGCGCTCGGGCGACCCGGCAGGTAACACAGCGCTGGCCCGTCACAAAATCCCCGATCTGTGCTTACTTTTTCTTGTTCTACAGTGGCTGTTCTACGTTTCTGAAAACGATCGCCGGCGAGACTCATGGCCTTTGGCTTGACGATGGAGCGGACATACAATACCAGGGGATTTCGTGGGATGAGATGCACAGTCGGTTCCGGGGGGAGGTCATCTATCAGGCTGAAACCGAGATACATTTTCCCAATCTGACTGCTGGCGAGACGCTTATGTTTGCTGCCCGAGCGCGTACTCCAGCCAACCGTTTTCCTGGTGTAACGAGAGATCAGTACGCTTGTCATATGCGCGATGTCACCATGGCGATGTTGGGCCTGAGTCACACGATGAACACGATGATCGGGAATGAATATATACGAGGCGTGTCCGGTGGAGAACGAAAGAGAGTCAGTATTGCAGAGACGGCTCTTTGTGGTTGTCCGTTGCAGTGTTGGGATAATTCGACCAGAGGTCTCGACAGTTCAACTGCTCTGGTAAGTGATTGCTCCGTCTATTCTTCAGCCCTTCTAACTCAGGAAGGAATTTGTCCGAAACCTTCGCCTTTCCACGGAGTATACCGGCTCCACGGCTATTGTTGCTATCTACCAGGCGAGTCAGGCGATCTACGATGTGTTTGACAAAGCGATCGTCCTGTATGAAGGCCGGCAAATATACTTTGGGAATGCTCTCGATGCCCGGCGCTTCTTCATCGAGATGGGATTCGAATGCCCTGACAGGCAGACTACCGCCGATTTCCTGACGTCTCTGACTAGTCCCACTGAGCGTCTTGTGCGAGAGGGCTCTGAGCATCTTGTTCCCCGAACACCCGATGAGTTCGCAGAACGGTGGAAACAGAGCGCGGAGCGTCGGAAGTTACTTGATGAAATTGAGGCTTTCCAGAATGAATTTCCCGTCGGCGGCAGCAAGTACGAAGAGTTTAGTCGTTCTCGCGCAGCAGAAAAGGCTAAAAGCACCCGTGCCAGCTCGCCATATACCCTCTCCTACCCGATGCAGATCCGCCTATGCCTGTATAGAGGCTTCCTTCGTTTGAAGGGTGATATGAGCATGACCCTTGCCACAACGATTGGCAACAGTATCTTGGCGCTGATCATCTCAAGCATCTTCTACAACATGAATGGTACAACCGAGAAGTTCTTCGCCCGTGGGGCGCTTTTATTCTTTGCCATTCTGCTCAATGCATTTTCAAGCGCATTGGAAATCCTAACGCTCTGGCAACAGAGACCAATTGTGGAGAAACACTTCAAGTACGCTTTGTATCATCCGTCCGCAGAAGCGATCAGCTCGATGATTGTCGACTTGCCGGCTAAGATTCTCGTTTCGATTGTTTTCAACATCATCCTCTACTTCATGACAAACCTTCGTCGAACCGCAGGTCACTTCTTCATATTCTACCTGTTTTCCTTCACGACGACACTCGTCATGTCGAACGTCTTCCGCTGGACTGGTGCGATCTCTCGGTCCATGGAGCAGGCAATGGTTCCCTCGTCAATCGTTATGCTGATTCTCGTCATTTACACTGGGTTCACAATTCCTGTGCGCAATATGCACCCCTGGTTTAGATGGCTCAACTATCTCAATCCCATTGGTGTAAGTCTCTCTCACGAAACCTTAGGTAGCTACTAATCAATTTTCAGTACGCGTTTGAGTCACTTATGGTCAACGAATTCAGTCACCGGAGATTCGAGTGTGCCTTATACGTTCCTAGTGGGGATGAATATAACGATGTCCCTCCCCAATCGAGGATTTGCTCTGGTAATGGAGCTGTAGCCGGGGAAAACTTCATCGATGGTGACAAATACTTGAATACCCAATTCGAGTATTATTACTCCCATCTCTGGAGGAACTACGGCATTTTATTAGGCTTCATGTTCTTCTTTTTGGCGGCCTATATTATCTCCAGTGAGTTCGTTCGCGCGAAGCCTTCCAAGGGAGAGATTCTTGTCTTCCCAAGAGGCAAAATTCCGGCTTTCGCGAAGCAAGTTCGACGGGATGAAGAGGAAGCCCCTACAACGGACAAGCCGAAGCTTGAAGGTGAGAAGGGTGATGCTCATGTCGGAGCTATCAAGAAGCAAACTGCTATTTTCCATTGGCAGGACGTGTGCTACGATATCAAAATCAAAGGTGAGAATCGGCGTATCCTTGACCATATCGATGGCTGGGTACGGCCAAAAACCTTGACGGCATTAATGGGCGTTACTGGAGCTGGCAAGACTTCGTTACTAGATGTCCTAGCTGACCGCGTTACTATGGGCGTCATTACTGGGGACATGTTGGTAGACGGACGCTTGCGGGATGACTCGTTCCAACGCAAGACAGGTTATGTCCAACAGCAAGACCTGCACCTCGAGACCAGCACTGTTCGTGAGGCGCTGATCTTTAGTGCGATGCTTCGCCAGCCGGCCAGCACCTCGCGAAAGGAAAAGTTGGCTTATGTGGAAGAGGTCATTAAGATGCTTTGTATGGAGGAGTACGCAGAAGCCGTTGTTGGTATCTTGGGTGAGGGCTTGAACGTGGAACAGAGAAAGCGCCTTACTATTGGAGTGGAACTTGCAGCCAAACCAGATCTTCTTCTCTTTTTTGATGAGCCAACATCGGGCCTAGACAGTCAAACAGCGTGGTCTATTTGCTCCTTGATGAGGAAGCTAGCAGACCATGGTCAGGCGATCTTGTGTACAATTCACCAACCGTCCGCAATCCTGATGCAGCAGTTTGACCGGCTTCTATTCTTGGCGAAGGGTGGAAAAACAATATACTTTGGAGAGCTTGGAGAGAACATGGGGACTTTGATTGAATACTTCGAGAAGAAGGGCTCCGCTCCTTGTCCCAAGACTGCCAATCCCGCCGAATGGATGTTGGAGATCATCGGTGCGGCTCCAGGGTCTCATGCCGACAGGGACTGGTCTGAAGTTTGGAACCATAGCCCTGAACGCGATCAGGTACGTCAGGAATTGGCACAGATGAAGGCAGAGCTTTCGCAGAAGCCAGCACCTCCGAGGACGCCTGAGTATGAAGAGTTTGCAATGCCCCTCTGGTCGCAGTTTCTCATCTGCCTCCAACGAGTGTTTCAGCAATACTGGCGTAGTCCGTCCTACATCTACTCCAAGGCCGCCATGTGTGTCATTCCGGTATGTTTTCCTAGGCGCCCCTGCGCGTGCAACATTACTGACGAAATAGCCCTTTTTCATCGGATTCACGTTCTGGAGAGAACCACTCAGTTTACAAGGCATGCAAAACCAAATGTTCGCTATCTTTATGCTACTCGTTATCTTTCCCAACTTGGTCCAACAGATGATGCCGTACTTTACGAGGCAACGCGCTCTGTATGAAGTACGGGAGCGGCCGTCCAAAGCGTACTCGTGGAAAGCCTTCATGATGGCCAGCATTATCGTGGAGCTTCCTTGGAATATTCTGATGGCTGTCCCGGCGTACTTCTGCTGGTACTATCCCATCGGACTTTACCGCAACGCAGGGCCTGGCGAGACGGTCGAGCGAGGCGGCACAATGTTCCTCTTGATTTTGATCTTCATGTTGTTCACATCAACCTTCAGCTCCATGATCATTGCTGGAATCGAGCATCCAGATACGGGTAGTAACATCGCTCAGCTGTTGTTCACGCTATGTCTCATTTTCAACGGGTAAGCCGGCTTTCCGTATACTACCCATTACCACCGCCACATACATGCTAACAGTGATCTCAGTGTACTTGCATCACCGGACGCCATGCCTAGGTTCTGGATTTTTATGTACAGATGCTCCCCGTTTACCTACCTCGTAGGGAACGTATTGTCGACCGGCCTATCTGGTGCCGAGGTGAATTGCTCAGACATCGAGATCCTCAAATTCCCGCCACCCGACGGACAAAACTGCACCTCGTATCTCGGCCCCTACGCCGATACAACGGGAGCGAAGATCCTCAGCCCGGCTGCCAATGGCGACTGCCGGCTCTGCGCGATTTCCTCAACGGACCAGTTTTTGGCTGCGCTCAATATCTACCCCGACGACGTCTGGCGCAACGTCGGGATCCTGTTCATCTACATCGTCTTTAATGCATTCGCCGCTGTCTTCTTGTATTGGTTGATTCGCGTGCCGAAGAAGAAGTCGCAGCAAGTGGAGAAGAAGTGAGTTGGCTGTGCTAGGGGTTGTCCTGAATGAGTTGGTGTCGTGTCTTGAGTATGGGCTTTTATGGTCCACTATCGACGTGTCTTATCTCACTGCATGTTAGATCATGTATTTCGCTCAACCCGATATCTTAATTTTATCAGCCATTGATCTCTCGTAAGGTTTTAAATCTCGTCCGTAATGCTGAACTTATGCGCTGTAGCTTGATAAATGTGGCCGGCTGCCTGTAGCCCTCGTAAGGAAACCAACTGGAGTACGAGTGACGATGTATGGTTCCGATGAAGCGGCCTCGATTTGAGTACGGCCAGGGAGACAAATTTGCTCCTACTATGTCGGAAAAGGTCAATGTCAATGTGAAACGTATATATAATTGAAGAGTAAACAGATAAGCGATAGGAAAGCAATATACAGCGTAGTCCTCCAAAACAGCGGCCCACCAATCCAAACAAAAGTCCATGAGCGGCATTAAAAAGGTATAAAAGGCGGCGCGAGAAAGGTATAACGAACTAACAGAGTAAGCAAAAGGAGGATCAGCGCCTTCGTCCAAGTAGAGTAGTCAAATATCCATTCAGTTTCCCAGTAGATCGGATCGGAGCGTATGGCATGGCGCGTTGGGAAATTCAAGTCCAGGTGGTGATTGCACTGTCGTCGAGAAGATCGAAGACCCAACGGAGCCGGGTCGATGTATTTCCACATAAATAGCGTGCGTTGGTAGAGACAGGCGAACGTCGTAGGACGTCAAAGTCCGCATCCAATCCAATTCGAGCAAGCCGCCGCGTACGAGGAGCCGGAAGGGAGTAGGTAAGTTTTTTTGCTTTGGACTCGTCTCGTCTCGTCTCGTCTCGTCAGTTCTCTTCGGAGTCGTATCTTATTCGGTTCGTTTAGCACATCTCGCAGCACTCAATGCAGTCGAAGCAGCATTCGCAGGTTTCCTCGCACAGGAAGCAGCAGCAGAGAGTCGCCAGACTAAAAAGAAGAAGCGAGAAGTTAGCGACAGGAACAGGAAGCGGGTTCGCGACGTTCGGAGGACGGAAGTCCGCTCACCAGGCTCCCAGACACCCGCGGTCCTTCTTCTCTCGGCGAGGTTGCTGCTGGTACATCATCTGTTGCTGCGCGGCGGATACTCGTCAGTTCATGAATTCGGAATAGAGATATAGATATGAAGGGAGGTTCGGCTGGCATACCGGCGGCGGGCCTTGCGGGTAAGGCTGCTGGTAACCACCCTGGGGAGGGTAGTAGGGCTGTTGCGGCTGCTGGTAGTGGCCCTGCGGGGGGTAGCCGCCGCCCTGGTATCTATACGGACAGCAGTCAGCCGTGTGATCATGGGAGATGGCGAAAGCTCGATAGCCGGGTCGTGTCGCTCATCCGCGGGCGTCGACAGCAGACGCTCGCTCACAGCGATGGAATCCAGCTCGGCTTGGCTAGTCGACTCGAATCGCGCGATCGCGCAGCGATACGGACAACGGGCGACAACGAACAAGGAAACGGGACGCTTACGCATGCTGAGGGTGAGGGGGACCCTGGTTGTAGAACTCGTTGGCGGCCATTATTGCGCGGCGGTGAGGAGAGGATGGTCTGGTCTGGAGTACGGAGTAAGGAAAAGCAAGCGTCAGTTGTGATCGACGAGAACGAGAAAAAGAAGATGACGGGTTCCGGGGCACGGAGTAACAAAGGACCAATCGTTCGGGGAGCCTCGTACCTAAGAAAATGCCAAGTTTTAGAGGCTAGAGCTGAGCCCGGGCGACGCAAGGTAAGGCGAGCTGAGCTGACGGAGCGATCGGGAGGGGTCGAGGAGGTGTAAGAGTAAGACGAAACGAGGGCGAGGCGAGGAAGCGTAAAGTATGAAGATGGGTGGACGGGCTGGAAAATTAGGCGCAGGAGGATGAAGATATTAATAAGGGGCGATATGCTATTTATTATTTGGTTCGGTTCGTTCGACGTTGTCGCCTGGTTGCCGACTGGGTCGCTGAGGATGGGAATCGATGGAGACTCGCTCGGAGTCTGGAGGCGATTCCAAGGTTCGGACTTGCCGCCCCCGATAAGAGTCACCTGACCGCTGCACAGCTGCTTACTCAGAGAGCATAGCACAAACTATGCATTTCAATGCTGGGTGGGCTTCCATGGCTAGCGTTAACCATAAGCGTGGATGTGCCATGGTAAGGAGTATCTATGTCGTGGGGAGAGGTTTAAAACAGCGATCTATAGAGCCTATTGGGTTGTGGGAAAGGGTATGATGCTAGTGTAGGTGCGCTTTGCGACTGCCATAGTTATATATTCTTGCCGCTATGGTAGTCTAAGGAGAATAGCATAAAAATCGTGAGGTCCATACTGCGTAGGTCCTCCATAGATTTCTTCGGTCAACTATATATAGCAGTGCAAAACGTGAGAAGCAAGCTTGACCCTAAGAAACAGCTGCGGACGAAGGCAGGTATGGGATCTTCGAAAGCGAGAATGCATAGTAGATTTGGAGTATCGAGAAACCACCAGGAGGCTTCAATTCTCGTGGCTCTGCCTACTTGAATTACATCTTATTTCATGCACAGAAGCTGCAAGTTATAATAGTCCATTAGTTGATCCAAATGTAATAGTTACAATGAATACGGAGTACATCGTTGGTACAGCCCAAGGCACAGCCACATCAGTCCGACCAGTCCTACGTCCAGCTCAACAACTGCGCGCCACAGCCACGCACGTTGTTCTAAAAATATTCGTTGATCAGAGTGGCTGCTCAAGCACCATAGCCCGACTGCTTGCGTGGCTCACAGAGTCAAAGCGGTCGCGACGAGCCAACAGAGTCCAGCCGAGTCGGCTTCTGCTGAGCCTGAAACTAAGAGAGCCGCAGCTAGCTGCATGTGCGTTACACGCACTGATCATGAGAACGAGATGTTGATAAATCGACCAATCGACCGACTCTGCTGGCTCGTCGCTACCATTTGCTCATCACGGAAGTTCAGTTCCTGCGCACTTAGTAACAAACTTAGTCCTACAGGGCGATCCTGCAGCTAGTATAGTAGAGTAGTGAAGAACATCGGAGGTTACCAAAGTCCCTGCCGTTAGGCATTGGGAAACTTAGTAGCTCATCTTGCTTTCCCACCGTTTGGGGGCGGATGCTGAGTTGAGGTGTTGTTCGTAGGCGTGTTCGCCAAATCAGTATATTCTGGATGTAGAGTCTCGTGGACTGGCTGCTGCTCATCATCACACATTATGTCGTATCCCTCTGTGACGGGAGTACGAGGCCGCGATTCGACCTGTAGACCCTCAATGAGGTAAATGCCGGAAACGAGTTGCGCGGTAAAATAAATAAGAAAGAGAATAGAGAAAATATAACGATGAGAAAGAAAAATAGAAAAAAGCGAGTTCCAGAGTGTACGGAACAGGAAAAGAGAAAAGTGAAGAGAGAAAAGAAAAAGTAAAAGTAAAAGATGAGAAGATAACAAATGCGACTTCAAGCACGCAATATAAGGGAGAAGAACAACTCCGACAAACAAGAGATGTATACACGAATATAGATTAGAAAGTCATCAAGCATCCACAGTATAGAAGCAAATCAGACGTACGATGTTACTTCAGGGACCATGGGCTGGGACTCGAGATAGCAGGTGCTCTCGAACGATGGATACGGGTTCGTCGTAGGGAACGAGGTGAAGGCATCATAGCTGGTCATACCGGTTGGTTCCACACCCTGCGAAGACATGTCCTCAGAGTCGTGAGACTCAAATGAAGAGTCGTCGACTGAATTGATTGGTGCGGTGACCATGTCATCAGGGACTCCGTCAGCATCAAGAGAGTAGCCCTGAGCGACGTTCTCGTAGACGTACTCCTCTTTCTGGACCATCCAGTGCTTCAGGATGTCCATGGGCGGATGAGTACCGCCACCTTTCCCGCCGCGCTTTTCGCTGTCTTTTCCGCGCCCACCGCGACCGCGTTGGCAGGGGTTGAAGTGGGTGCGGCGAAGATGAGCAGCGGCATTGTAATTGGCTCCGTACCTCTTCCCATTCCGACAAGCTTTGCAGTTGGCAAGAAATTTCTTGTCGGGGGAGATATCGACGCATACCCAGACTTTTCGAACCACTGCATGAACGCGATCGATGTGGCGGCGAAGTTCATGTTCTCCGTGGAAGCCGTCTGGTTGGTCGTTGCACATCGTGCAATACGTCTTTTGCCGAGGAGGTCGTTGAATTGAGGCTTTGGGAATGGCAGCGACTTCCTTGGAAGTCCCGTCTGATGAAGAGATTCGGATCATCTTGTGCTCTACCACCTTCGGCGGAGAGGCCTTGAGAGTTTCGGTCTTGGGGGCTATAGGCCGTGCGCTGTGCACAATCTCCTGCGTCCTTCGAGCAGCTCGAGAAGGCTGCGTACTTGATAAAACATCCATCTCAGCAGGCACAGGGGGTTTCACATCGGTGACGGGAGAGGGAGGAATGAAGGACATCGTGGTGGCAGGAGGGGCAGAGCAGGAGTACGGCATGGCTATTGACGGGTCGACCATGTTGAATGGAGTCTGAGGGATGATTTGCGGGGTGGGAGAGACAGTATTTGAGAAAGGAACATTAAGAGGCGTGCTGGAAGCGGGAAAGTTGGATGAGGGAACAGCAAAGGAATAATCTGAGTCAATACTAGGACCTGAGGAGTCGAAACGCATCATTCCCATCGTTCCGCATAGAGACTCAGTCGTTCCACTGCGAGTCATAGGGACGGCTTGAACAGGTGCCGCGGCCAGGGGATTGTCGCCGCCCATGTGTCCTTGGAAGAACTGACTGGGCAGCGAGCTCCGATTTGAACCTCCGACTTGTACGGGACTCGCTGAAAACGCCAGAGAATCCGGGGAGACGTTCGTCTGGCCGTCGAAGTTGCCCAAATATTGTTTTGTGTATTCGGAGGGTGAATATTCGCTAACGTTCTGCAGGAGGCGGCGTTGGTATCCAGGAGTGTGTCGATATTGGGCCATGGACGTCATAGAATGTTGGTACGACACGGGGACCTGTTGACTCTGCGAGCGAACCATAGCTGGCGGTTGAGGAACGAATCCAGGACCGGAGGAGGGAAGCCCGTTGTCCGTCTGCGACATTGTTCTCGAAAGCTGCCAGGACGTTTCCGGAGCTGCCGGGGAGGACGCATGGGAGAGATCGCGCTGCAGAGCAACGCGCTCAGGAGGATCCGGAGTCTGCCAAGTGTCAATCCAGGGACTGTTGGCGGGAGAGTAGAGGATGAAGAGGTGAGGAAGGTAGCGCAGCAGGAACAGGCATGGATGGGGACGAGAGATGCAGCGGGACGGGAGGAGAGGACCAGAATAGAGCACGTACGGTGACTCGCCGCTTTGTCGGAGGAAGGCCAGAACCAGGTAGTGTCCGAGGAGTTTCCTGTCGTGTCCGTTTCCCGGATTTCTCAGAAGAGGTGCCGTGGCCAAGGATGCTGGAACCCGAAACTGGTCGATACGCGGGTGTGGACGGTGACACCGTGGTCGTAGGCATGAACTGACTGAGGCGCTGACTCCAAAGTTGATTTCGCTCTGTCTCCGGGAGATGGGAATGCTGATCCAAAAATGCGTCCCGATATCCATTGATGGCTCTCGTGAAGAGGTCGTCGTCGGCCATGGTGACTGCTGACATGCTGTTGCCCTCCTAGTCGTGGTTGAGTGGATGGATGGAACTGCGGTCAGTGAGAATAGTTGGGACTGATGAAGACTGGATGTCTTGTTAGTATACAGTTACAGTCGTATCGGTAGGATCCATAGCGATAGACAGGGTGGGGAGACAGACTGTGAGAGGTAGCCGGTAGAGATAAAGAGCCGATAAGATAGATGAGGATGAGGAGGTAGCACGAGAGCGGACAAGATATGGTGGAAGAGTGAGAGGGAAGGAAGAGGAGGATAAATAGAGGCAGAGATGAAGGATATGTAACAGAAGAAGAATAATATTAGAACAGGACCGGCTGGAGATGATTGGAATGGGGGTGAGCATGATGGGGGAGGGAGCAGTCGATAGATATCCTGGGTGCAGAGCCCACTCCCGCCCAATCTGGGTTAGTCAAACAGACTACGGCGTCAGGATGGAGAGAGGTGAGGACGAAAAAGGTACAGGAGGAGCCTGAAAATTCGGGAGCTCATGGCAGAGGTACAGTCGAGGATCATTGGATGACGTGAGGGGAGTCTGGACTGCGGGATGGGCAGGCCGGTTGCTCGAACAGGGAAAAAAGAAATAGCCCACTGATCAATGATCGCGAAGATCAGAACGCTAGTGCCCTGGGGCAAAGACGGGAAAGGAGAGGGTGACCAGAAAGGAAAGAAGGAAAGTCTGGTGACGGGCGACAGAAGGCGGGTTACAGCGGCAGAGAACTGCTGCTGCGTCAAAGTGAGGCGCCCATACGGATCCCTCGACGCTGCTGGATCAGTCATCTGAAGCCTCTCGGGCTCTCATGATTTGACAACGCATCCTGCTCAGCCATGGGGCAGTCCAAGTCTGGTAAAGGAATACTGGAGAGCAGAGTCGTGCCCAAGCCCATGTGAGTGGTGCTCACTGACCTGACCGTCTGGCAGCTTCAAACCACTCGGGACTGAGTCGTGTTTTCCCCTCGACTCGCTGGCTGCCACGTTGTCTGGCCTCTGGGCTACACCCGTTTGGGTTCCTACCATTTCCACCCAACACCCTCCTTTACGATAACCATACGGAGTATAACTGCCTAGCAATCCTGGCGAACACCGCGGTTCGCTCGGTTATTGTGCTGGGTAACGAGCCAGCCGATGTGCAGCGGTCGCTTGAATGCAGCTTGCCCGCGACGGACGGCCGACTCAGGCAAACTTGCTTCTGGAAGGGTGCATGACATAGGCAGATGGATCAATACTCCGTACAAGGATCTCCGCCGTTGGAACGGCCGGTACCAGACGGCTGGCTTCCAAGGTTCAACCCTTCTAAGTTCTTCCTCTGTCCGACTCGTTCGGCGACGGTCCCGGAAGGCTGCGTGTTTGACTTCGAAACATTATTGCAGTATGGAACAAGGCAGACTTGCGCCCCTTGGCGTCTTACTTCTCCGTTTCTCCGGATGCGCAGTGCCCAGGAGTTCCTTTGAATCGCGATCTTGACTCCTTCATCTCGATCGTCTCATTCTCATCGAGGATTCAAGGGTGCAAGGTGGGCCGGCGGGGAGCGATCGGAGATTGCCCTCGTGTGAATGTCACGTGACGCGCATACTCTGCCTTGAAACGCCCGTTAGCCAGCGTTAGCCAGACTTTGCGGGTGGAATGGCCCACATGGGATACCAGCATCTTTAATTAGATCTCCCTTTCATATACGGAGCTTGCCCGGAAGAGTCTCGGAAGACGTCACTCTACCCAGCGTTCGAAGTTCTAGAAATCGGAGTTCATCGCAGATTCGTAATGATCTCCAGATGAATGGGTCCGGTCAGCCGTTGTATGTCACGGCTAACGGATAGAAGAAGTGCCTGTGCCTGACTAATCGCGATAACGGCCCTCGGGGCAACACCGACTCGACTCCATCGACCGGCCGAGTGTATGGCGGTCTATTGAAAGCTCGGTGCGTTGTCCTTGCACTGACGATATTCCCTTACCCACAGTCCTTCAACGGCTCAACCGGCACATGGACGGTCCCATGTGCAAACCTGAAACGAACTGTGCCCAATGATAGAAGAAACTGGATGGAGTTGACCCTGACACATCAATAACACGTGCATCCAGAATGCCTCGAAATGCATGTACAGAATGCCGGTGAGTAAAACCCTCTACCAAAGTACTCTGCTAAGGCGCAACAAAGGAACCGAAAGGTGAGGTGCTCCCTCGCAGAGACTGGGAGCAGATGTAGACGATGCCAGACTCGCAACCTGGCTTGCTCGTATGCGCAGACTACGAAAGTTCCCAGTCGTCAGCTCTTGAGGAGTACAGCGTCTCCAAATGCAGATACAAGCGTTCATTCGGGGCTCCAGCTGTCGAGCAATACTTCCGGTCTTGATGTCGGCACCGGTACGCCGGCTGAGCTCCTGCGAGAAGCAGAGTTGACGCAAACATTACTCTCCCTCTATTTTCAGAACTTCAATGATATTCATTTCATGTTTGACCAAACTATATTCCTTCGCCGTTATGTTCTCGGCGATATCCCGAAGGTGCTCTTGTTCGCCATAATGGCGTTGGGTATTCGGTGCGCAGGCCTATCCATAGTCTTCGACGGCACTGACTTACTGCAGATACTCCCACGCACCTTTTCAGAGCCCTCGTTTGCGTCCACACTGGGGAGAGCCATTGTATAACGAAGCACGACAGCTATTGAAAGAGGATTTTGATCACCCATCGCCGACCACAATCCAAGTCTACGTGCTGCTTGCTACCTACAACCTGACTTTTGGAGGTGCAAGGAAGGCATGGATCTTCTTGAGTACGACTTCGCAGTAGCGATGCGACCAGGGTTGACAAGTTATTAGGCTTCGCTCGCAGCTTTGTGAGCATATTGAAACTTGACCAGCCGGCTAGCGACACGGATCCTGTGCAAGCCGAGCTTTGCCGACGTTTGGTTGCGACAGTTGCCTTAATGGAGCATACATTTCCCTCGGGTTTGAATATGGGCCGGCCTTTCCCGCCAGTGCATACCCTACCCCGGTTATACGCCGAGGAGGAATTCGATGTGATCAAAAACCCTGCTTTTGCAGCCGCCAATCTCCACCCGATGCCATGCATTGCCCAGGAAATACTTACCCTCTCCGAGTACTATCATCAAGCATGTCAAATTTTCGACACCCCAACCCCTCAAGGGTTGGAAGCGCTTGAGCAACGGTTATCACAGTGGCAAGCCAGTCTGGATGAATCCCTTGTCTTCAATCGAGAAAATCTCGAAGTTCACCTACAGAAGTTCGCTGTTCGCCCCTTCGCCTATATGCATCTACTTTACGCGCACATCTGGCAGCTCGCCCTTTTCGACTCGATGGACTGGACCTCTGCCACGATAGCTACTGCGTCCGAGGCAGGGAAACGCATCCTTCCAATATACAAACAAGCTTCAAACATCACCGGCATTGTCCACCAGCTCTGGGAAGTTGCGCAGCTTGACCTGCACAACAACTGCTTTGGACAGATCGCGAAAACGGCCCAAATTATACTTGCACATCAGCTTTTGTCTACCACTGATGCCCAAACCATGGCCTGCTTGCAGACCGAGCTTCTCATCCTCCGTGACTGTCTCATCAGAGTTAAGGCCCATTGTCGGCTTTACAACTGGGTGGTACGCGAACACCAAAAATCTAGAGTCACTCAAAGCGCTAACATTACAGCCACGTAGTTTGACCAAGCCGAGTGGTTCCTCCGCATCTGCACTCAGGATAGTTTCTTGCAAGGCTTGCATGCCTGGAAGTCTGTGGTACGCTTCCAAGTAATGTCGCTTGGGACTTGCTATGAACGGCTGGACTACGAGACTGCTAGTAAGTCTGCACGATTATCCCTCACGGAAATTCTCCTTTACGTCAAACCTAACCATGTTAGGTCGCTCGAGCGGATTAGAGAGTCTAGCAACCGCCCACTCTTTGGATCAGCATAGGGAGAACCATCTCCCGACGATGTTATCGCCGATATATATTGCGCAAAGACAGCGAGCCCATACACTTCCATCCGCTTCCGGCTCTGGTTGAGTATCCACGTGGTCCTCTGAGCATACTTCACGACAAGTAAGGATGGCGACAAGTAAGAATGGTGGTTTTATCATGGCTGTGCCTCCCACAACCCAGATTACATGTTGGTCAGTAAGCTCAGTGCGCGAGTACGGATTATTCGGCCTTTGAGTCATGATGAAATCAAGTATGCTCCGGGCTGCCAACAACCCTCCAACTGCCAAACACTTACCTTGGTGAGCGCCCGTGGCCAATACGAGGATCGACAAGCAATTGCATGTTCGCTGTTGGAGACGGATAAAAGCCGTAGCCCGTCCTTCAACCCAGCCAGGGCAGGTCGCGAATTTGGAACAACTCCGGAAATGACTCGCTTGCACTCGACTTGTCGAAGCCGAATTCAAGGATCTCCTCCATCTTCAAATTTTTATGAATAATGAGCGTATCGCGCAGGTCCAGAATCTACACCCTCAACGTGTCCTGGAACTCGTGAGTGACATCTGGGAAGTATGGTCGCAAGTACTTAAGCTAGTCCTTTGCCAGAAGTCGCTCTCCCCTTCACCAACGTATACCCATATCGACGACAATATCGTCCAAAGGGCTATTCTGGTCTAGCCCGAACCGCCTAGTTGTCTTCCCCAGATGGCTGTCAATCTGCAAAAGGTAGGCACAACCTCGAGCGTAGCGGATCATACAAGTCATCATAAAAGCTCTCCTGCTACTCGAGCACATCCATTCGATTTGCGGACCGGGCCGTACGAGAACAATGACGAATTCAGCCTATCACGCAGATAATCCACCCCACAGAGACCGAAGCGATACGGGAGATAGGCAGAGTAGGGCTCTGCGATGCCTCAACGTACCATCCGTTGTTATACCCGTTGGCTTCGAGCCCCATCATCGTAAAGCCATGTATCATCTCGTGGGAAATAGCGGGATCAGTTCATGGTCCGTTTCCTTCCAGCTGTTTTCGTCGCACTCTAGCACAGCTATCCAGAGACGCGCTCCCGCCAAACCCGCTATCACCCGCCAAATGAACATAAGAACAGTACCTTCTTTTTCTCTCGTCGCTATCTTCAATGCTTGGGCTATCATAAGCCCATGCTGGAAAAGATGATTTCCCCACCACTGAGGACCTACCTTGACGACCTTGATGCTACGCCACTAAGCCCTCTGCCATAAACAGAACCGGGACTTTGTCTCGACCATTTGTCCAGTCAAAGCATTATGCCCTTTTTTCGCGACACACAAGCATGGTTTGGCGCAGTGCTACGAGGGCCTTGAATACAACAGCACAGAAACTGAAAACAACCATATCACTAGGTACTTCTACAAGCAATCTGCAGGCCCTGCATCTGCATTCTCAGTCAGCCAGATCTTGGTCACCAGGAGTCTTATCTGTCCAAGCCTGCACTGTCAGCCTGCCCTGTCAGCCTGCCCATCCTTGCTTCCATGTCCGACACCACTGAAATCACCAAAGAGACAATGTCCCCCACAATGACCGACCAAACCAGAACCCCCGTTAGGTAGTTTCGCTTAGGTAGTCAGTCTTTGGCCAGCACACACTGGATCCCACATCACCTCCGCACCTGCCTAGTCTAGCTGGTCTCATCAACTCCACCTTGTCCACCATCTCCTTCATGTTCGCAACGTCATCCTTCGACACTCAAACCCCTGTGGAAATACGGAATACCCCGTACGCCGGGCTTACATTTATCCCTGTGCAACTGCCCCTCATTTCACCATGCGGCTGAGATGGTTTGTGGTGAGATGACAAGATGCAATACCTTACCATCCTCAAGTCCTCCGCGGTAGCTGAGTGAGGCGAAGAAGAATGCATGAAAAACTAGAAGGAACACCCGCACCCGACGCGATCGTCGCTTCGAACGCCACGGAAGACTGTTCCATTTGTCGTGACCTTTGGGCGGCGTTTGCGGGGAATGTAATTCCCAGGGAGTCTAAAATCCGTTTAGGATCCATGGCCGATTGTAGCTGCCTGGTACTCCAATCGTTAAGGCCTTAAAGCAGCCGATTATGGACGAGCGAAAAGAGAGGACGGAACCTGATGGCATGGTTCTAAGTGCGGACATACCGCATGACACCGCTATCTTGGAGGCACTGATTGGTGGGTATACCTGGCATTTTCTACTTCACCACAAACCCTCAGTGCCGGGCCACTTGGGAAAAGGACGAACTCTGGACCCGGACTGGGTCGATCTGGACGTTGCCGTGCAGTGGAAACAAATGTGCCTTAGTTTGCATGGAACCAAATGTCAGAATCCAATAGAGATCTGGCCGACTACGCCTGCATGGCTTGTTGATGTCCAACAGAAGTGCGTTGTGCCGGGGCAAGAACACTTTCCCTATGTCGCTCTCAGCTATCGATGTGGCAAGCCCGAGGGCGAGACCACAAAAGTGGATAAGAACACGATAAATGTCCTGCGCGATCGCGGTGTCCTCGACAAAGCTGACATTCGAAGACGTCTTTCCCCCATTACTCGACATGCGATATCCCTAACCGCACTCCTCGGTGAACGATGCCTGTGGGTGGATGCGCTCTGTATTGCCCACGGAGCCCCCGGGAGACCCAGGCACAGCTAAACCTCATGGGGGCGATTTACGCAAGTACCATTTTCACCATTGTTGCCGTTGACGGAGACTCCAACGAGGGAATTAAAGGATTGCGGAATGTCTCTGAGCCTCGAGAACTAAAGAAACAGATTTTCCCCTTTGGGGACGATCATCATATAGTGCGCCCTACTGGCAGCAAATACTACCACAACGTGCCATACTACCAGCGCGGGTGGACGTACCAGGAGCTCACAATGTCTACCAGGAGAATACTGTTTGATCACAGGCAGGTTCGTTGGGAGTGTGGATGTAGCGAGTGGGTTGAGGATACGACCCTCGGGATCGATATGAAAAGGAACTTTCGTGATGACCCGCAACTAGGGCTGGCGGTGGTGTTGGCCGGATTTCCCGATACATACTCGCTCGTCTATCGATTGCGTGACTATAATGAACGTCGGTTGACTTGGTGGAAATTGATCTCGTTCTCGGCTAATGGATATAGTTGCTTGTTAAATTGCCTGAGCGTTTCATGAAAGCATTCTCTTTCTTCGACCTTGTCACCCAATGCCAATACCGTAATAGCCAGCGCTTTGACCGTTGATCATGCCACTGGCGCGGCCAACGCCCCCTTCCTCTAACTCAATCGTGGATAGATGAAGCAGACTAGTAAACATGGAGGAGGTGAACAAGTCGCGCGGAACAAACAAAGTCTGCGGTAGGGCGCGGCATGTAATCGGCCTTGAGCTGGTGCGCAAGCCAACTATGACATTTCCTGTGGAGAGGAGACAGGCGCAATGCATACAGGGACTACCATTCTTGACGGGCAGTCTTTATGTCCTGCATTACCATGATAACGGGCTGCAGCGCCATCTAGCCCAGTTCCTGTGATGGTTCACAATGCTAGCAGCTCTGCTCAACAGGGGTGATACTCGTGAGGCTCCTGCAGAGAAATTCAGCGCCTGCTCTACCCGTACCAAGGTCTGGGCTCAGCGCGTAGCTGTTTTGAGAGCCCTGGGTGTCTCGATCGCGCTCTCGCTCTCCGTCTTACGGCTGGGCACTCAACTACAGAGTGTGAATTGGTCTTTTACTCGTTGCAGTTATAGCTTGGATGATCTCTTTTGGTGATGGTGAGACTCTGAGGAGATACGCATAGCTTGCAGGCGATCTAGAAGCACCATCGCCAACTGGCGTGCCTGGTTGGTGCTCGTTAGGGTTGCCCTTTGGGACACGGTTATCACCTGGGCGCCATGAAGCAATTGAGAGGATCTGTAGGCCTGCGGTTGGCAAGGTGATGCGGTGCGGATCCATTTGACAGTCCGAATGCTGGGTGGACGAGGGCGGGTTAGGGCTATGGCGCGGACGCTCCACACAAGGAGAAGGAGTACACAGCCAGATACCGCGTGGTCGACAATCGTGGGAACGCCGTCGATCACGAAGCGCGATTATTCTCCCTGGACATGGTCAGAGATGGCCCGAATCGAGAATCAGGGCTTGGGTCAAAGGTTCCATCGGCATATTATCACAGACCAAATCATGCCATCCACCGATGAACGCCTTCTGCCGTCCTCTGCCTAGCCAGCTCCTGAAGACTAGTCCAATGCGTAGGGTAGATATAGAACAGAAAACGGAGGCCGGGACACGAGAAACGAAGGCCATGATACAGGAAACATGCAGATATGCACAAGCAGCTCGGTATGGTAATCTAAATTAACAGCCAGAGAGGGCTAGGCTATAAAACCAAGCGCGACACGACGTCGCATTCCAGGGGCGAACAAACGACACGCTAGACGCAAGGCACAGGATCTTTCTGGCGTGGGCAAGCAAAATTCATATCTATATGTGCTCGGGTTCTTGCGCTTCGGCGGATGAGGATATGGATGGGAAAGAAGACGGTGTACCCGGACAGGAACTGTCAAGTCTCATAGTAATCCACGGCGGATATTGTTGCGGACATGGACATGTTAAAGAAGAAGTGCAGCGAGGTCGAGGCCGAGGTCGAGCTGTTCCATCGCCTTTACTCTTGTGGACTTCACGTTGCGCAGCATCATGATAAGAGCTCTACCTACCCCAGCCTCTGGCTAACCAGACCATGTCCACGTTCACTCAAGCAGGCGCTAGCTCACCACCTGCAACGCAGAAGCCGACAATATGGCCAACGTGCTCTGAACCCTGGACGAGATTGCGAGCCTCAGAATCAGGAATGAGCTTGTGGACGCTCCTTGCCGCTATGCACGCCCGTCTTCCACCTAGGATAAAGCTTTCACTCAGCTTCAGTTGTGTCTCCTCGACCTTGATCCCGACTTCCCTATTCCTCCGGGTATTGTTGCGAAGCTGCAGAGGATTTGTGGCGCTATTAGCGTTGCTGAGATTGAGAAACAGAGCACATATCTAGTCGGATTTCCTTCTTGGTATGCGCTCTTGTAACCACCGTGGGGTTATGCGTTCAAAATCCTTGCTATAGGTAAGACCATGTATCAAATGCACACGTAGACCATGTATCAAGAGACCACATCCTGTGGCGAGCTGTTTCACAGCATACCATGTGTTTATACCGTTCCTCATCAATTCTCGAGTAATAAAATCAAGCACATACGACCACAGGGTGTGGAGAACAGGGCTTCCCGTCCGCTCAGCCGTACTTAAGCCACACGCCGGCTGGTTAGTAGTATGGTGGGTGACCACATGCGAATCCCAGCTGTTGTATGTTTTTGTTTTGCGAGCAGCGACCTGTTTAGTAGTGTTTTTGGGGGAAAGTGGTGGTAGGGCGACAGTAATCGAAGACACGGCCAACGAACACGAACAAGTCTCGAGTAAACAGCGAGAGAGAGATAAGACCTAAGATGGTTTATATTGGGAAATCTTCCAAGATAACACGGCCTTGGACTCATGCTTGCATGTTGCTCAGCAGCTAATACAGGGATTTTAGTGAACTATAGGTAGGGTTTCCAGCCCTACCCGCCCCTGCATGATCAGCCGCAAGCCGCATCGAGACCGACGCAGACCACGCAACTGAAATGCAAGTGCAGATCTCCCCAGGTTGGAGTGTGGATATAGAGTTGCAGGAGGAAACAGTGTCTTAAACATGAGGCTGTCCCGGTCCAACCCTTATTTGATCTAGCGATTCGGCCCTGGCCCCGGTCGCGGTCGCGGTCCCTGTCCCTGTCCGTCGCATATCGCACTCGCCGGCTACCTTGCCATCGGGGCTGATGAAATGGAGTTGCCTGGAGGTGCGAGGGCGAATGGAGACCGTGTACCTGAGGCCGAGGTTTCCTGAATTGCAAAGGACGTCGCCGTAGCAAAGTGATTGTAGTCGCACATGCCGGTATTCAATAACAGGACTAACGGACATGTCCGAGATCCCTCTTGCTAGGCTGTAGTTAAGTTCTTTTAGAACATGGACGGAGAAAAGATCCGGCTACCACGACATGACATCAAGCGTCACTCACCTTGCCATCTTCCTTCCCAGACTACACACAATGGAAAACAGGGACCCCTATCTAACCTGCATCGTGTGCGGGATGGAGACCAGCAGCTGGACGCCAAACAAGATAGACAAAGAAAGGCCGGACTGGAGAAAGATGCGAGAACAGAACCCGCATCAACCAGTCATTATTCCAGCGTCCGACTTGGAAGCAGTGGATTTTATCGGCGAGGAACTTGCGACTCTCTGGGCCGCTTTTTACCGGGCAAGTAGGTAGCCCTCCAGCTGGTACGGTATGATATGCTCATGCACATGATAACAATGGGTGGTATCTAGTCATCGACGACCCCACGACAAACTCGCTGTTTATCTCGGGCATCAACCGCAAAGGCGACTGCACGTGTCCGGGGCCCGTAATCAACGACCCCGACAAAGCCTGCGTTTTCTTCATGCCCCGGCGCCGCGGCCGGGCCCAGAGCCGATTCACCGACTTCCACCCCGTGAACATGAGCGGTTACGACAAAAACAGAGCAGCCGGGAAGCGGATTGGATACGCCATCCACGCGGCATGCTGGTTGCTTCTGGACCGGGTTATCGGCGCGGATCTCGTAACAAACAACCTCCGCGCGTTCGTGGACACCGTCTCGGCATTCTGGAAGAAGCCCGCGAATAGATGCTCCTGGGAAACGGAATCGATTTGGGAAGTTGGACCGCCTGAGCAGGACCCGCAGTGCTGGTATGAGCCGGACTCCGTGGGTCTGCGGAAGATCGAGGAGGTCGGGGAGCTCGATGAGGATGGATACCCGCGCGAGTTCACGAAGCGCGATATCCATGCGCCGAATAACCCGTTTCGAATCGTGGATATCGCGGAGCTGGTTGGGCGGGTGGCACTACCTAAGCAGGGAGAGGGAGTCGACGGGTCCTTCCAACCTAATGGTACCAGCAGTGCCATTGCTGCAATCTGCTGCCTCCCGACGGATATCGCCCTGCTGATCGTGGACACAATCTACACGACGCGGGAGTTCTGCCGGGCCAGGGTGCAAGACACGCGGAACCTGCTCCGGGCGACCGGGTGGGTGCTGCCACGGTCGTACTGGGTTGCGCGTTGCAACCCGGCGGTCGTGTTTGAGGTGCAGGATCTGCTTGACTCGGGCAAGGCTGCGGACTGGGCGGCGCTGTGTCTGGGGCTGGAAGAGCTGCAGCTTCACCCGGACTGGTACTGCAATAGTGGGTTGAACCATCGACGGAAGATATTGGGGTTTTTGGCGGAGATTAAGGAGGGATTTGCGGAGAGGCTATTGCCTTGATCAATGAAGTTGGTGTAGGTGGGAGCCTCTCATAGTATGCGTTCTTGCAAAGGCCAGTAGATTGAATGCTTTGGTCAATGGAACACGCTAGGTTGTTTTTGTGCCGTCTGCTGAGTTAGGAAAGTGAGTGTAGTGGTCAGGACATGGGCCGAGAGGACTCTGCTCAGTAAGCGGGGTCCTACCTAAGACGGACGGGACGCCCACATCAAATGGCAGCGGCGGCGGTCTATCAACCGGCGCAAAAGCCGGGATTGTCCTTGCGATAGGGAAGATTCTCTCGAAGGTGCATTTCAATGAGAATCGGTGTTGCTGGACGTGGAAGGCTACTGAGACAGAGACAGGGACTTGTAGATACATCCTCCCCGGCCGCCTGGCGCGGTGTCCGAAGTTGGATGATGCGCCCACCTGCTTTGATGCCTAGAAGTCCATGATATTCCAACACTAACTTACACTGCATTGCATAACTTATTCTCGTTTAGACTCCGATCCAGGCTTATCGAATCTCTCCGCAATAGCCTCCAAGCTAGGCCCCTTGGTCTCAACGAAGAAGAACCAGACGCAGACCGTCTCGACAACCAGCCAGCCCACGTAAACAAGGTAGTATTTCCAACCAATCGCCTCCAATCCAATCGGATTCACAAGGACATTCACGAAATTCGACGCCTTCCCGCAGAACATGAGGATGGCGAACCCCTTTGCGCGGATTGGGTAGGGCAGGACTTCGACCGGGTACGAGTACAGCAATGCATTGTAGGCGAGATTGTAGAAGGTGTAGAAGAGGAATAGCATGGCGATGACGGCGTTGCCGGCGCCTTTATTGTTGTGTTCGTTGAATAGGCCCGCGCAGAGGGTTTGGGCTGTGAATATTGCGAGCATGCCGGCTGTGGAGATGAGGAACTGCGTGCGTCGGCGGAGTCGGGCGGTTAGGAGGGCTGACCCGGTTGCGCAGATCCAATTCCAGATCATGAGTGAGCCGTTGATGATGCTTTGGTTGGAGCGGCTGGCGATGCCGACGGTTTCGAGGACACGGACGAGGTAATAACTGAAAGCATTGGCGGGTCAGTAAGGCAGATCTAAGCTTTGGCGAGGGCGGGCTTACGAGACGAGTCCATTTCCTGACCACTGCGAAAAGCAGCCCAGCATGACCAAGAGCAGTAGTCTGCGCCGATTACCCGGAGTGGCAATAAGTGCTTTCCACGGCGTCTTCGTGGCCATGTCCGTCTCGATGACGCGCTTCATCTCGGTGTATTCCAGCTCTACCATAGCATCTCCCTCTCGCCCGTCGGCGTGGTACTTGACTAGGATTTCCTTTGCCTCGCCTGCGCGTCCGTTGGCAATTAACCAACGTGGCGACTCCGGGAGAAGGAACATGCCGACCATGTTGACGAGGGCGGGGACTGTCTGCAGGAGCGATGGAATCCTCCAGGCCCACTCAGTCGGCATGTTGAATGTCCCATATGTGACCCAGGCAGCAAGCACGGCTCCTAGGTACCATGATGTCTGGTACAAGGATGTAGCGACCTGGCGGTCTTTTGGATGGGCGAGTTCGCCGATCAGAATGGGAGCGTAGGTGTTAGCGAAGACTAGGCCGAACCCAAGGAGGAAGCGGGAGATGAGAAACATGGAGACTGGACATGGCCATTAGTGATGCATGGGACTAATGTCGCGGATGGCGTACTGTGCACAGAAGCCCCTTGGAGGATCCCTCCTACAGCCATGACTGCCGAGCCGAACCAGATACCCCAGCGTCGGCCAAACCGATCACCAAGAAGACTAATCAAAGGGGTAGCACAGATTGCACCGACGGCAATGATTGAGGTCATCAAGCCCAGCAAAGCGCCGGAAGGGTTGTCAAAGTCTGCTTACACGGTCAGTGCTCATCCATGTGTGATTAACAAGGACGTACAACTGATCCATGTCTCGACAGCCTGCAAGCCATTCATCATGGCACTGTCAAAGCCCAAGGTAATGGCAGGCACCAAGCAGCCGGGTATGATGCGCAGGTAGAGGTTGAGGAGGTTTCGGTTCTTGTAAAAGGGAGGGGCAGCCTGGGCAAGCTCTTGCAGGCGGGCGTCGATATCTGATATCTCTGCATCTTCCTTGGAAGCAACATGTTCAAACTTCTTCTTGGACTCGAGTTTTGTATCAGCCATTGCGAGGGATATTGGCAGGAAAGCAGCTCTGAGATGAGTACCGACCAGAGTCGCGGATGTCGAGGTAGTCTTTATACATCACACGGCAGAATTCCAGAATTCTCGGTAAATCACCATACTTCCGGACGTTGAGGAGAATCAGGTAAAGTTGCGGGGGAACCCCATCCATCCGTCGCATTCCCCGTATCTCGCAATGTAAATAACAGCAGCGAATGACGAGGGCTCGCCGCCGAAGCCGGGCCGCATTCTCGGAGCTCATCCAATGGCGGTTGACCCAGACCGATCTCCCTTCTCCAACTCACCACGTCGCGTCCGGATAGTTTCCGATGGTGTGCTTGGACAATGTTTGGGTAACGAGTGCGTAGGCCATCTCAGCAGATCCACAGATAGGAGGTATAACTGTTCCATCTACCCCTCTTGAGATTGCACGACTCAACCATCTCCCTGTTATCAGGTCATAATGAGCGCCCCTCACGACATCCAGACTCTCCTTGATAAGTTGACGCTAGAAGAGAAAGTCTCTCTGCTAGCAGCTGTCGACTGGTGGCGGACACCGGTCATTCGCCGGGATGATGTTTTCGTCCCTCATATCAAGGTCTGCTAGGCCCAACGCTTCATATCTCAGCCACGTTGACTTTGAATATAGACCACAGACGGTCCGAACGGCGCCCGCGGCGAGAGCTACGTGAGCGGGATCAAGGCAGCTTGTTTTCCATGCGGCTCGAGTCTGGGAGCATCCTTCAATCGTGACCTTCTGTTCCGCATCGGACAGGAGATTGCGAAGGAGGCAAAGACAAAAGCAGCGAGCGTGTTGCTTGCTCCTACGCTGAATGTTATCCGATCTCCACGAGGTTAGTCCCACAATGCTCGATGTTATCTTTGCTCACTCGGACCAGGGGGTCGGAATTACGAGACGTACTCGGAGGACCCGGTGGTACTAGGGATGCTATCGGCAGCCTTTATCAACGGTGGGAGGATGTACTTCTAGCGAATCAACCGAGCTGATAGGTCCAGGGTGCCAGTCGGAGAATATCGCTGCCACTCCAAAACATTTCGTCGCAAATGAGACCGAAAACAGCCGGACGGTCTTGTCTGCAGAGGTGGATGAGCAGACTCTTAGGGAGATCTACATGCTCCCTTTCCAACTGCTTATGAAGTGGTCGAAGCCATGGTCTCTCATGACAAGGTACGAAACCGGCTTCTCTTGACCTGGCTGCGTCTGACAACTTCTAGTTATAATCGAGTAAACGGGACATATGTCGCTGATTCCTCACAACTAGTCAACGGCGTTGTTCGAGGCGAATGGGGCTTTGACGGCGTCGTAGTCTCGGACTGGATGGGCGTATACTCCACCTCCGAGAGCATCAACGCGGGAGTCGATATCGAGATGCCGGGTCCTACTAAGTGGCGTGGCGATAAGCTTCTGAAGGCCATCGAGAAGGGTGAAGTATCAAAGGATACAGTCAATGCTTCTGCGACTAGGGTCCTCGAACTTGCAAAGCGACTCGGTCGCTTCGAGAACCCGGATGAACCGCCTGAGGTGGCGCTGCAGAATCCCGAGCGAGACCAGTTCATCCGGACTGCGGGAGCGGAGGGTATGGTCCTACTCAAGAATGAGGGCAACGTCCTTCCACTGCAAAAGGGGGCGACCGTTGCGGTGATCGGATATCATGGCATGAATGCTGCTCTGGGTGGAGGTGGAAGTGCGCGAGTTGATTCACTGCGTGCCGTCAGTCCGGTTCAGGGCTTGAAAGAGGCAGGGTTTAATGTCGTCGAAAGCCCAGGAGTCCCAGTCTTTGGCGCTTTGCCTCATGCAGACGCATCGGTCCTCTACCTGGCAGACAATAAGACCCAAGCCCAGGAGCCAGTAACCTTAGAATGGTATAATGGCCACACAATTGGGCAGGACCTTGTACATACCGAAACAAAAGCCGTGCCGGAGTACATGATCAAGGAGAAATGGCCCTCTTACCTCAGCGCTGAGTACTGTACCAGGATGACGTTCGGTATACGCCCTACCACAACGGGACAGCATATTCTCTCAGTCATTTCGACCGGGCCCGCAATCTGCTACATCAACGGCGAGAAGGTCTTCGCGAGGTCCCAAGAGACAGACCTCAAGCCGGAGTCCTTCTATTTCTTCAAGTCGCAGCTCGAGCGCCGCTTCACATTTCCCATGGAAGCAGGCCAGTTCTACACACTCAATCTTGAATCCTGGAATACAGATCCGGACATCCTCAACAGCCCTCGTCTCAACGGCCGCATGTTCCAGGGCTCGACGTTACGGTTCCATCAGGAAATCAACCTGCCCGCTCGCATTGAGGCAGCCCAGCTTGCTGCAAAGGAAGCCTCTCACGCTGTTGTCTGCATCGGCACCACACCCGAGATTGAATCCGAGGGCTTCGACCGCACAGACTTCGCCCTCGCCCAGTCCCAGTACGACCAGATCCTTGCGGTGGCGTCCGCAAACCTTAACACAATTGTTGTCAATTTCAGCGGTAGCCCCGTTGACCTAACACCCATCATCGACAAAGTCCCAGCTCTAGTCCAAGGGTGGTTCCCCGGTCAAGAAACGGGACACTCTCTCGCCCTTGTTCTTTCGGGTGCTGTGAATCCAGCCGGAAGGCTTCCGTTCTCATGGCCGGCTAGAGACGAAGACAACCCCTCATTCGGGAACTTTCCTTGTGACGAGGAGAAAATCGTGAGGTATGAGGAGGGCCTGGACGTAGGCTATAGGCACTATGACCGACCAGAGACGCCAAAGCCCTTGTTCCCGTTCGGGTTCGGGTTAGGGTACGATGTTGATTTTGAAGTCGGTAATCTGCATCTCGGGGATCCAAAGGGTTCTCCGGCGCTCGTCGAGGGAATCCCGGATGGATTGATTGAGGTCACACTTTCCGTAAAGAATAGCGGCGCAAGAGCCGGCTCGGTGGTCTTGCAGTACTACATCTCCATCCCGCAACCAGTCCACGCCAGTCGAAAGAGACCGCTGAAAGAGCTGAAGGAGTTCAAAAAGCTCGTCCTGGCACCTGGTGAAGAGAGGGTGATTGTTACGTCGCTGGACAAGTACGCCGTGAGCTATTACGACGCAGAGGGGAAACACTGGCAGGTTGATGCAGGAATATTTTCGCTTTCTGTTGGTCTTTCCGCGGAGGAGGTTTGTCAGTCTGTCCGGTTTGAGATCCGGCAGGGGTTCAGTTGGACTGGGCTTTGATTCTTGTGTGGAAGCGTATTCCGTACCGTATAGACTACCGGAACATCATCCAGCAATGGGAGAGCTTTCCACAAAGCAGTGCGGAGTAAGCATGGTCCTCGGCGGAATGGCGTAAGGCTGGATGGAGTCTGGAGAGTCCTGGGGTTGTGGCGAATTACTTCATTGTTCATTATTGTTATCCACAGTTCGACCTGAGTTAGGCTTGAGTTTGAGTGATCTTGGATGGAAGCCAAACTGGGGAATTCGATACATGGTTGCGAATCATGGACGGACGGTGATCACAGGGGCGTTAAGGTTGGCGCCGTAATCCAGTGGAATGTTCCCTGGCCGAAAGTCAATGGGTGGAATGCCAGAGAACGCTCTCCTCTCCGAGCAGTGGCAACAAATGATCGACGCGCTTTGCAGTTGGCGATGACATCGATTAGGCCCCAAGGGTGGGTTATCGCCACGTGATCTGGCGGCCACGTCATAAGGGTCAGTGGCAGCGGAGAAAGGCACTTGGAGACAGGCACAAGACCGTTATTGCTTTTCTACGCTTACGCTGCTAGTTATCTTCCTGCATCCTCCATTTGCTCTCTCCACACACTACATCCTGGACTATCGCAGATTCTCACAAAAATGACCGACCCCACGCTTTATCTCTACACCTCCCTGACTGCGGGATCCTCTCATATCATCACCGCTACTTCGCGTTTGGAGACCATTCTCAAAGCCAACAAGATCCCCTTCCGTGCAATTGATGTGGCTACCGATGAAGCCGCGAGGAAACTCTGGGCACGTCGCTCCAAAGGAAAGAAGTTGCCTGGACTGGTGAAATACGGGACCGTTGTCGGCGTATGTTCTTGACCATCGCTTCTATGACGAAGCGGGGTTGAGTCTCTCTACGTGAACATAGCTGACACAACTCAGGACCTCGAACAAATTGAAGAATGGAATGAATTCGGCGAGCTGAAGATGCAAATCAACGGCGTCGAACCGTTTGACGATCTTCCCGCCACCGACACTCCTCTCCCTCCCACCCAACCTACCTCGACCTCCGCTTCCACCCCTAAGACCGAAGCCCCAGCCCCCAAGGCAAGCACAATCAAGATTCAAGATCCTCGTGACAAGGAGACTCAGATGGATGATTCCGTCACCAAAGCCCTCCGTCAAGCCGGCGCGGAGGCCGCAGCCAAGGCCAAGGAACCTACCAAGGAACCTACCGCACCAGCACCAGCAGCCGCCGAACCCCAGATCCCCGCCCCAACCTCCGACGCAGGTCCCAAGGAAGGAAGTGGCCAACAAAGTGTACGTCGCACGTCGGTCGCTCCTGAAATCGCAGAGTCTGGTTCAAAAAGGCCGCCTTTGGTGCCCGAATGTGCTGCAGAGTCGTCTGCCAACTTCCATGCTGATAACGCTGAAGCTTTAGGGCTGATCAACCATCATCGTAACTCAAACATCGCTGCTGAGTCAAAGGAGGAGGCCGAGAAGATGGCCAAGGAGCTGCGGAAGTCTATTTCTGGGGCCCATAATCCTGCTCTGGAGTCTCTGCGCGAGCAAAAAGCGACACTCGCCGCGGAGGCTACGGTCGAAGATGCCCTAGAGGGGTAGCTTGCTTGAGTTTTATCTTGCACCATTCGCCCTTGCTGAAGGTCCCAGCGCTTGTACTATTCTCGACCTGTGATAATTAATGGATGTTCTATGACTCGGCATTGCATGTTTGTTTTACCATGTACGGATACCTCAGTGATGCATTTTCCGGTCTGTTCAGGTTTCAGTGATCAATTTATTCTGTTTATTCTGTTGATCAGTGTACAATCAAGTTAATTAGCATTGCATTTCAAGGCCAGATACTTCTGCTATTCCATTCCAATACAGAATGCTTCCTGAATGAACTGCAAGGATCGCAGGAGATCTGGTAGGTCCAAATTGTCGGTCGTCAATCCATGATATATTCACGCTTCAAATCTCTAATTACAACTTTATAATCTGCTTCCGCTCAATTTAAATCGTGGTAGTCACTCCTTCCTTTGCTTGTTGACCGCCTCGCGCAGCTTCTGAATAACGTCACCGGGGTTCTCGGCGCCAAAGACAGCCGACCCAGCGACGATGACGTTCGCACCCGCCTCCGCAGCCTGGTCGATCGTTCCAAGACCCAGTCCACCGTCCACCTCGATGTTCAGATCAGGGTACTTCTCGCGCAGCGCCTTGACCTTGGGAAGCTCCGAGGCCATGAACTTCTGTCCGCCGAACCCGGGGTACACAGTCATGACGAGAACCATCTAGCAAACGCAAAAACAGTCAGCATTCCCCTTCTCCAGCAGAAGAACTATTGTAATAAATGTAGGCAACTCACATCCGGCTTCTCCTTCTCATCCTCCGCCGCAAGAATATCCCAGAGCACATCAACCGGCGTATCCGGCTTAATCGCGATACCCGCCTGCATCCCCATCTCATGAATATACCGGATCAACTCCTTGGGGCTCGTCTTGCGCGTCGTCTCGTAGTCCGCGGGTTCCTTGGCCGCGACAGAGGACACCGACGCCTCGTAGTGGAAGCAGTACAGGTCGCACCCGGCGTCTTTGAAGTCCTTCACCCATTTGTGGGGCTACACGTACACAGAATGCGTCAGCACTGGGAAGAGCGTATCGGGGAAGTGGGTGGGGGATGGCGTACCTCCGCAATCATCATATGGCAATCGAACGTCCCCTTCCCGTGCGCCTCAGTTGGACGAGCGACATGCGAGCGGATCTTCGTGACGACCGGCGCACCAAATGTGATGTTTGGCACGAAGTGGCCGTCCATGATGTCGACGTGCAGCCAGTCGGCGCCCTCGGAGATCTTGGTCGAGCATTCCGACCCGAGGGTTGCGAAGTCGGCGCTCAGGATGGAGGGGGCGATGATTGCGGGGGGTGACATTGTGATGTCCGTTGTATAGTGTACAAGTGGAATGAAAGTATGGGATTTAGAGTGAGTAAGATATGAAGTTGAGTTGTGGTGGTTGGATCATTTGCGGAGCAAATTGTCCCGCCAGTGACCGGCGATTGATATCACCGACTTTTCTAACTTAATCGGCGACCCGTACGTCACAGGTCCGGAGAGCCCGATTAGGAAGGGAGCTTGTCTGGATAAGGGCTAGGGCCAAGGGCTGCACGTGGATAAGGCGGGGCTGAGGAGCCTGGATACCTTGGAATGTTTGTTTTCATGCCTCAGCTTAAGCCACGTCGGTTTGTCAGACACAGACCGCTTCATTTTTATTACTTTGATAGACATCTAGGTGCTAGAGGTTATGCTTCATGCTAGGGGGCTGTCAGGCAATTCGGTGTTGGCACATTTACTTCTAGCTGCCACTGACGGTCCTCTCCCACATCGTCGCACATCGAACGTCGATCAGCAACCATGCTTGGTGACGCCGAACTCCAAGCGCTTGGGGGTAACCTCAGGGCCGTCTCGGAAGAAAACCAGAAACAGCAGCATGACCTGCAGAAGCTTCTCGATCAGTTCCAGTCTCTACTAGATAGTTATAGCCGCCTGAAGAGCGACTATGAGGAGGAGAAAGAGGGGCGAGAGAGGTACAAAAAGCTGGCAAAAACCCAGGAACGGAATCCATTTGTGCTGGTCCTAGTTGACGGCGATGGCTATCTGGTAGGGCCTTTTTCTTTGCCTGGCTTCCTGAGACCTTGGCCGTGCTCTGTCTTATGTCCAAATAGTTCAAAGACCATCTCATCAAATCCGGCGCTCAAGGTGGAGTGAAAGCAGCGCAGCTACTAAGCGAATCTATTACGGACCTCATCAATGAGCGGCTCGGGAGCCAAGCGGATCAATGTCGGATCATGGTGCGCATTTATTCCAACGTTCTCGGGCTGTCGAAGACTTTGGCTCGTGTCGGGCTTGTGGGAAATGAAGCACGGTCGTTCTCGAGCTTTACTTCGAGCTTTACCCGCGCCCAGGACTTATTCGACTATGTCGATGCTGGCGACAAGAAGGAAGGCGCCGATTATAAAATCAGAGGTGCCATTATCCTAGAGCCTGGTGTCGTTATATTGCTGACTCCCTCCAGAGATGTTCCGCTTGTTCGCAGACAATCAGCAGTGCAAGCATATATTCTTTGCCGGGTGCCACGATACGGGCTATTTGTCCTTGCTAACGCCATACCGCGGCAAGACCGACCGTATTACCTTGATTAAGGCTGCTTCGTTCCATCATGAGTTCGACGGCCTCGATTTCGCCGTACGCGAGCTTCCCGGAGTTTTTATGTCAACTCAGTTTGGTGGAAGCCATATTCCGGCTCCTATTCCACCTACCGCTCCTGCTAATCCACCTGCTCCGAAAGTCTGCGCCCATTATCAAAAGGTATATTGTTCTTCTTCATCCTATCGCACCTATCTAACTTGGGGTGATGGCACAGGGCATCTGCCGCTATGGCAATAAATGTACAAAGGTACACCAAGACCCCAACCAGAAGTTATCCAAAACAGTAGAGGATAACTTCGTCCCCTCGACACCGTCCCATTCAAAAGATTCCAAAGCGGAGATTCGAGGCCACAAACCCAACTCTGCATCACTTCCTATTATAGATTCCAGGTCACTGGAGTTTATCCCAATGAACAAGGACGGGGAACGTATTGACCCTTATGTCCCTCCCCCATCCAAGGATAGCTGGGACAAGTACAAGCGGCGCGCCGCTCTATGCAAACCGTGCAACAACTATTATCTCGCTGGCTGCTGTAATAGCGAGAACTGCGAACTCGACCACCGGCCTATTGAGGTTGACACACTCAATGTGCTGAAGTATATCTTGCGGCGGCGCCCCTGCAATAAGGGCACTCGCTGCCGATCATTAAAATGCTATCTGGGCCACCACTGCCGACTTGGTAGCTGCAAGAGCTTTAAAACTTGCAAGTTCGGCCGACATGCCCACTTTTTGGATTACGCCGTGACTCGGTGGGAGGAGCCGATTGAACGACAGACATCTGATGACTCTCCGGCTAGTGAGACGTCGGAAAATACCACTTCTACGGATGATATGAGATATGCCGACGAGTCTCCGGTTGGAGTTGCCGTGCAAAGTACAGCATGAGCGATCCAGCCAACCCGGGACATTGACGGCCTTACCTTGCGATTCATATCCGCGCAAGTCAGTAACGGGAAATTGCGGACTTACACCTCTTTTCTAGGTAAAGAGGCAAGAAAAGGTAACGAAGAGCGGGCGACAGTGTAGGAGGCCGCAGATGGTAATACTCCTCGATGCTCTAGTTGCGGAGCGCCGGAAGTATCTCGTAGGATTGGCTGGTTACAGAAAACTATACAGCTGTTAACTCTCTTGATATGATGTTTGTCGGTGGTTATAGTCTGGATGTCAAGGCCGAGCCTCTGAAAGTGATGAATGGATCTACGGTACTCCGTAACAATTGACTTCAATTGAGAAACTGCTCGTGTGCTTAAGACCCTCCAATCAAGTCAGGTGATCTGGTCTTGCTTATCCCGATTGACCCAGCCATCCTTGGATGATTCTCTGCCTCTTCTGACAGCACAGAATCCTCCATAATTAGCACACTCCGCTATCTGGTCACGATCGCAATAATCACGTTGTCCAAGTGACCCAACCCCCGCTAATTGAGCCCGAGATTGCCAATTTTCCTCCTCCGACTCCGGTCGTGGTTCTAAAGATAGTTCCTTTAGGCGCTTGCAGTTCGCCCATCACGCCAATCAGCAAACTCCGTTTAAAGTGATATGGACAACAACTCTCATGGGCGGTTCATTGCAGAAACAAGGAGGGTTCGTTCGCCTTGATTGGTGTGACGGTCTGCCTGGCTGCTTTTTGACTCTCCCAGCCTACCTCTCAGCGTCCAGCAAGACCCTCCTGTTCGAAGCGCCTGCTCGCTCACAGCCAATGGCCGCTCCTCCAAGACACCTAGACAGGGATTCCTGGGCCCGACGTGCGCAATGCTGCATTAGGTTCTGCACGGATGAAGGCGCCTTCGCTTGATCTGCCCTCTCCCCGCGCTGAGATCTATTTATCACAGCCTTGCGCTACTCGTGGCCACGGTTTTCGTCCCTTTCCCTTGTCTTGTGGAGTTGCTTGCCCTTTGTTTGCTTGTGTGCTTTTTGGTTTATTCTCTGTCGTGCCTTTGGCTCTGGTAGCTAGGCGTCTTTCGTTATTGTCCAGAAACCCAAACCTGTTGATCAGGTTCATGACTTGAGATACCCCTAGAAGTACTGCTTGTTGGTTTGGCTCACCTACTATAACCCGTCTAGCAGATTACGAGGCACGATGATGGCTGAGCCGAATCGCCCTGCAACTGCCAGATGTCCGCCCTCCCGGCAGGTTCGGGGTACGAGGCTTAATACTATAATCGAAGACGCGCGCGAGACACAATATGCAGACAAGACGGGGCCTAGTCCGACCGACAACGGGCCAAGGAGTCCACCACCGCAATTGAAGCTGAGGACCGCTGGGCTTTCGCTGCCGTTGGCAAGTCAACAGCGCAGGTTCCTGTCGCCGCTGTCGGCTGGGTCCGTCTCGTCGTGTTCGGATGTGGATTGGCAGAATCAGATGAAGAACTTTGATGAGCTCTACGATGCGACGGACGATGAGTCGGATTTCAGTGACGAGTGCATGTCCTATACGAGTACCCGGCCTACCAGCTTGACGACACCGACCACAAGGACCGGCTCGGTGACGTCTCCGGGTTCACGAAGACGCTTGCCAGCTCTCTCTATCCCCTCATCGAATCTATGGCCTTCGCTCCATGGGGCTCCGAAAAGCTCGCCGGTTCCGCCCACGCCTCCGCAACGGATCCCCGTTTCTCCAGCCGCTCTCTCGCTGTTGTCACGTACTGTACCGGCAATGCACGCGACCCCGTCGTTGGATGGCAGTGTGTCATCAGATCAGGTGTCTAACCTCAGCACTCCGTCGACTCCGTCGTTACGATCTCTCCCAGATACCGACTGGAACTCACGCGAGATCCATGTTCTACCCGACCTGGACGACTCACACCCGGATATCGCCACCTCCGAGACGGAAGAGATACCAAGCATCGAGGTTCCTATCGAGAGTGCCGACGACGACTGGCGTCGCTTTATCGGAGAGTTCCCCCAGATACCTGGCCAGACTACACCGCAAGCCGGCTATTTTCCACCAGAACTCACCCGCGAGGATACACCGTCGGACCAAGGTGTTGCTCTGCCTGAAGGTGCTCTGGCGACGTTGCAGTTCATCCCTCTGGAAGGTACGCCGGAACCGTGGTCGGAGACTTCAGAAGCGAACGAGGAAATGTGGCAGATTGCAGCATCATCGGGGCCGCGTCGCCTCGAAGATGAGACGCCGGTGTCTGCGATGTCAGATTATAGCTTCACGAGACTGGACATACCGTCACCTGGAGGTTTTTTCAACTCGCTGGCTCCTCGAGCTCGTCATACCTGGTCAATTCCGAAGCTAAGCAATGCTCCCACGTCTGCAACTGCTGAGCGATTCTATAACCTTCCTTTTCCGCGAGGTGAAGGAGAAGTTGTCGAGCAAGTCATCGACTTCCCGGAGAGGTCGAATGACGAGCAGCTGACAGCGATCTACGCGCCTCCGACTGCGATCAAGATACCCGAGAGCCCGGCATACCCGCCAACGGAGGGGACCATTAGCCCTGTCAGCGAAAGAGTTCATGAGATCTCGAGGCCAGTCACCACGTACGATCCCGACGAGCAAGATGAGAATTATGCTGAGGAACTCCAGAAGAAGGCATTGTCGAGCTTGGACAGGACTAGCGTTTGGCTAGCGGCGCAGGCTTCTTATCTTGCAGCGCTCAGCGAAACGAATCCAGTCAACAACCTTGCCGATGAGGAGGAGGCAGCTGAGGAGGTGGACGATAGTGTCCAACAGGCCGCCAAAGCCCTTGAACGCAAGGCTTCCATCCGCGTGGCCGAGACGTTCCCGGAACCGCCTAGTTCTCTTCCTGCTGCTGAGGCCAGCAAGGATTCGATCTACTGGCGCGGCTTCCGCTTCCTCCTTGAGCAGTCTAAACGTGGAGATACATTTGTTCATCGCAGCACTCGCTTCGATGCTGTGCAGTCTTCCCGTCTTGGTCTGTCCGGTCTTCACAACAAGTGTCTGCTTGGGAACTACGAACTAGTTCTTCCTGAGCGCCCAGCCTACAGTGGGCCGTTCGCGAAGGCGCCTCGCAACTCCGTGCTCCCTGGGATCTTGCAGCAAAAGGCTCAGTTCTCCATGGTCGAGAAGGAACAACTCGTTCTTTCCCAAATCAGCCAGCCAATGTGGGCCATGGAGGCCTTGAGATACCTGCACGGTGGCAGTCTCATTGCAAGTCCGGCACGGAAGCGCCTCTCGAAACGTGCCACGATGACGACTGCCCAAAAGACTCACAAGCGCCGCCAGATCCGGGTTCTCGACCTGGGAGGCCATGCGACAGCCGAGTGGGCCTGGCATCTCGCGCACGACTATCCCCAAGTCAAGGTGTACACTGTCTACACCGAGCACCAACAGGTCAATCAAGCGATAAAAGGACCTCCAAACCACCACCACATCCAAGTATCCCAGCTCTGGAAGCTCCCATTCCCCGATAACAAGTTCGACGTGATCTCGGCTCGCTCTCTGCCCGCATTCCTGAAGACGGAACGCCCGGCCGGGGAGAGCCTAGACGAGTACGATCTCTGTTTACAGGAATGTCGTCGCTGTCTGAAGCCTGGCGGATATCTGGAATACCTGGTGATGGATGCCGAAATTGCCCGCGCTGGACCCTACGCCTCCGCAACATCCATCGAGTTGTCGTTCAGCCTGAAGATCCGAGGCTACGACCCAGTTCCCACCAAGCAATTCCTCGGTCGTCTCCGTAAGCAAGGCTTCGTTGGCATCAAGCGAGGCTGGATGTACCTACCTATGGGCACTGAACCACCAAAGCCTCAAGTCCCGAGAGAGACTCCTGACCCGCGGGTAAAGAGTCTAATCGACGACTACGAGCCGGTTCAGGGACCATTGGGAAGTACGGCCGATATGGCGTCCATTACGGGCTTGCTTGGCGGTTGGATCTGGGAACAGTGGCTGCTCAAGTTGCAGGTTGAGATGGGTCGGGATAAGGGCAAGTTGCTTGAGGGGATTGGGAGTGTTTTCGATGAGGGACGGAAGAACGGGTCTGGCTGGACTTGCTTGTCTGGTTGGGCTATGAAGCCGTTGAAGAAGCAGGGCAATGGGATGGCTTGCTGATTGGCATTGTCTTGGGCTTGCACTTTGCATCATTCCACTCTTTACTTGTTTAATCTTAGGCCCTGGTGGCTGTTTTTGTTTCTGTCTGTCTATCGTCCTGGCGGCGAGCACTCACTTTGATCTACTAATGTTTCCTGGTTTGGCCCTGTTGAGCGTTCTTGATGAGTGAATATGGGACTGAGAGTATGATGAGATGAGATTTGATACCAATGATAGTACGGAGTAAAAGAAACTTGAATGAAACCCTATCTGTTTGACCTTTGAACTACGTTAGAATATATATCTGCCGCCGTGTTTCCAATCGTAGCCACGGCAGCGTACCGTACGCCCAGCCGAGGAGAAGACCATGGACTTAACTTCAGGAGAGACTTCTCTTTTGAGACGATTATTTAACACCCTCAAAGAACTCACCCAACAGCCATAGACTAGACTACCTCGTGGCCATCCATCTGCTTCATCACAGTCACGTGAGCCCGCCCATCCCGCCCGCATCCTCATCGCTCCTCCGCCTTGGCCGCATCAATCAAACCAAGCTATCCAACCCTCAAACCTCCAAAATGCTGTTCTTCAGGTACTCTCTCCTCCCCAAGTACCCGATTTACCCGTAGGGTCTCATGCGCTAACGTTCTGTCTGGCGGGCAGCTTCTTCAAAACCCTCACAAATCAAGTCGTGACGATAGAGCTGAAGAACGACATCCGCATCCGCGGGACGCTCAAGTCCGTCGACCAGTACCTGAACATCAAGCTCGACGACATTGACGTCCTCGATCTTGACAAGTACCCGCATCTCAGCTCCGTTAAGAACATGTTTATCCGCGGCAGTGTCGTGCGCTACGTTGTGCTCCCAAGGTCGGAGGTTGATGTTGGTTTGTTGGAGGATGCGACGAGGAGAGGTAGGCACCCGCCAACAGTGGATTGGACTTGACGGCATGAAGGTATGTGCTAACGGGCTTTGCAGAGGCTGCGAATCAGGCGGGAAAGGCTCGGTGATTCGCACGGACGGGATGGGACTGAGATCTATTATCTACTTAATGAATGCGCTTTACGATGTGATGCGGTGTCGTTGTTTCGTCGACCGACTCAGGAAAACATAAGATGATGAAGGGCCGGACATGATGGACTATGGCCGATTGGGGAGGAGCTGCCGGTTGGAAATACCGGAGCGGACTCCAGAGGGCGCACATGTCGCCTAGTCGAGATCATCTACGTCCTTGGCAGCTCACACAATGCTGTGGATGACCCTCTTATATTCCAAAGTATCGTTCCACTCAGATAGCGAAATTTACTGGAGCATTTGCCAGTCGTTCGTAGCTAGCTTCATATTTCCCATTTCCTAGCCGAGATTTGCACGTGACTACGTGTCGCGAAAATCGAGACCTGCCGCGCCTCCGGGATGCTCGCCACCCACCCTTGCTCAACGCGATACACACTCTCGTTTATAGCGTATCCTTGCTTCAGCGACTTCCTTGACCAGCGACTGAATATACTAGACGAATAACGACCGCATATACCGTGTGATACCATTACGATGCACCTTCGCTAACCAACCTTAACACCAACTCTGACCTCAAACGAACGAAATCCACCTTCGCACCTTACTCCGTACCACCGCACCGATTTCACATCTTTCACAGTTCGCCCACACACAATGCCCGCTCCGTCCAATTCCAGACGAACCTCCACACCATCTAAGCCGTCCAGCGGCAAGTCGCAATCGAACTCCGCGAAACGAAACAATACACTCCTGAACTTCTTCCAGAAAGCAGACGGGCCGCCGCAATCAAGCTCGAAACAAGCTCGCATTACGCAGTTTACGACGCAGGGGGAACGACCCGGTAGCAGGGTTACAGCCCCGCGGCCGCGGCTGCTGAAGAGGGAGGGCAGTTCGGCGAATGGGGAAGCTAATGGTGGCGAGGGGTTGTTTCTGGAGGATAAGAAGGGCCGGAATGGGTCGTTGAGTGCTGCGAATAATACCGAGCGGGCAAGGGAGAGGTCCCGGACGCCGGATATCTGGGGGGAGGACGGAGGGAAAGAGGATGCGGACGATGCTGGGAAGGACGGGGCGGAGAGGTATAATGAGAATGGCTCTGCGGTGAAACGGCGGAAGGTGGATGCCGTTTCTCCAAAAGCTGAATCTGAGAAGGAGGCGGCGCCGAAGGCCAAGAAGATCAGCGGGCCCTTTATCGATGAGTCGGATAGTGAGGATGAGGGATTTGAGGCATTCAAGGATTATGGAGACGGAGAAGCGAACGGCGTGCCCGCGGAGACAGATTCGAAGGGGCCCGAAATGCCGTCGGACGAAGAACAAACGGGAAAGAAGCGCGATTTCGCCGCCGACGTACCACCGCTGGTAAGAGAAGCCACGAGCCACATGCAAGATGATGAATACGCGGATTTTGACGATATAGAAGAAGACGGAGTTGGGGGTGAAGGATTCTTAGGCGTCGAGGGATACGAGGTTCTTGACGAGGAGACCTCTGGATTCGATGCGAATGAAAAACCTACCTGTCCCGTGTGTCAAGGGAGCTTGGAGGGCTTCAGTGAAACAGTAAGTCGCCCTCCTCGGGTAGGCAAAGAGGAAGCTGAAGAATATCGAATAGAATACCATGGCGCATGTCAATGATTGCCTCGATGGGAAGCCAAGCCCAATTCTCCCGAAGAAACAGAGTCCAAATATCAGCACTCCCGGGCAGAAGTCCACGGCCGCAGACCGAGCTGCTGTAGCGAAACCAGCGCAACGCGATCCTACTCAGTCCGGAACATCAAAAGCCGGATCTGCGTTCTCCAAAATCATGGCAGGTAATGCTGAAGACGCGGCGTGGGCAGAGGCAGCGGCAAGCGATGTTGCTTCTAGGGGTAAACAGGCTTATCAACGGACCTGCCCGTTCTATAAGATCATTACAGGCTTCTCAATATCAGTGGATGCTTTCCGCTATGGAGCAGTCGAATCGTGCAATGCCTACTTCCTCAGTCATTTTCACAGCGATCACTACATCGGACTTTCGAAGTCCTGGCGCCACGGTCCAATATACTGCAGCAGAGCGACGGCAAATCTTGTGCGTCAACAACTCAGGGTCGATCCAAAGTGGGTAGTGGACCTGGAGTTTGAGACGAAGACAGAAGTGCCTGGAACAGGCGGAGTGCAGGTAACTATGATCGAGGCCAACCACTGCCCTGGTAGTGCCATCTTTCTGTTTGAGAAGGCAATGAATTCTGGGACTTCTACTCGTATCCAAAGAGTCTTGCACTGCGGTGACTTTCGAGCTTCTCCGCAACATGTGCAGCACGCTCTTCTCCGTCCGGATGTCGTTAACCCGAAAACGGGCAAGAGCTGGCAGCAGCGAATTGATGCTTGCTATCTTGATACTACATATCTCAGCCCCAAGTATGCTTTTCCGAGGCAGTCGGACGTCGTAAATGCCTGTGCCGAGCTGTGTTCGCGCATCGACCAAGGCCAGTACGATAGTCTTGGCCACATGCCTTTCCAAACTGCGAACGCAAAGACCATATCAAAAAATCCCATCAGCCAGTTCCTCTCATCCGCTACCGCGGCAGTCAAACCTTCGGCCTCCGGACCTCAAGGCCGGTTACTCGTCGTTATCGGGACCTACAGTATCGGCAAAGAACGAATATGCCTCGCCATAGCGCGAGCTCTAAAGAGCAAAATCTACGCAACACCCGCGAAGCAACGTGTTTGCGCGTGTCTGGAAGACCCAGAGCTCTCCTCTTTACTCACCGACGACCCCCTCGAGGCCCAAGTCCACATGCAAACGCTCTTTGAAATCCGCGCCGAAACCCTCTGCGACTACCTCGACTCCATGAAACCACACTTTACCCGCGTCGTCGGGTTTCGACCAACGGGCTGGACATACCGACCGCCTGCCGGCCGGACACTGGAGAACCCGCCCGTGTCCACGGTACTCCACTCGGCACATTGGAAGACACCATTCACCGTGCGAGATCTGACACCGCAGCGCGGCAGTACGCGTGAGAGCGCCTGCTTTGGTGTCCCGTATAGCGAGCACAGCTCGTTTCGGGAATTGACTATGTTTTGCTGCGCGTTGAGGATCGGGAGGATCATACCTACGGTTAATGTGGGGAATCAGAAGAGTCGAGAGCGCATGAAGGGGTGGTTCGAGAAGTGGGAGGCTGAGAAGAGGAAGAGCGGGTTGTATAAGGTTGACGGGGATGATTGGTAGATTTGACTCTCCAATACCCTGCATAGCATGATGGGATGATAATGATCATGATCGTGAGGCACATGAATATGAACTCTATCTATGTAAATTTGTTCTGGCGTAGTGCCACTGCCGGTGTCCGGGTACATCCCGAATCGCTGCCTGACTGCCTCAGGCTGTAATGGGTCACTGACCTCCAATCACGCGGACGGCAAAGCGATGACCGAACAGGAAGTGAGGCACGGATGGACGGAGCCAATCCTCAAGTCCATCATTTCTCTCCAAGCGGGGAAACGAACTGCTTCCTGGATTAATCTGCCAAATCTGGGGATAGTCTCCCTTGGCTGCTCGTCTTATTCGCCTGTTCTCAACGACAAGAGTTTGGCTCACAAATCATGGTTGAATGATTACTCCGTAACTCAGTCCTAACCGAGCACAGGAAGGGCGGGGCGTCGGGGATGCGAATCGGCTGGCGCTCACTGCGAGCACAACCCCAGACTCCCGTCCTCGACTTCCGGGCCTCTGCCTTTGCCTCGGGGATGCCCTCGTCGTTCATCCTCATAAATACGTCTCCGGAATGCCTTCTACTACTCTCTGTCTGACTCCAACACGCCATGGACTAATTGACGTCCTCTATATACTCGACTACATCTTCTCTTCTCTTTATTGTGCTCTTGACTGCTTCGATTGATTCCCCACATCCACGTAACCTCCGCCAACCGCCAACGGTTAGTGACCGGTTAGTGCCCTGCAAGCATAGTTCCTCTGCATTTCTTTTTCTCCGAGCTTGCGATCTTCGCTGCAGCTGCTAACATTGGCCTACAGATAGTTCGCCATCATGATCACCGACTTCCTCACACCTGAACATATCACTCCCGAGAGGATTGCGTATGCCCTCTTGGGACTGCTGGCCGCCTACTATATCTTCCCGTACCTTCAAACATGGCGTTTGAGTGACATCCCCGCACCGGGCTTTGCTGCTTGGTCGAACTTCTGGCTGCTTCTGCAGACTCGTCTGGGTCATCGTTTTATCTCTGTCGACAACGCCCATAAGAAGTACGGCAAGCTTGTGCGCATTGCTCCTCGCCAGGTCTCGATTGCCGATGACGCGGCTATCCAAGCTATCTATGGACACGGAAACGGTTTCCTCAAGGCGTACGTCAATGAACCTTGTTTGTGGGCTTTATGCTAATAGTGTAGTGACTTCTACGATGCTTTCGTCTCTATCCGCCGCGGTCTGTTCAACACCCGCGATCGGGCGGAGCACACTCGCAAGCGCAAGACTGTCTCCCACACCTTCTCTGCCAAGTCGATTGGCCAGTTCGAGCAGTACATTCACCACAACATTGAGAACCTGGTTAAGCAGTTGAGCCGCACCTCCGAGCTCCAGCGCAACCCCAAGAACGGATATGCCACTGTTGACGCCCTGAACTGGTTCAACTTTGTTGCCTTCGACATTATCGGTGATCTCGCTTTCGGTGCTCCGTTCGGCATGCTCGACAAGGGTCAGGACATTGCCGAGATGCGCAAGTCGCCCGACGCTCCTCCCCAGTACGTCCAGGCCGTTGAGGTTCTGAACCGCCGCGGTGAGGTCTCTGCGACCCTCGGATGCTACCCTGCCCTGAAGCCCTTCGCCAAGTACCTACCCGACCGCTTCTTCCGTGACGGTCTCGAGGCCGTTGAGAACCTGGCTGGTATCGCTATCGCGTGTGTCAACGAGCGTCTCAAGCCCGAGGTCATGGCCAACAACACCCGTGTCGATCTTCTCGCTCGCCTGATGGAAGGAAAGGATGCCAATGGCAACAAGCTTGGCCGTGCTGAGCTTACCGCCGAAGCCCTGACCCAGCTGATTGCCGGCTCTGACACCACCTCCAACACCTCCTGCGCCATCCTCTACTACTGCCTCATCACTCCTGGTGTCATCGACAAGCTCCACGAGGTTCTCGACGAAGCTATTCCTAAGGACATCGAAGTTCCTACCCACGCCATGGTCAAGGAAATTCCCTAGTAAGCCATATATTTCCCTTAGCTTCGACTCTGCTAACTTGTTTTCAGCCTGCAATGGGTCATTTGGGAAACCATGCGCATCCACAGCACATCGGCCATGGGTCTCCCCCGCGAAATCCCAGAAGGCAACGCACCCGTCGAAATCAGCGGCCACATCTTCAAGCCCGGCGACGTCCTCTCCGTACCCACCTACACCATCCACCACAGCAAGGAGATCTGGGGCCCCGACGCCGACGACTTCGTCCCCGAGCGCTGGGACCCTGCTCGCCTCACTGCCCGCCAGAAGGCCGCGTTCATCCCATTCAGCACGGGCCCCCGTGCTTGTGTTGGCCGCAACGTCGCGGAGATGGAACTCCTTGTCATCTGCTCCACTGTCTTCCGCATGTTTGATTGGGAGTTGCAGCAGAAGGGGCCTATGGAAACGCGTGAGGGCTTCTTGAGGAAGCCTGTTGGTTTGCAGGTTGGTGTTAAGAGGAGGACGGTTGTTTAGTGTGTTTGCGTTCTTGCATTTGACTGCATTGCATTTGGAGAGGAACTTGGGAGGAAAATACCTTGGCTATTTGTTGGTTAGGTGATTTGCTTTGCATGGCCTTCATGACATGTATGTAGCTTTACGAATTCATATGTACAGATTTCAGACTATCTGCATGTTTGTGAGGAGTTGCTGCCTAGCGAGTACGGAGCCGACTCGGATGGATCGGCAATATTCGGCAAACCGAGAAAAGGGCTGCCGAAGCATAGGCCTGTACTGCTGGGAAGGAGCGGCTACCCAGGTACTCCCCAGCTGAGCTCCGATTCTGAGCTTCCCAAGTCCCTCAACTTCTCACTCCTCTCTCACGAACACCCTCAGCCATTTAAATACCTTTAACGTCGAGTGTCCAAATTCAGCTGTTCATATTGTCTTGTGAATCACACTTGTCTACTCTCAACAGTATCGTGACCCTTTGGGGCAGTCATGACGGCAGCCCGCCTTCTCAGCGGCAGAAGGCATGCGGAGTCCTCCTCGACCTGCATCATATCGCGCGGAGCGAGCGGTAGGTATTCCCGAGACGTCTTTCCATGAAGACTGCTTGGTTCCTTTCCTCACTTAATCTTACTAGTACTACGACGGCGTTGTTTACAACTCGAGATCTTCAAGATAAATGTCATTCATCATATTCTCATTCAAAAAGTACCAAGCTCCAGGCTCGCTATTTGCTAATTACAAAACATTTACCGGCAGGTGTAACCGCCGTCGATGACCAGGTCCGCACCAGTGGTGTACGTGCTGGCATCGGAAACAAGGTAGACATAAGCACCCTTCAGCTCCTTCGCATCACCGTTACGGCCCATGGGGATCATGGACAGCCACAGGTCCTGCGTCTTCTGGTCGACGAAGTCAGACAGACCGGTGTCGATGTAGCCGGGGGAGATCGAGTTGACACGGGCAAAGTCCCTCCACTCGTTCGCCAGCGAACGAGCCATGTGGATACATCCCGCCTTCGCAACGTTGTAGCTCGTCTGCTCCTGGGGGAAGTTGGCAATGTGACCGCTCATGGAAGAGGTGATGACGAGGGAACCCTTGCCACGCTGCTTAAAGTGCGGGCCAACGGCTTTGGCGCAGTGGAATGTGCCGTTCAGATCGGTCTGCAGAACCTCCATCCAGTCCTCGACCGAGCCGTCCAGGATACCGGAGTTGGCGGTGCGGCCGGCGTTGGCGATGAAGGCGTCGATTTGCCCGAATTCCGCGATCACGTCCTTAACGAGCTTCTCGACGCTCGCGTAGTCGCCGATGTCGAGCTTGTAGGCCTTGGCCTTGACGCCGTACTTCTCGGCTAGCTCCTTTGCATTCTTCTCGCCGCCTTCAGGGCGCGAGGCGTAGGTGATTGCGACGTTGGCGCCCATCTCGGCGCAGCCGCGGGCGGCTTCGATGCCCATGCCGCGGGGGCCGGAGGCGCCGGTGACGACGACGACCTTGCCCTTGAGGCTGAAGAGGTCGTGGAGGGAGGAGGCGGAGGGGACTTGTTGAGGCATGTTGGTGGTCTGAGGTAGGTAGGTAGATAGGTAGTAGAGAGGATGGATTGGTAGCTTGATTGGTGTATGAAGGATATAGAAGGGCAATTGAGGCCTTAAGTAGCACAGCAGAGAACAGTGATGACGTGGTGATGATTTCACGAAGCTTCGAAGCGGGGACTCGGAAGATGGGAGAACCTGATGGGCTGACTGCAAACAGGGACGGACGGATGGGGCTCTTTATAACCGGTGGGCAGGTAACGGTAGCACCGGTATGTGTTCATACTGCCCCTCCCCAACGGCCAGAAGTACCTTGTCAGTTGTTCTGGGCCTGGTTCAGTGTCAGGCAGTGAGAGTGAGGGGCCCTGGGTCGATGACGCCATGAAACTCTACGGCGGGGTGGGGCGCCAACCAACTCCAAGCCGGAGGTCTGGCTATACTTCAGCATTCTGCGGTAAGCGCTTAGAGAGACCTTGATAAGCACAATTGAGATGCTGATAGGCTTAATTGGCATCGCCAGAGTTTCTGTGCTGCTTACACCGCTGTTTGTCAGTGCTGTGTAAGGGGCTCAAGAATTGTGTAAGGGGTTGGTCAGACTGTAAGCCGGAGAGTGAGGGGTAAACTGGGCTAGACGGAGGAGAGAGCTGCGGTATCCGAGACGACGACCTGTCTCATGCAATGCAATTGACTTTCTTGGGCTACGTGGCAGACCACAGTGGAGGGCGGGGATTCTGCTGTCTAGACTGCACAGGACGGAAGAGCAAGAGAGTTACTCTGGACTCGGGGACAAACATCGTCAATTCCATCATATCGCATTCAATCGTCTATTCTATAAATCATATATACCTTGGGATAGTGTATACAAAGTACCTTTGGCTACCGGTACTTGGGCTACGACCTCAGCAACCCCTCCCCCTCCTCCGTCTCATCACCAGATCTGGCTTTATGGCCCGCCATAGCCAGCGCATCCCGCCGCCCACGCTCCGCATTAACCAGCCACACTAGCGGCATCGGCAGCACGACCAAGACACCAATGAAAATGAAGCCGGACCGGACAGAGCCCGTCTTATCGATCAGGGCGCCGACGATCGCGGGCCCCACGAACGAGCTCCCCTTATCCGTGGCCGCGTAGAGCGCGTAAAACGCTGCTTCGCTACCTGGCGGGATCAGCTCGCCGAACAGGGAGCGGCAGTACGATGCCAGTCCGCCGGAGACGACGCCGTGGACGATGCCTAGAGGGAAGATTTCCCACGGCTGTTGCAGGCCGAGGACGCCCCATTTTTTGATAAACGGGATGTAGGCTAGCATTCCGTACAATGGGATGATTTCGAAGAGTGCGATGCACAGGAAGATAGTGTGGTTGGAGGCCAGGCCGAAACGTCGCGCTACGATGGGCCATATGAATGCGCCGGCCATTCCGGACATTGTCGCTGTGATGGAGAGCAGGCCGACGGATACGGTACTCAGATGGAGCTCTGTTCGAGCGAACAGGATTGCTGTCCCGGACACCGTTGCGATGGCGTCGGAAATCAAGAACCACGCGGCCAAGAAGATAACTACTTCACGCAACTTCAGTGCGACCTTGATGGTGTTCCAGAGAGACTTCCACGCGAACCCCACGAGCCGCAGCCAGACGCGCCATTTCTGACGGTGGCCGGCGCCGGGAGCGACATCTTCCAAAGGAGGACCGGGGCGGGTTCGCAACCATCGACTGCAGACTACAGTGAATGCGGCCCACCAAATTCCCACTAAAAGCAAAACAAATCGCAGCGGCAGGGTCGGGTGGGCTTTGCCCATGGATGTCTTTGACAGAGTAAACAGCATTAGTATGCTCAGAATCTGCACAAGGACAGCCGCACAGTAGCCCAAGCCCACTCCCCGCGACGAAATGCGCGTGGAGAGTTGCAGTTCTGGAGATGTAGAGCCAGAAGTCTTTTCAGACTCTGTGGGTTTCCCCGATTTCGCCGGCCCAGTGTGATCACCATTATCCTCGTCGTCCGTCCACGACCGCAGAGAGAAATCGTCTGCGTCCGGAAGGTCGTGAAGCTCGTCTCCATTCTTGTCTGCGGCAATCTGAATCGAAGGATCGTTTGCGACGAGGATAGGCAGGAACGAATTGAGGACGACAAACGAGGAACCAAGGCAGGTGACGCCGATAATAACCAAGAGGGCCCCGAGTACGAACACCGGCGGCGCAATAAGCATGAAAAGCATGGACGTCGCGGACCCGACGAAGCCGAACGTCAGCAGTAGAGTCTTTCGGTTATTTTCTGGCGAAATCAGTATAACGACATCATCACGGGACATTTACCGTCTCACCGTAATCCGCAAGCGCACTAAAGGACACGAGCGTCAAGGCCTGGATGAGCACCGCCAGCGAAAAGGTGTACATGGCAAAACTCGCCGTGTTGATTTCCATGCCCAGCACCGGGACGACACAGGCCTCGTTCGCCGGTGCAGTCCCGTTTCCGGCGGTGGGCGCGTCCGGACCGACACAGGGTCGATGGCTCGAGGAGAAGAATCCCTGTTCGCGGGCTGATTGCTCCAAAGTCAGTGGGAGAAATGAGCCTGGACAGTCAGCATCCACCTCAAGATATCCCCCCGATGGACATACCGACGCCGCACACGGCAAACACCTCGGCAGCGATCCCGTAGGCATACCAGCCCCAAATCTCGCGACGGTCTGTGGGGGAGGTATCCTCTCCGCGGTAGCGCGGGGAACGACGACCGGAGCCCGCCTCTTCAGGTGACGAGGGGAGCTGCGAGAAAGACGCCATGATAGATGACTGGAAGGGAGAAATAAAACTTCAAAAGCAGCATGGCGGGAAGCAGGGCCAGCAGTTGCGGTGGAGCTCGCAGCCCTGCTTCCTTTCGTCCAACGGCCTTTCGTCTTTGGTCGATGACGCCCCAAACAGCGGAACGCCCGGATGGCCTTCACCGCTTTTGTGGTCGGCAGTATGCCAGCCTCGGAAGGCGGTAGATACAAGATCCATCGTGCTATGATTGGTGCAAAGGATCTATAGGAAGCATTGAGGCAACAAGGCATCGACATGATCGGAAGGGAAATACTGAGGGTAGCTGAGACGATGGGCAGCATGTCAGCCGGCTCATTAGCATCATGTCCGACAGCTGGAGATGAAGGCCTTGTGTTCCCTCGAAAATACCCGAACGCCCACGCAGGGAAGCGCACCCGGTGCCGGCCCGACCTCCTTCCTGTTTTGGGACCGGTCACTTCTTCTCAATCCATTCTCCCTCCTCTTCTACCCAGGCATCCCCACGCTCGCTACTCTATACCACTTGACCTCCTTTACCTATAGTATAATCCGACCTCGTTCGCTCGTTTTCGCGCTCGAGATGTTTCGTCCCCTCACCTCCGCCATCTTCCTCGTCATCAATTGGATTATCTTCGCCTTGAGCAGGCTGCTATATCGTATCCGAGGCCACGACTCGCGGCAGATTATCAGACACCGTGCTTTCAGACACCATCCGGAGCCCAACATCATTCTCGAGGCCCCGGAGTGCGGCCACTCCGGCTCCCATCTACTTCCAAATCACACCTGCCTAGACGATGGCAAGATCGGCAAGATCCCGGAGCTCCGATGGAGGCCACCAGCCCACCTCGACGTCAAGCAATATGTTCTGATCTGTGAGGATCTCGATGCACCTATACCATTCTCTATCATCAACCACGGCCTCTTCTTCGGTATCCCACCCATCACCACCGAGGCGTTTCCCGACGATATCGAGCAAGACAGGAATTGTGCCGGCCGTCTCACATTGGCAGGTTGGGGTTTTGTGCCGACCATGAGGGGGACACCATATATTGGCGCTGCTGCTCCTCTCGGTCATGGAGTCCATCGATATGTATACACCATCATCGCCCTCAACGAGCCTCTACATTTCGACCGACCTGACAAGGTCACGAAGCGCCAAGTCAAGAAGGCATTGACCGATAAGGTAATCGGCTGGGGACAATGGACCGGACACTTTGAACGGCCTTGGCCTCGCTAAGTCAGGCCTGCTTCCTGCCGCGATCGAACGACTTCGACATGGGAGGAATGGACAAGGGGAACATCGTGAACTGAGGCAGGAGGTGTCTATTCTTCCTTGCTGTATATCCTCAACGCCCCTCCAATTATATCTCTACATCGTCTGCTACCTACTTTGCCAACGCTGCCCTTTGTTATGATACCCCAAATTACTCAATTATGAACAACAGTACAAGGGACAATCAACAGCATAAACCCGGCTACCATTCGCCTTGCCTCCAATACACAAACCGCCCACTTAACTTCCTATATACTGTCAGTTCCGCTCCCACAGACTTAAAACGACCTGCTCACCAGTTTCGGCTTCAATCTGCTCCATGAAGACGGCCAGACGATGGATTGACGGCTCAACCGAAGATTCGCATGCTCTCAACGTCGCGGCTCCTGCTCTATGTGACTGCCCACAATCCTTCGCAAGGGATCGTAGTCCCTTCAACAGCTCCAGCAGTTTCATCGAGTTTTTCCCAAGCAGCATCCGTACCAGCACCACCGTCTCGTCGTCGTCGAGGTCCATCTGCCCTAGTTGCATCTTGCTCCGTATGCATAGGAACTGAGGCAGCGAGGGATCGAACAGCGCGTCTTTTCGCGTAACGTTGTATGCCAAGCAAGCGGCCTCGAAAAGAGCAAGGGACTGGTCTGCCAGTGCTGGGAGCGTCAAGAGGGTTGATCCGGGGTTCGCTCGGCACTCCTTGCATTTGAGCATAGCTTGGCCCTGAATATGTATGCGGTCAACCAGCCCGAGAATTGTTTCGAGTTCCACCACAGTCGGCACGCTTCGGATTTCATTCATAACCTGCAAGGCGCCTATCGAACATTGGCACCCGGCCTCCGCCTCCATCGAAGCGAGGATGAGGCAGTAAATGATGCGGTCGAGGGACAAAGAGTTGGTGCTAAGTTTTGCTGTGCTGAAGTTGGGGTAAGTCGGCATTGTTGGCCCCTGATGTATATGTTCTGCCCCTGAACGGGCGTTTTGGTACGCCTGATGAAACGGGAGAGGCTAATATAGAGGGTAGCAGTGACTCCCAAACACGGCCCCTCTTCACATGCGCAATGCTAGCTCTGATGTCGACGGATAGGCAATACAACCTCGGGTTCGTGAGGGAAGCGTCATTCATCAGCCTCACAATTTCCATCACATCAAGGTGCAAGCCCCGTTGGCCCGTCCTTCGCGCGGCCAAATCATCGTGAAACCACACACTTCCTCCGATCCGCCGAGTGTTGCACAGTCAACTATAACCTGGGTATGGTTACCACCTCAATCACCAGGGCCAGATTGGGCGCTGACGCTCATCGGTACCTGACGAAGGGGCAGCTGAGCCTTCGTAGGCGGACTTGGCTACGATACTCGGCGCGAGAGGGTGTGGATGATAGACTTGTATTATGGGATCTTCGAAGCAAGAAAATTACGTCACGACCTAGTCAACATGTCCAGCTTCATCATGATCAGTCGCAGTCTCTGATACGTCTCCTTCATCATCATCACCCGGCCCCTCGACGGTGTTAGAAACTCCTGCGTGTAGGCAAGGATCCGTCGGACTGTCCTCTGCAAGCCCTCCAGGCGCCGCTTTAGTACCCGCTTCACGAACACGCACTTCTCTTCAGATGGCACGCAAAAGCCCCCAATTATCAGTGGACATGCATCAAGCTGAGTTCTGAACTGCACATTGCCGCCTTTGAACCTTCGTGACCGTGTTGCTAGCCCAGCGTCAGGCCTATACTCCTGGGCCAGAGCACCGAAATAGTCGGGGAAAAATCTCTCTACTACATCATTCTCGGCGGAGGTTATGGTGTCTAGCGCAGTGATTACGCTATCGATGCTGAGGATGACAATCATGAGGAAGTCCACTCTTATTCGCGAACAGCCGCGACACTGCAGGATTGTATCAATCAACTGCTGCAGCATTCGCTGCCGCGTCAGAATCGTGTCAATGGCAACTGTGGGACCGGATTGTATGGCGCATGCATTTAGTCGGATAAGGTCCCGAACCACTTGCTCGTGATTCTGGCACGGGAAAATACTACTCGAAAAGCCGTTGATGTTCGCTTTGAAGTCTTCTTCCGGAAAGCTGTAGTCGTGCGGCCGCTTCGCGCCGACCGGAGTGAAGAAGCCCGACGGCTCCCCAAAATCCCCTCCTAGAGGTGGGAGTGGCTGCGACCAAGGGAATGCCTCCTGTTTCAGTTGTTCAGGGTAGACTGAGTTGCCCTGGAAGCATGGCTGACCGCTACTGGAAAGAGAAGTGCCATGAGCTAGGCAGTCATTGACGCCAGAATAACAACTCGAGGTCGACGGCGCGTCCAGTGCTTCGGAAGTTGAGTCCGAGAATCCTTCCGACGTGACTGGAAGACTATCCAAGTCCATCGACATTCTGTCATCCCCTTTGCCATCGTTGTCAATCTGGTCCATAAACCCGCAATCCTGACCCGGATCCGTGAAAGGGTTGGACATAAACTCGTGCAGCCAGCTGTCCGAGGCCATATCAAAATCTGAAGCCACTGAACCTCTCGAGTTAGCCAGGCCGTGGTAATGAGGATTGAATAGACGAACCTGAGAAAGGCGGTGCTGTGACGATGTCCATGAAGGACGGGGTCGGTAAACTCGCCGCTTCGACCGACATCTCGTCGATATGGCCATGCTCAAACGGAAGCTTGTCGAAGAGAGGCTTGTCCTCGCCGTCCACAGACCCATCATTTGCTCCGAAGTCTGGCATTGGCTCTTCCTTGACCTTTTTCTTTTTCTGGTTCCGAACCTTCTTACTCACTCCGCCATCATTGTGGCCAGACTCGAGATGCGGATCTCTCTTTTTGGCGGGTCTTCCTAGACGGCGAGAGATGCTGTAAACACATTCGATGTTATGCTTCTGGCATCGTTTACAAGACGGTCTCTCGTGGCTGCATTTGATCTTGGCTTGCTGGCAGGCGTTGCACGTTTGGCGGATTTTGACGCTCTTTGGCAGCTTATCGGGGGGAAGATCGCCCCATTTGACACTCTTGGGTTGCTTGTCAGAAGAAAGGTCACTTTCTTTGAGCTGATTCATGATGAAGTTCGTCTCTGCAGTATGCAAAAGTTTCAACCCAAATTGCAAACTCGGTGGCGTATATATGATGAGCCAAAGTCTACCATATCCACAGTCCAACAGCATTCCTCCGAGAAAGACCGCAACGGCCGAGTGGAGTCTGGGTAGCAATAGTGCTGCGTTTCCTGCTCTGGCTGGCTGGTTTAGGTTACATGCTCCACGTACCACATGGGGCGTCCACAAGCTCCTTGAAATCTAGGTGTTCGCTCGATTGCTGGCGAAAACCACGCATGGTTCGTGCTATGCTAAGAAAAGGATGCAAATGCTTATCACCGGCGCTGTGGCACCATTGATGCTGCAGTAGGTCGAGTTTCTGCAAGTTCATCACGCCTAGTTTAGAACCGGCCTCGGACCCTGTCTGGGCAGGAAGAACTTGAGCTAATCAACGACTCTGGATTCCCTACGACTCCAACCCCTAACGGACTGCCCTAAACCATACGGGTTACACCATGTCTTGGACTAATTAACTGCCGGAATAACGGGATCAACGCGGCCCATCCAACCGCCAGCGGATAGTATCCCCACCCGTCCTGCTATCCACCTGTGCTACATGACAGTTTGCCGCCCTTGCGCCCCCCTCACATGCTCCCGAACCTCTGCTGGACTGGTAGCCGTTGCAATCACCGGCTGGCTACAGGGAGCGGTTCTTATCCACGTCGTCGTTGGCGTTGGGGTGGGCGTGCTCGACGTCACTGTCGTAGGCCCGTCATTGTGGACGAAGAAATAGTTACCAGCCACGGGACGTTGGAGGCCAGTGACCTCAACAAACTGACGGAGATCAAACCCGGCCCGTGCCTCCATTGTCTTGGGGAAAATATGTCCGAAACAGCCGGGGAACATGTACTGCTCGTGTTGCTCGAACGCAAGCAAGACGTACCGGTGATGCGTGTTTGGCGGGGGTTGGGGAGCAATATACTCCGCCGGGTGTTTGCCGAACGGGCCCTTCCCATGGCCGTCCGGCTCTAGCCACGGCTTGTCGTTGCGCATCACCAGGTTTGGTTGAAACCAGTGGAGGACGACCGTTGAGGTTTGCCCGACTTGAACGTCGAGATCCACCATGACGATCAGATAGGTTGAGTTTGCGTGGAATCGGAGGCTGCTGATTTGCGGCAAGGGATGCGTGTCTAGCAGGCTTAGTACTGCATTTGTACGGAGGCCCGAGCCATCATACCTGACATTTCAAGCGTGTCTCCCGGGAGTACCCATGGCCTTTTAGGGTAACGAAGGTCAAGGGGAGGCAGTCCATGTGGCAACGGGTCAATTTGCCCAAAGGCCACCAAAAAGCATGAGGTGAGATAGAAGAGTCTTTGGGCGAGCATCTTGCCAGCCTTCTTCGTCACTGGCTATCTTGTCCTTGGCCACTACTCATGATCCATCCTCAGCAGACAACCCCTTTATACGAACCGTAGCAAGCGAAATGTGTAACTCGTGGCATTTCTAGACCTCGGTGACTATTGACATCCGGCGAGTTAAATAGGGGGTCTACTCATTTCTATACCGTTCCATCGCTCTCACCGAGACCTCTGTTTCGCTCGCTTTCCCTCTGTACTCGCCACTGTACGCCGTTCGCATAGACCATGCCCAGAATCGGCCAGCAAACTACCGCAATCACCGCCGACACAAGGCCATATGTCCGCCCGTTGCCAAACCTCTCGATCATCGGCGTGACAAGGGCTGTACTCGCCGCGCCGAGAAAGCACCGCACGAAGTTGTTTGTTGCCATTACGGTTGCCGGTGTGCTGTAGTACAGATCGACCAGTAGTACGTTCATCACGTTGTAGGAGGCTGTGATGGAGAATGAGACGAGGAAGATCAGGATCAGGGCAACCACGAGGGGAGGCCGCAGATCGAGAACCACACCGTAGAGCAGGATTGCGAGTGCGCTGAGGAGCTAGACCCTATTATTAGTATCAATTCCATCACTTGTACATTGGAGTCTGGTCTGGGATGTGCGGTACTCACCGTCATTGGACCCCCTATCTGCAGTCTTGCGCGTTCAATAGGGAATTCCTGATCCGTCCTTGTTCGACTTCGATCCGCACTTCTCCTCGTCTCTTGATACTCTCTTTGCACCTTCCTATAATTCCGATCAACAGCCTTCCCGCAAAACGCCGCAGAAACCAACGACCCTACACCCGCTGGCACGAAAACAAGCCCGATCCCCATATCCTCCAGTCCATAGAGCCGCTTGAACTGCGCTGGGATCCCCGCCGTCACGGCGTAGTAGCTTGCGAAGACGAGCCCGTTCGAGAGGAGAATCAGACCGGTGGGCCGGTGTCCCAGCAGCCGCAGAGACGCAAATGGATTCAGAACGGCGAGGTTCCTCTGTTTCTTGACAAGCCCATCTGTGCACGCTGGCGTTGATTCACTTCCTTGTCCTTGCTCTTGCTCTTGCCCCCCGGCCCTTTTCTTGCAGGACGGACTGGCGTTCCTCGTCTCCGGCAAAACCACCACCAACACCCCCAACACAACGATCCCCGCACCGGCAAGGACCCCAAAAACACCCCTCCACCCAAACCTACTCCCCGTAATAACACCCCCCAAAACGGGCCCCAGACTCGGTGCCAGAATGTTCCCCAGAGACGTGAAACCCATGTACATCCCCCGCTCAGCGGGCTCAATGATATCCGCCGCCACGGCCGCGGCCAGCGCGACGGTGCCGCTGATTCCGGTGCTCTGGAGTCCGCGGAGAAGAAGGAGGGATTTGTACGAGTGGACTTGGGATAGAGCGATGTTTGACGCGATGTATAGACTCAGGCAGAGTATGTAGGCTGGTCGGCGCCCGTGTGTATCGGAAAGCGTTGCTGTGAGGGTTGGGGAGAGAGCTTGGCAGACCTTTCATCTCCAATTACCACATATTAGCGTTTGGATACCGAAGTGTGAGTGAGGGGGTTTGGGGATGGGCGGGTACCATGTACGTCGTGATCGTGAGGTTTATCTGTGACGGACTGACGTGCAGGTCGGAGGCGAGGGCAATCAGGGCGGGATAGTAGATGTTTGAGCTTAGGGGGGAGAAGGTTGAGGCTAGGGAGGCTGTGAGGATTATGAGGCGTTTTTGGGAGGGGGGGAATGGCGTCTTGGGGGGTGGGGTGGTTTTGGCTTTGGGTTTTGCGGGGACGGGTTTGGAGGGTGGATTTGAGGATGAGGGTGAGGGTGAGGGCGATGGAGATAACGAGGGTGATGATAGGGATAGTGGTAAGAGTCCCGGTGCCAGGAGGGGCGTTGTTTCTGTTGCTGGGGGCATGGTGGTGGGTTCCTTGCGAGGTATCATAGTTGGGGTCAGAAAGGGACCTGAGTAGGTGGTGAGGTATGGTAGGGTAGATGAACCTGTAATCTAGGATGAATATACGCCGTACCATGCAGTAGCGAAGGAGTATGTTTGATTGATTACTTGGTTTGATTGACAAACCACTGACTAACTGAAGCGTAAGTATACAGCAAGCACAACATCCGGACTACCTATCGTTTCAGAACTTGACGGCGTTGACCGAACAATTCCTCCCATCAAACAGTCGAGGCGACTGGAGCAGGCGAACAAGCGTAGGACGAGGTTTCCTGTCTCCGATCCAAGTTCAATCCAGTCCATGCTCAGGTCCAGACTCAAATATTCGGGCGGTACGTATCCTCCCGTGCATCCCCTGTGTAGAGGTGCGCTGGACGAAACAATTTGCCGCATGTTACTAGTTACGTAGCAAGGACGTTAGAACAGACGTAATTTCCCGATGGTGCATCGCCGTTGCAGCGTAACTGGGAGAACAAGTGAAAACTCACGCATGTACTCCCGCCAATGTGCCATGATGCCCATGATTCGCTGCGCAAGCATAGCCGCCGGGATCATCTCGACCTCGAATCCTCTAATTAAACAGCAATCAGTGTCAATCAAACCGTCGAAGCATCTGTAGCATGCGCATTCATCACAAGCAAACCATGAAGGCAACGTACACTCCCGTAAAAACGAAATTCCCATAAAAGTCCGCATTGGGGTATAGCCCTCTACTCCGAAAGTAGTTGTCCCCCGATGCAGCACGCTCAATGGCCTCGGATAGTTTCATGAGAGGAGTGGGCGGTAGGTCCTCAAGGATTGACTGGACAAAACGCACTCGGGGGTCAATCCCCTTATACGCGCGGTGGCCATATCCGAATAGCCTTTTGTGACCCTGTTTGACTTCGTCTAGGAAAGCGGGGATTCCGGCCTCCGTTCCGATCTCTGCCAAGGCACGCTGAGCAGACTCTGTTGCGCCAAAGTGCAGTGGGCCCCAAGCTGATGCGACTGATGCGATGAGGCATGAAACTGGGTCCGTAAGCGACGAGGCAGTAACGAGCGCGGAGAAGACGGTTAGCGCCATGCCGTGGTCGGCGTTGAGCATGGCAAAGCGGCGGAAGCAGGAAAGCTTGACTGGGTCTGGAGTTCCTGTCGCTGCGTCAATCAGTCCGGCCATGGTGAAGAGGTTCTCGCAGTACGTCCTGTCATGAGATGGTGGGGTGAAGGGGATGTCCTTGCGGTGGCTGGCGACGATTCCGAACACAACTGCGTACGCCGCCACCGTGCGTAGAATGGCGTTGTCCACGTTTTCCCGATTGGCTCGATATTGATGCGCGTTGGTTGAAGCGGGAATAGAGTCCGGTATGCATGATAGGTAGGTGGATAGGCCTGCTAGCATGAGTGCTAGTGGGGGAGTGGTGTTGCTGCGATAGTTAGCCATCGTAAGGACCCGGTGTGCGGTACGTACGGCAAGGCTCGTATAGCCATTTGGACGGTCCCAGGCACGGCAAGCATTTGCGCGGCCAATTTGGATCGAAGCTGCTCCTTCTGCGGCGGTGTCGGATATGAACCCCATACGAGCAGATACATCATATCCTCGAAGTCGCTAGTCCACAGTTCTTCCAAGCTGTAGCCGCGAAAGAGAAGAAGGCCTCGCTCATGATCTCTGATAATGTTAGTCTCGATCAAGAGTCTGGAAGCACTGCGCTGCGTACGAGAAACTGATGGCTGACTCAAGCACAGTCGTATTCTGTAGCCCTGGATCATGCACTCTCAGTCCGCCTGAGATCTGGTCGGCGCGATTTGTTCCAGCCCCTAAAGCCTTTATCCGCTTGAAGTCGACTGCCGATATGGAGTTCTTTCGGATTGGAATCTCGTACCGCCCATCAGTCCGCGAGTCCCTTATGTAGAGCGTGCCCGATGACATCGTTAAACATTCGTAGATCGAGCTATATTCTGTCCGCGTGAGACTCAGCTTTTGTATCTTTCAACAGAGACAGCTCCGGAGAGTGCCAATGTCCGAGTCCGATCGCAAGTACTCGCGCTTGGAACGAATAGGTTGTAACGACTTACACAGGTGATGAATCATCCATGGCTTGTGTAGCCCTCCCGCCCACGCGGCGATTTTCCTGTCTCACAACGCCATGTTTGCTCACCTGATCCTGGCTATGTTTCGGGACGTGATTGGAAGACGCGCGAGCTGGAAAGGGGCTGAGTTTGGGTACTATGAGGATGCAAACATTTACCTTGAGGCATTTTCGAGCCTCAGGTCGTTCAGGATCACACGCGAGTTTGTGAGGGATGGCAAGAACTTAGGTGGCTTAATATGTGAGAGGACCGGAAAGTGACCAGATAGGGACCAAAAAGTATTCAATTTGCTATATTATCGCGCAATAAACTGCTGTCGTCCATTCATAAATCGTCCATCATCGTTCAGTTAGGCATGTGCTCGAAGGGCTTCTCGAGGTGCTCCTGGCAGAAGGGAAGCTTGCTGACGGTCCAGATCTCGGTGTCCTATCGTGGCGTGTCAGTATATATCCTTGGAGTTCCAGCAGATCGTGCAACGTACGGGCTTGAGGGTCTTCTTGATCTCAATGTCCAAAGTACCAGCCTTCAGAGCGATGATCGGAGGAGCGGCTTCGGGGTCGTGAGCGATGGGCGAACCGCATTCGGAGCAGAAGATGCGGTGGACGGCCTTGCCGGAGGAACCGTTCTTCGCGTAGCTCTTGGTGGGGCCGTTGATTGTCAGGGAGTCCTTGGGGACGACAGCGACGAGAGCTGGGGAAATTAGCAATTAGCGAGGAGTGGTCGCCGAGAAAGGGGAGACGTACAGTAGGTGGAACCGCTCTGGCGCTGGCAGTCGTCGCAGTGGTCGTAGGCAGTGATGAGAGGCTGGTCAACCTCGGCCTTGTAGGTGACAGCACCACAGAGACAGTGTCCGGTGAGAGGCATTGTGTTGGTAGCTTGGGGGATTTGGATGTCTGATTGGATGGGAGGAGAGAGTAGCGATCAAGGTGCTCAGAATTGAGGACCCTTGAGGAAGGGGCACGGTATTTATAGCCACGGCATGGCTCTGCAGAGTTCTGCTCCTGATCAAGAATTCCATGGGCCAGTCGATCACCTCTCACCGAGAGCCAGAGAGAACAGAGCTAAGCTGGGAATTTGTCATGATGGAGGGGAAGGTGCGAGGAGGCGGGGACCACTCAACAACTTGCGTCATTCTCCGTTGGCCTCCTCCTGCTCGTCTCGAGGCCGTTCTTGGTCGCGTCTGCATCATTCACTCCAATTGATGTGATATGAGCATCAATTTGTCTGCTTCCTCTTTGACGACCCCCTATGTCTTTGTCGCCGGACACCGCGACATAACGAGCTGGGATTGTTTTGGCGATCGCAGCTATGGAGGGGCAGAGGGGCAGAGAGGGGCAACCCCAGCCTCACCAACGAACCGGATCTCCTCTGGAGTTTTCCCCATCAACTCGACGCGAGCCTGCGCACGGAACCAATCGCTTCTGCCCGGTCCTCGACCCAGGCTACAGCTGGGATCTTCTTCAGCCCGACACCGCGAAATGTTCCCGGTCGCAACTGTCCAGCAGCTCAGCTCCTGATTCCTGGATCCCGAAGCGAAACGCCGCCGACGCAAGTATTTGTCACGGTCAATCTATCATGCATAAAGGAATGGAGGAATGCAGGAAGAGGCGCTGCGGTGATAAGCTCTGCTGTCGCAGTGTCGATCCGCCTTTTACCCGGTTTATCACGGCGAAGCGAGTACGTCGATTTACGACGCTGATCTACACCGCGGCTCAGGGCTGAGACGACGGAAGGACTGCTGTGGGACTGAAACTCAACTGCCATGGCACAACCGCTTATTGAAGCTTACACGAGAGATCATGGGCAAGTGTCTGTCAGTCCACTTTTCTCTACCATAAAACACCACAACCACGAACCATATGTTTGGCGGAGTGAAACGGCTTTCCGCGGCTTTTGCTACGTCAAAATCCCCATTGCAGCATGATAAGCGTCTGCCGTTGCTGATGCTGACATGGCGTCTAGAAGAATTCCAAATAACACCTGCAGGATTCAAAAGCAACAATACATTGTCCGATTGGTTGTTTCCTTTCGACAAGCTGATCCTGAACGCCAACGTTGAAACGATATGCGCCTAGAAACAATTTAAAGTCCGCCAATTGTCGACTGTCTTGAGGCCCAGTCGGAGGCTCGAACCCCGGCTAGGATTCACGCCGTTTATCAGGATACCAATGACAGCGGACTGCCGTAAGCGCATGTCAAACCTGACTAAACGGTCAGCCGCTGGGCTGGTATCTACTTCGTTCAGCGTCTTGGACGTACTTTGGATCCCTTCAACTACCTAGCCGTCACGCCGAGCGCGCTCCAACTTATCCGCGGCGCTCTTAGCAGAGTTAGCAACTTGCTCATACCGGTGACTTGGTAGCTGGAGCCACTCCATCGGACACTTGCTAAGTACTCCGGAAGAGACCCGCAGTTCTTACCTGCATATGGGCCGCCATTCCACCTTTAGGGTTCTGTCCCCCGTAGATCGTCGCTTCCGCATGCTGGGCCTCCCTCGCATCATCCTTTGTCACAAAGGCTATCGGCGCATCAGCCGAGACTGGAGGAAGGCCCATTACCTCATTCCTGTCTGCGATCGACCTGACTTGGTTGGCAATAGAGCCTGGCCCGGGGGCTTTATTGAATGCCCGAGTCTGCCGTGAAGCAATGGGTCAACGACAGCCTTTCAAGCTACTATCATAGACCAGGACGACTGAGCGTACCTCCATATCCTCAATCTCCTGCGCATCCTGCATTGTAATATGACTCCGGGGCTTTACTGCGAGCTCGTCTAGTTTCGCATCAAAATCCATCTGTCCCGCCACAAGCGCTTGTGCGGTTTCCTGCATCGGACCCGTAGAACCGCTCAATTCGCGTTCGAGTTGGCCGATTACCGAAACGTCTTCGGGCGTGATCCGCTGGCCGCTTTCGACGGCATGCTTGAGGTCGGCGATGGATGGAAACTCGGTGTCAGACGAAGACATGATGGTGAGTCAGTTTATTATGCTTCTATATGTCAGAACTAGAGAGTGAGGAGTGGACAGCTCTTAAGATTTGTTTGTGTTTGTAGTGGCGATTCTGATGTCAGTATCGCCTAAGACGAAACTCACTCGGGAGCTTGATGACATCGTTGCTAACCACTCCGCGAATAATCCTGCCATTGACTTGAGCATCTATCTAGGTAGTTCTCTAAGCACGTCCATAAGTTCGCGATTCAAGAATAATTCTGAGTACAAAGTTCGCTACCAATCTGAAGTTGGAGGTCGTCTAGGGTGCGGGAGACAATGAATTGCTACGTTTCTACTCCCAGGACGACTTTTGACTCACTCAATGGCAGAGCGCCCGAGTATGCTGTCGAGTAACGGCTCTTACGATTTGATGAATTTGCGCTAAGCGCTTCAGCATCTTCCGCGCCTGAAATAACCCATCGTTCCCGTGCTCGCATATCCCTCGTGTCACGTCTCTTCAAGAGTTCGTCAACGGTCAGGGGCTGCCCAACCAGGAACGATGGTTCGTCCCCTGTCAACGGCTTTGGCAGAACCAGTCTCGATTCCTACCATCTGCGAGTCAACATACGTACGATGCGTTGTCAACGCCCGGCTGCAACCTTTGTACAGAAACGAAGCACCAAGTACCAGGAGTATGAGCGCGCTCGAGGGCACCTTCTAATGTCACTGTGACTGGAGGTAGAAGTAACTCTGGGTAATGGTTGTGATACTGTAGCATCACTGCAGCTTCACCTGCACTGGATGTCCCTGGACGTCGTGGTTGGGTTCGTGGACTTGCCAGAGGTCGTCATCGTGGAACGCATAGGATGGCTCCTCCAGCCTGGCTGTGTCACTAAGCTTGGCGCGTGCGACTGGATAGATGCTGGGCTCGCCAGACTGCTGCAGCATCAGCATGGAATACCCTTGAAGTGTCCAGTGCTTCCTGGCAAATCTGGCAAATGCTGTGAGCCTGGGAAAAGAGCCTGTCTTGACTGAGAGGGAGGTTCACGAGGAACGAAGAGCCATACTGAAGTTGTTAGGCACTTGGCGTGATATCAACTGAAGCTCATGGGAGACTTTGCCAGTCAAGGTTGGCAACAGACTCTGTTCGCAAGGGAGCCTACGGCAGACGCTGTATATATATTGCTTACCGCCGTCCAAAGACTGGACACCGACGGCGCATTTGTCTGACGTAGAAGAGGAAAGATCACCTCAAAGTAAATCCCCTTTCGCATCTTTAGTCGTGCTCATTATTACCCAGAACGCAAAAGAAACCGGGATGACCGGTCAATTGCCTGGCCGCAGAACCGGTCCCGGTCCGGGGGTTTCCTTGCACCGCGTTCACTTTGATATATGACCGTCCCCGCGTTTGGGTCAACTGGGATGTTTCATCCAAGGTAGGAGATGTCGAGTAGGGAACTGACCTGATAAGCTCATCGGCCTCTGTGATGTATCGACGAACTGCCAGTGGTTGTACCTAACCAGGTTAGATTACGCTGGCGATGCGACGCGCAGGTGTATTGAGACCGATGAAGGATATCCCTGGCTTCTGGACTTTGAATTGATTTGATTATACGCTTTCTTTAGGCGGACCTGATACCGACTAGGCCACTGACTGCGGACAGTTCTTTTTGTCAATGACTGAGATAGACCAGAACAAAAATTAAATACCTGTGCAGCAGCCTGTAAGGTGGCACTCATTCCGCCATCAGTGCGGAAAATTCCTTGCTGTGCATGGTAAAGGGAGAATGTAAGTGGCCACCTGAAAGCTTGTCTTCACAGCTTCACTCTACTTATTCACTCAAGACCCAGTCACTGCTCCCATAGATCAATGACTTTAACCCTGCCCAATTTCTCCCTGGATTCATCATAATGTCATCGGATTCATTTATACGGCATAACACAGCCTGACTGACCGGATTACCTCGAGATGGAGGACTGCCATCTACTGTCGTAAGCTCTCATCCACAATCTTCCGCTCAAATCTCATTCCAAAATGTTTGATTCAAAGTTTGCTTACTCCTGAGGAAGCTCCGCCTGCTGACAATCTCTGCCGCCCAGGACTTCAAAGAGGATAAAGAAGGCATGCACTGAGTGTCGCCAGCAGAAAGTAACACTTCTCCCGGGCCCACTCAGAACTTTCCACTTACCACTCTCCTCGATTAGGCCCGCTGCGACGCGTACCAGAGACAGCCTTGCTCGCGCTGTGAGAAGCTCGGAATCGAGTGTGTGTTATCAGAGGCCTTCCGCAGGGAACACAAACGCCAGTACGTCTAACCCATCCCCAGGTTTAAAATGCTTAATAGCCACAGGAAGTACGAGAAGCTGGAGAAGGAAACCGACGAGTTGAGAAAGCAGCTCAACGCCCGCGCAGCCAGCCGTTACCCGCTCACCCCCGATACCCCTACCGCGATGATGCCGGAGTCTGTCGACACCGTTAAGCTCAACGGGGCAGCGGATGCCTACACTGATGCTATCGACGCGGGACACACCGAGGTTACTGGCACTGACGCCTCGCAGCTCCTTTTCCCGGACGCCGCCCCCGACGCGTTGCCTCACCTTGCCCTCGCGACACTTGAGAGCCGCACATCCAACGGGTCGAAGCTCCCAGACATGGTGCCGGGATCCATCTACAAGAATACTGCCAACGGACAGACTCGTCCTCAGCTGATGCACCCTCCCGTCGGCATGGGCCCAATCGTCTCGAAGAAAAAGGAGTATGTGATGGCTTCTGGAGTCGACTCGGACCGCACCCTGCCGCGTACCCTTGGGGGCGTGACCCTGAGCGGGGATGAGATCAACGAGATTTTCGGGCTGTAAGCTGCCGTTAAATGTGCTCTAGCAGGCTCTGACTCCCTGTCTACAGTTTCTACCGCCAATACGTCGTCTTCATGCCATGCCTCGACACCGAGAGCTCCCCGAACTTAACCTACGAACAGTCGGAGTTTCTATTCTGGACGATAATCGGGACCGCATCGAGAACCTGCGCTAAGAACCCGACGATTTTCCCTGCCCTGGCCAAGCACATTATCGAGATGGCGTTCCTGTCGCCCATGTCAGATTGCGGTGCGTGGAACATTGTGCAGGGTTTGCTCCTCGTTTTGAACTGGCCGTTCCCCAAGGCAGACGGTGGAGTCGACATCATCTTCCCTCTGACTGGATTGCTCCTTCACGTCGCGATGATGTACGGAATGCACAACCCAGTGACCAGCCACGAGTTCTTCAAAACCAAGCAGCCGGTGCCTCATATTGCGGACATCAGTCGTCGTTCGGAGCTGTGGGCTTATACCGTTATTACTTACCAACGGTATGCCCAAGCTAGCCTCGTTCTTCTAGCCAATAAGTAACACTGGACAGTGCATGTTTGATGAAAGGCCAGCCTCCTCGTCCTCTGCCCGACATGGCTCACGACATCAACCAACGCAAGGCGCTGTATCAGCATATGTCGTCCCACGTCCGGACGCGGATGAAGGCACAGGAAGTCGTCACGCAGTGCGGCGCGGCGGTAGCTGAATACGGAGTCCTTACCTTGAGCGCAGCGGACGAGGGCGGGCTGGACCTACTTCTGAAATCGTACGAGCAGCGCATCAACGATCTACATGTCGACTCAACTACATGTAAGCTCCACGCCATGCAAAGCGCATTAGGCTAACATCCCAGGGATGGCCCGATTCGACATCCTCGTCGCCTGCCTCAGCGTCCAAGGAATCCACTTCCTCAAGAACCACACCCTCTACGCCGACAACCGCCTGGGCAAACTCGTAACCGCCGCATGCGCCGTCATCGACGCAGTCGAAGACATGGCGCACGAACTCCCATCCCTCGCCGTCTGCCCGTCCCAGGGCTGGTTCGGCCTCCTCCTCGGCGGCGCCATTCTCCTGCGCATCATCAAAGGCCACGACACCGACGTCGTGGACTTCGCAAAGGCGCGAAACTACTTCATGAAATCGCTGAACCTGGCGAAACTCATGGTCGTCCACAACGCCGACATGCCCAGCAAGGTCGTCGCCGTCCTGAGCCACCTGTACAACAGCACCAAGGCGTTCCGCAAGCCCGATGGCAGCGTCATGATCAACCTCCGCATCCGCAGCCGTCTTGCTCTGTGCCCGATCATCGACGCCATGTGGTGGTTCAAGGATGAGTTTGACCCGCCGTTGCCGAGTGCTAGTGAGTCCCGTGAACACCTTGGTTTGCCGTGCTAATTATCATTATCTTGCAGGCGTGGAGGAGAACACCGAGACCCCGGCTGCGTCGGAAGCGGGCTCTGCCAACCACCTTTACGACGATGGCTTCTGGACGGACCTCGAGTGGGCACTTAATATCCCCGAGTAATGCGAACCGGGCGTAGGGCTGCGGTTGGGCTCGGCTTTTTCCTATCTGATGGCGTTCGAGGATTGCTTAGTGGCGACGATTCGTTTGGTCTCTATCGATGGCGTTCGAGAACTATCTGTCGGCACGGTTCGCTTGGTCTGTCAGATGGCGTTCGAGAACATTTCTATCGGCGACGGTTTGTTCGAGTCTCGGTTAGAACGGATGGCCTCTGGAAGGCTTGTTCGATTTTGACAGAAAGAGGTTGGACCGTTGGATACTGATAGATTGCGATACGGGTTCTTGTTCCGCGTGCTTGTCTGGAATAGGCAGGTGGCATACCTGGACGGCTTTTGACTTGTTGGAGCATGGGCGTGGCGTTCTGGATATCCGCCACTACTGTAAAGCGATAGATAGTGTTCAAGACCATGTTCGCAAATTCGCAATAACATCGCCCTCTTATCCATCTTCCAAGTTCGTCCCGAGGCATGTGGCAATGGCAATTGCGGAGAGCTGTCTCACCAAAATGGCCCCATGTAACATTGTTATCTGCTAACCGCCTCTAGCCAGCGTTTTAATCACTGATAGGCCGTTGGGGTTGCTCTGCTTTTCTTGCCAGCTGACTTTGACAACTTACTCCGTTCAATTGTGCCTGGATGACCCATTTCCCCGCGATCTTCGATTCATCGTCCCAGACTCGAAGGACTCCGTAGTTCCTACCCAGTGGCAGTGCAGTCTATTTCCGTCTTCCACGCGACAACTGGAATAAGAATGCGTGCAGGGTCAGCACCGTATTCAGCCAAGGAGCGATAAGTCTGGGCTACTGGTGGGGCGGGCTTGACCTGATGCTTCGCTAGCTAAGAGTCTAGCTTATCGCGCACAAGCTGTCTCGCCAACGTTGCACTCTACAGTGGGCAGGATCATAAGACATCGGCCTGTGCCGTGCCCGCCAGATAAGGAGTGCCTAGCCTGCTTGGGAAAGACGTCCGATCGAACGCCTCCAACTGTATACTCTAGATTGGCACTCGAGTATCTGGGGTAGCAGTGAGTGACATTGTTGGATCAAGATGAATGGCCGACTCGAGATTTGTGCGACTGTGATCGGGCAATATGCCAGAAGGGGCTCGCCTGTCTGACTGGTGGACTCGGACTGTTCCCTGACAGTGAATAGAGAGGGCGCGCGATGGGACTCAAGTTGGTTAGATAGGTGGTATCTTGTAGTTCAGTTCGATTGATAACGAGATTGATTGATTGATTGATTGATTGATGCTACCCAGATAAGCAGCAAGGGTGCTGCAGGGAAGTGAAAAGGCGAGGTGCTCCCCTGTAACACTTGCTTTTTCTCCAGCTCTCCTCCACCACTTCTTTTCTTCTCCCCCCACCCATTGAGTGCTCACCTCGAACTCATCGCGAGTTCACCAGAGCCATCATGGAGAAGGACACCCCCGTCCGCGTTACGTCCGCCAACGACTCCGACGACGCCCCTTCCGGCTCCGACACCGTCGAGCAGCTGAAGCACCTCAAGGAACACCACCACTGGGACCCCAACCTCCCCGACGAGGTCGTCGACGAGGTCAACGATGCCCTCCACGCCACCGACAAGGCCCGCCGCGAGTCCGTCGCCGCCAGTCTCCTCGAGAACTCCCCCTACCCCGAGGTTCGCGCCGCGGTGCCCAATGTCGACGAGGGCGGCCACTCCAACACACTTCGCGCCTGGGTGATTGGATTGCTGCTGTCGACTGTCGGGTCGGTCCTCAACATGCTGTTCTCCATGCGCCAGCCGTACATTGTCATTCCCTCCTACGTCTGCCAGGTCGTCGCATACCCCATTGGTATCGCCTGGGCCAAGTGGATGCCGCGCAAGACCCTCCGCCTCTTCGGCATGAGCGTCAATCTGAACCCCGGTCCGTTCAGTAAGAAGGAACACGCCATGTCGGTCATCATGGCCAATGCCACCTTTGGCGGCGGCGCGGCCTACGCCACCGATATTCTGCTCGCCCAGCGTGCCTTTTACAACCAGCGCTTCGACTGGGCGTTTGAGATTTTCATGTGCATCTCGACCCAGATGCTGGGCTTTGGCTTTGCCGGCTTCTTCCATCGGTTCCTGGTCAGTCCTGCTGCGATGATCTGGCCGTCGACCCTCATCAACACCCAGCTCTTCAATGCGCTCCACGACCACTCCAAGCCCGACCCGAGCAAAGTGTCTGGCTGGACGCTGGGCAAGTACCGCATGTTCCTGTACTGCATGATCGGATCGTTCCTTTGGTACTGGTTCCCCGGCTACATTGCGCCCTTCCTGAGTGTGTTTGCCTGGGTGACCTGGATCAAGCCGCAGAACGTGGTGGTCAACCAGCTGTTCGGCGGCTGGACGGGCATCTCGCTGATCCCCATCACCTTTGACTGGACGCAGGTCTCGGGCTTCAACTTCAGCCCGATGATTGCGCCCTGGCACGGCATTGCCAACACGCTGATTGGGTTGTTTATTTTCTTCTGGATCGTCACCCCCGCGATGCACTATACCGGAACCAACTTTGCCAAGTACCTGCCCATCAGCGACTCCAGCAGTTACGACAACATGGGCCAGGTGTACAATGTCAGTCGCATCCTCACTCCGGAGATGACCCTAAACACGGCCGAGTACAACAATTACTCTCCCCTGTTCTTGTCGACGACGTTTGCGCTGTGCTACGGCTTGTCCTTTGCCACCATCATCGCCGTTCTCGTCAATGCCATTCTGTTCAACGGAAAGGACATTTGGGCGCGGTTCCGCAAGGTCGGTCATGAGGAAGAGGATGTCCACGGTCGTCTCATGGCTCGATTCAAGCCCGTGCCCTTATGGTGGTATGGCGCTACTACGCTTGTCATGGTTGGGATGGGTCTTGGTGTTGTGCTTGGCTATCCGACTCATCTCAGCTGGTGGGCGTTCTTCATTGCCTTGATCATGGGCGCAGTCTGGTTCCTGCCTATCGGTATCATCCAAGCGTCGACGAACATCCAAATTGGACTCAATGTCATCACCGAGTTTGTGATTGGCTACATGCAGCCCGGGCGCCCGATGGCGATGATGCTCTTCAAGACATACGGCTACATCAGTATGTCGCAAGGGTTGTACTTCACCCAGGACCTGAAGCTCGGTCACTACATGAAGATTCCGCCCCGAGTGACCTTTGCCGCGCAGATGGTCGCCTGTCTCTGGTCGTCGATCGTCCAAATCTGCGTCATGAACTGGGCGCTCGGTGCCATTACAGACGTCTGCTCCCTGGACCAGCCCAACCGCTACACCTGCCCTAACGGCCGCGTCTTTTTTAATGCTTCTGTCATCTGGGGCACCATCGGTCCGGCCAAGATGTTCTCTCCCGGCCAGATGTACGCCAGCCTGCAGTGGTTCTGGCTCGCTGGTTTTGCTCTGCCTGTCATCTTCTTCATCGCGGCTAAGCTCCTGCGTAACACCAAGTACGCCCGCTGGGTGCGCCTGCTCAATGCGCCGATTATCTTCGGTGGAAGCGCCCTCATTCCCCCGGCCACCCCGCTCAATTATCTTTCATGGGGCATTGTCGGCTTTATCTTTAACAAGTACATTCGCGACCGCTGGCGCGGCTGGTGGATGCAGTACAACTACGTTGTGTCTGCGGGTCTGGATGTCGGACTTGCGCTCTGCACGATTCTGATTTTCCTTACCCTGAACCTGACCAAGACGGACTTCCCGGCTTGGTGGGGAACGAACATTGCGGCGGATACGATGGATGCTGCGGGTACGGCGGTGCAGGTTACGGGGGTGAAGTTTGGGCCGGAGAGTTGGTCCTAGCCTACTGTACGAGTACGGGGTGACAGGTGGAGAGGGGGAGGACTGTGTTCGAGAAGCGGAGATGGTTATGGTCATGTCATGATTAATGAATATCTTAATTCCTGTCTTACGGATTACCCTACCTAGCTAGTTGAGATAATGAATGGCCTTATGATTTAGCCCTATCCAACTTGCGGACCTACCTATATGCACCAGGGCACCGGACCACCCAACCGACTTTCCGAGCGAAGACTCGAAGAACTGAAACTTGACAGATGATTGACCCTGTCTCCGTCCCTGTCGCAGTTATATTCGCAATCCATCCGTGACGCTTGTGGAAACTGGAAGGGGGAGACACTCTACATGAAACACCATGAAACGCGTATCCCGCCTGCCGCCCGCTATAAAGCTCTCCCTCCCAGACATCAGAATACCAAGACCCAAGCATCCCAGTCAAAGAAAAGCAAAGTTGGAAAAAGCAAGCCAAAATGAAATCCACCCTCTCCCTCCTCTCCCTCTCCCTCTCAACCCTCCCCCTCGCCCACGCAGGAACCACCCTCTGGAGCGGCCTCTTCAACGAGACATTCACCGTGGAGAACTTCGATAAATGTACCTCTTCCCCTTCCCTTCTCCCTGATCTAAGTCCCAGCAGACTAACAGAGATATTGTGCAGGGTCCTGGTCCTCCCAAATCCCACCATACCAATGGTACATCCACGGCACCGAATCAACAAGCCACTACCTCTCCCTCAGCGACACCTTCAAAAACCCAAACAGCACACTCGTCGGCGATGAACAGGGTCTCAAGACTACGCTCGATAATACCTCCTCCTGGAACGGGCAGAGTATGATGCGCACGGAACTCATCCCGCAGGTTGAGAGTGGCGCTGGGGTTGATATTGGGAGTGGGAAATTGTACTATCATTTCTCACTTGCTGTGAACGAGGAGGGCTTTCCGAATGAGGACATCGAGCACCAGGTTGCGTTTTTCGAGGTCCGTCCGCTATCCCCTTTCCCACCTTCCCTCCCATCCAGCTTTCCTTCCTTGGTATTGGGATATGCTGATAGTGTATGTAGAGCCACTTCACCGAGCTCAAATACGGCGGGTCCTCTGACGTCTCCTCAAACCTAACCTGGTACGCCAACAGCGCCGCGCAATGGGGTACAGAACTTGTTGCGGGCGAGTGGTACAACTTTGCCTACGGGATTGATTTTGATAACGGGGGCGTGGAGCTCTATGCGAGTACGGGCGCGGAGGAGTTGGAGCTTGTTGTGGATGCTGTTGAGGCCAGTGCGCAGAGTAATGGGCAGGATTGGCATGTGGGGGTTTTGAGGCTTGATAATGGGGTGGATGGAGGGGAGGAGGCGTGGTACTGGGGAGGGGTTTATGTTGAGGAGGGGGATGTTAGTCTGGAGGTTTAGATTGGGGTTGAAGGGGAGTGGTTTCTGGAGATGGGAGGCTGTATAGGTATGGTAGGCAGTTTCTGGAGATGGGAGGGTGTATACCCTAGGTACCTAATGGTGGGTAGGCAGCAGAGCTGGTCTCGGGCTACATACCTTCCAATGAATGTGTTTCATACCTACACCTACCACTGGCAGTCTAGACAAAAACGGCCATGGCCATGGCCATGGCCGCAGGTGGATTATCATGACCATTATCAATCCAATCAGCTCCACCTTGCCCTTGCGTTTCTCCCGCGCATCGGCCCTTCGATTACGCAAATGGACCAGACCACGGTCCCAGGCCCAGTCCCAACAAGAATAGCTAGAATGCAAGAGAATGACCCATTCCACCTCGATCCCCACTTGCCCATTGCCTAGAGAGCAGCGGCCATCTCCCATGCTGCTGAACCACCCTACGCCACGGACACCCTCTACTCCCCTCTACCCTAGGGTAGGGTAGTACCAAGGTTGCTCTTCCACGCGGCCGGCGGGATGCTAATGCTAATGGTATCTTGAGAAGAATGACATCCTTACCTAGCTTAGGAATAGGCGGCCCTGGCCCACTCCAGTTCCAGAGCTTGCCATTGCCACCATCCCAGCGCCAATGCCAACTTGGCCATGGTCGTATCTAAAGACGGAGAGGCACTCGGACTTCACACAGTTGCTGGTATCAAGACTTAGGGACGTCTTTGCGCGCATGGCTGCTGCTGCTGCAATTCTTCAGTCGGTACCTTGTGTATGGTAGAGTATGGCCAAGAGGCATAGGGACACTATGTACACCTGCAGGGTCAGTTTATCTATCCTGATGGTACTTCGCTCGTTCAAGTTGGCAACATCCCATGGTGCCAAGTTATGTATGCAAGGAGCAAGGAGCAAGGAACAAAGAACAAATTACTTCTTTTGCCGTGCCATCAGCAAAGATCGAAACAGCATGTCCACGTTCAGAACCACAAAACGGGAAACCTAGGTACTTGGGTGCCACTTGACACTTCGATATCTCGCGATTCAGGCCATGGCCAGTTCAGGAGTCAAGCGTTGAATTACATCTATTCCGGGCTCTATATAATTCTTATCACAGGGTAGAGTCGCTACGAAATGCTCGGAATAGCAAGCTTGCGGTCTATGACTACCTAGGCACGGTACTTGGTTTGTTTCTCAGTCTCATCAAGGCAACATTCTTTGGCCATGGCCCATGATTGTAAAGAGATTAGAATACACTTGCGGCGCTATTCCTCGCTGGCTTCATTGGCGGTAGTTCTATTCTAATTACACATGATGTTCTGCACTTCGTCTGCATCTCCCCACACGTCGAATCCAGCCGCTGGCTGTCCCGTCGTCAGGCGAGCCCTATTCCTTCCAGGGTTGTATGTATAAACTTGACTCTGGTGTCGATGGCAACTACCGCAAGAGGTTGACTCGCCCAGCCTGCCTGCTGTTGCGGTTCGGCCAGGGCCGGGCCGGGGAGATATAGGGCTCAGCGTCCCGTTGTTCTGGTTGTATAAAACTTGACTCTGGTGCCGATGGCAACCTCCCGAAGAGATTGACTGGCCCAATGTTGCCTGCTGCTGCTTCGCGTGCGTAACCACGCAGGTACCCCTCCATCTGGCGTTTCGCAGATGCCCAGGGCATTCGGCCGCGTCGGGGGGCGCGCTTCGTTTCGACGACCAGAAACAGAGTGCGGACGGACTGGCCGTTCCGTCGGGTCCACTTTGCTACCGTGAAATCCGTGTAGCCCTTCTGGTTCCGGGACTGGGCTTCGATTGCAAATCGCCTCACGGGGAAGCTCGCCGACAGGATGACGCTCCACATGGCGCCGACGCGGTCTTCTGGCGCTGCGGCCGTCACTCGGCCGTGGCCGTGTTCGCCGAGAATGTGGTGAGGGTGTGGTAGTATCCAGATGCGTACCTCTGCCCGGGCATTCCTGCGCACATCCATTTGTCGTCCAAGGTGCGGCATCATGGGCCTCAGTGTCCCGCCGTTGAAGGTGTAAAATCTAACGGCAGTCTCAATGGCAACTGCTCGAAAAGGTTGGCATTCCCAGTGTTGCCCCGTCTTGACTGGGGTTCGATGGCGAAAGTGTTGACAGGAGTAAACCCTGTCTTCGGGCGTGTCGCTGAGATGGGAGAAGTTGGTGTTTGCGAAGAGAAGACTTGGAAGAAGGGAAAGCGACCATGGTCCAAAGCAGCCGCACCTTCCACATCTGGCATGGCTTTCTTTGGAATGAGCAGCAGCTGAGAAGCTTCTCTGACTCGGCTGACAGTTCCGCCCATGCTGGATATCCTCGAATCACTCCCGGTTGTTGGGCTCGTATGACGCTTTTAGCATAATTCGGCCAACAATTCCGGCTGATGCTGTCATGATTGATAAAGAGGGAACGTCCAAACCAAGACCACACTCCTTGAACATGCCAAATCATGGAAAACACAGCCATGATCGAAAGCACCGGCGACATCCGCGACCTGGACGCAACAGACCAGCTCCCGGTCTACGGCACCCCGAAGCCATACCCGAGATGCTACATCTGCAACACCCAGTTGAGTGCTTTGTTCTATGACGGGAGAGAGTTGAAGACCGGCGTGTACACCGAAAACGCCATTCTGGGAAACGGGTCCTACTACAAGGACAACCGCGGGCGCACCTGGGTTTGCTATTACCGGTTGAGCAAGTCCCCTTTCCCTTGGACTGCAACGCACCTGAACCAACTCATCAATTTCATCTCTCTCTCTAACGCCCACCTCAGTTCTCTTCCATCCGCGCAAGAACATCATCCACCTCTCCGGTATCACCCGCCTCAACAGCCCGGACCACCGCTTCAGCACCCTCCAAGCCCCCTGGGACGGAAATAAGGGCATAGTCCGCCCTGAAGTCTGGGAGGGGTCGCGGATGTACAGGGCCCACCTTGCAACGGCCCTTCTCCAACAACCCACGCGTCCCCTGGGCCATGCCAACAGACTCATGGCTCTCCCCGTCCACGCGCGGTGCTGGCAGGTGCTGCGCACGCATAGGGTCTGGGCGCTTGCAGGCGGCGACATGGGGATCCTGCTGCGCGCTTTGCATCGGAGAGCAGCCTCGTTCTGGAATTGGTATTTCTCAGCCCCCGACGAGGAGATAGGGGAATACGATGATGAGACGGGCCTGATGAATAGTGCTACTGGTATGGACTCTTTGTCACCTACTCCGCGTCAGCCCCTCTACGGTAGATTTATTGCTAACGTGTTGGTCTGGTAGATCCGTTCGTGTGTAAGCGTACAAGGGCCATGGTCGAGGAGGCGCGGGCGCGGGGCAAGGCTTACACTCCTGTCCAAGCAGCGGCGTCCACTCGCCTTGCTCGTCTTCCGGCGGAAGTTCTCCGTCTGTTGGTGGATATGCTTCCGTCCAAGGACGTCGCGGCGGTTGAAGATGCTATGGGGTTATACTTGGGCAATGCCTTCTGGCGAGCTAGGATCCCGGCACTGTTTCATGAAACTCGGGACTTGAGCTTGGACCGTAAGGAGCTGGACTGGCGGTGGCTGTGCATTGCATTGGAGGAATTGGAAGCGCAGGAAGGTGATAAAGATGATGATGATAAGAATTATCAGTTGGAGGGGCGGAGGTATGTTCTTCGGCAGTTGGATCAGATTGCGGGCTTTGTTGCTGGGGATGGGGATGGGGTCGGGGACTGTGCGAACATGAGCAATTAGGTAAACCAGCCATTGCATTGGCATCATTTTACTTGGACTTGATTGCAGTGCTACGTGGACACCACGCTCCATGTCTTGAATCCGCGGCTCTGGGACTTGGTCGAGCTTGCCAAGGGGTGTATGGTAGTTCTCTACGTATGCAGGAACCACCCCACCTAAAGCAATGGAATTCCGTACCTAGCGTATAGGGTGCCTGGAGTCATTGGGATGCTGGATCGCCCTAACTTCCATGCAGGCCTGATACAGGGCATTCTGAACGCGTCTCACACCATTACCCGGTTCAGCACTAGTTGACTGCCTCCCATTGGCTTAATATTTGCTTCACAAGTGGATTGTATTTCCTACTGAGTATCTTTCAAGTCTCATGCTGCGTTGGGCGTTGAAGCATCCATGGACGAAGGGCATGCTTGGGCCCTACCGAAGCATGCACCCTGTACGACGAACCGGCTACGACAACTGAAATGGAACCATCGGTCTTTTGCTGGGGCCACGGCGGCAAACTGGAGACAGTGGAGTGGGTGTGTTTTCAACATTGCATTCACTGCGGAGGCTACAAAATGACCAGGCCTATTATCTACATAAGGTTGCATGTTTCCTTTCTGGGTGCACACACTAGTATGCTAGTATTCCGCATTCTTTCTGCTCCGTTCTTGGGGTCGGGGTTGGGGTTGCTATGGATACTTCCGTTTGTCCTGCTGGGTCCTTCATGACGGGGAAGTCTGGTCTGTATGTTTCCTTTTGATTTCCATTACCTAAATATCATCCGCTCGCCAGGTCATTGTCCTTGTTTAAGGGCCCGTACTTCATCACGCAGACCTGGTAACCGTCAACCGCCGGGCTAGCCATATACCTCCGGAATAGGAGTCCGCAGACGCAACCTTCCTGTGCGGATCTGGCTCGCCTGAGCAGGATCTCCCATCCAGCGGGCCGCGCTAATCGTGTACAGATTTGTCAGGGTTTTGCGCTCCACACGTCGAGTTGAGTTGGTGAGTTGCGAGTGTGCCGACCACGGCCGACCATGGCGACGGCCTGTCCGATATAAAGGGAGAACTCACCATCAGATAGAAGGTGCATGTAGAAGATTGCGCTGTGCCGGCGAGAACAGCTGAGCGAATGGAGATGTCGGAGACGGGGTGACTGTAGTTCCCCAAGCCGCTTGATGCACGCGAATCATACAACGCTGCTTCTTTGGTCTGGAATGGTTTGGGGCTCGGTTGGATCCTGCGAGGGCTCTGGGCTCCAGTGGGTCTGTATCGATACACAAGACGCAAAAAAAAAAAGAAATCGACAGGACAGAGATTCGAACTCTGGACCCCGAAGGGATTAGATTTCTAATCTAACGCCTTAACCGCTCGGCCATCCTGCCGGATGCTTGAAAGGGCTTAGAAAGTGAGCACTATAAGAAAAAGGGCTAAAGTACCAAACTGGCAACTGTTACCCCCCGATGGCAGCTATATTCTTGCAACCTGGCCGTTTTCTGATCTGGTCGAAAGGGCTGGTGCTACGGTCGGTCGATGAGGAAATTGCTGGAATGACTCCACTGACTACCTATCGTGGCTACGGTGGGCGCTCGGCCGAACGTACGGGAACAATATATATATAATGGTGATCATAGGGCTAAATCCGCAACAACAAGGGGAGAGGGCCCCAGATGAGTTTCTCGAGAACAATACTTGGAGAGTTTCTCTTCGAAATGTGCTGCGGGCTCGCAGTCTTCTGATACAAGGAGTGTCTGTAGAGTATCGCGAAGAGATTTGCAATGGTGCATGGGGATCCCTTTAGATCATCGAGGGTGTCGATGAGGCATGCGCTGCCTCTTGGTTACCAGCAAGCGACATATCAGAGACCCCCATACCATGTATATATTTGGCCTATCAGCTTCTTTCCTAGTAATAGTCAATGGAATATCCCGTGTCCTATACCATCCTCCCGTACTGTACTTATAGGTAGTTGCCTCCCGGGTCTTCGCAGGTCTTTGCTGACCTGGGACCTGCGCTCTATGGTAGTTTCCAATCATTCCAGCGGTATGCAGCACTGCCAGCCATGGAGCATCTTCAGCTGTCCAATTTTATCAGCGCAATCGTTGTCCAAGAGTATCTCAATGATGGCCAGCTGCCAAACATAGATAAATAGAACCCCTCCCACCAGCCCTCTGGGGAGCCCAATAGCTCGAGAATTGAAGGCAATGCACGGATTGTGTCGCGGAACTCGACATCACAATTCCCCAGCTGGTCGCCCATGTCATACCGTAGACCTTTGCAGATACCGTAGTAGTTTTCAATCCATGAGCGTAGTGTTCCTGGAGCCCTCAGCCCTAATACTGTAATCTGGATACGGCGCTGTAAGGGTTCTGCCAGCGTAGTATTACCCCTGTGTCTCCAATACCCAGAAGCAAGGCAATGTCTCTAACTGACTGAACCCTAATCATAGACTACAGATATGACACCCAATGTGCGGAGAGATCGAGCCGGCTCAGGGGCTCTGGAGATGTGCTCGTGGATCCTTCATAGTCCCTGTGCACCATGACTTAGGGAGATAACATCTTTATAACTCTTAGTAATCTAGGGGTACCTTTGAATAAGGGCTCTAGATACTTTAAAATTATTATAAATATATATTTTTATTATTTTAATTTTATTTTTAACCTTCTTTCCCCCCTTTTATTATTTTTTATAATATAATAGCTAAAACTAAGGCATGCACTCTTAACTAGCCTATAAATATTAACTTAGCTAACTTCACGTGGTTATAAAACCCCCTATTTTTTTTTAACCTTTATATTATAAAAAGGTAAAAGGAAAAAGGGCCCTAGTAAGCCTATTTTTTTTTATTATTAAAAATAATAATATACTAACTTTTTAGCCTAGCCTAATTATAAAAGCCTTTTATAATTAGCTTAATAAATAAAAATACTAGGCATATATTAAATATAAAATTTTTATAAATTTTATAATTATTATTAATAGCTTTATAGTTAGGTAAAAAACTTAGGATTAAAAAGCTTTTACTTATAATATTTATAATAAATTTATATACTTTATTTTTTTAAAGGGCTATACTAATATTAATAATATTAATTATATTTTTTTATATATATATAATTAGCTTATTATTATAATAACTTTTAGTAAGATTATTACCTAAAAAAAAATAAATTTAATTCTTAAAAATTTAAAAACTTAACCCACCCCTTTTAAAGTAAATTTTTTTATTTTAATTAATATTACCTTAGGTAAGGGGGCCTTTTTAAGCACCTTAATAGCTTAATTAGCATGTAATAACTTTACTATAGCCTTAATAATATAAAATAATTATAAGGTATTAATTACCTTTTTTAATAATAAGTTAATAGCGCGCCTAAAAATATATATTATTTAATAAGCCTTTATTAAATACATGCTAGGCTTAATTATAATTATAGCTATTTTTAAAATTAATATTACTTATATAGGCTAAATTATTATTTTTAATAATTTTTTTATTAAAAACCTCCTAGTAATTAATAAAGTAGTTAGCGTAATTTATTATACCCTAGGCGCTATTAATATACATATTTTTTTTAAAAATAATATAACTATATAATATAAGAAGTGCCTAGCACTATCCTAGTATATAATAATAATAAAATAAATATTACTAAGTTAATTTAAAATAAAGTTATAGCTTAAATAAACCTAAAGCTAGTTAGGCTTGCTTTTTTAAGGCACGGGCTAAATTTTAATACTAGGTATATTATTTAGGTAGTATTTTTTTTTAAAGTAGTCTAAAATTTTTATATTATTTAATTAAAGTAAGCACTACTAGCTTATTAAAAAATAATAGCTAGTTTTTTAATATAACCCTGGCTACTAGGGGTATTACTACCTAGCGTGTTATAATTATATAACATGTTATATATAACATGTTATATATAATATAATATAATAACTATAAACTATTTAAGTTTTATTAACCTAAATTCTAAAAACCTAGCGTGTTATATAAACTACCTAGGCCTATAATTAATAAAATATAATAATTATTTAATAGCCCCTAGGCGCAAGAATAAAACCTTAGTTTATTTATTTAAAAAAAAACTTAATAATATATATTATTATAGTGCCTGTTAATATTAAAATATATATACTTAAGTTAATATAAATACCTAGCTTTAGGCTAAAACTAAATAATTTTTATTTTAAAAAAACCCCTAAAAATATATTATAAAAAAGCTAAAGGTAAATAAGCAAGGCTTTATACTAGTTATTAATTATTATACCCTATAATTTAATACTTTTACTAGTAATTAAAGTTTTAAGTAGCTTTTTATTAAATTAATTTAACCTATTCTAGCTAATACAGGCATGCCTTTTTTACCCTAGGTAATAAAGGTTAATATTAAAACCCCCTTTAAGCTTTAATAATAAAGCATTAAAAATAATAATAATAATTATTATTATAATAATACCTAGTAATAATAAGATTTTATTATTTACTAAATAAATATAAGTAAATTTATACCTAGTTATATTATAATCCTATAACTAGCTTATAAGTAAGGCTATAATATTACTTATATTTAAAAGCCCTAAACTACCATAGGTATAAAAACCTAAAACTATTTAATATATAAGTACTACACGCTAGTAAATACCTAAAATAACTATAAAAACTAGTTAAAAAAACACCCTAAAGTACTTACTTATATTTATAAAAAAAAGTGCTATATATTAAATAATACCGCCTAGTATAAAGCTAAAACATGCTATAGCTTATAATAAATTGTACGACCAACAAGTCTTAAAGATCTTTACTAATAATAAAAATATTAACAAAGAAATTTAACTAATAAGAATAAAGTATTTTAAACCCTGTTAAATAATACTAAAAAAGTTACTTAAAAATTAAAAAAAAAGGCTAGCCTTAAGGCCACCTTTATAAACCTTTAAGTTATATTTAAGTTATTTTTAATTAAAAAATAAATATAAGTTTAAATACTTTATATATAGGTTTTTACTTTA